GTGTGTGTGCACATGTGCGCCTCTGTCTGTGTGAGTGCCAGTGTGTGGGCAGTAGGAGTGTCTTGATTCTTGTGTGTAAGTATATGTGAGTGTGTGGAAACATTTGTATGTGTTTCTGTCAGTGGGTTTCTGCTGGTTATACAGTGTGCAGCAAATTAGAAAAAAATTTCTTGATGGAAGAATTACAGTTTTTAATTAACAATCTCGTTTTTGTAGTTTTAGCTATTGTCTGTTATGATGCCAAGATTTTGTGCTATCACCACAATGAAGTCTGTCAGGGCAAGTAGGTCATTCAGTTAGACAATGATACAGGCTGTTATCTCAACCAAATTGTGTGGAATTGCAAAGTTAGGAAATTACTCATACGTTCATTATAATTGTCCATTACATTTAAAAACTACAGCAAATTCCTCTGCTCATAATCAGAACTCTGTAAAATGAAAGTGTAATTTTGCATAATGTTTTTTTATTGTAGGCTATTATAAACAGTGTCTTTTTGCAGAACGTACTTTGCATGCGTGGAGTACGAAAATTAATTTAAAATGAATGTTTTTATGTTACAGCTTACAAAAACGGAGAAGAATTATCCATAATTATATGCTGTCTCTAAATGCTTGTGTTGCTTATCCTAATAGACATACAGTGAGTTGCAATAGTGATAGTCAGTCTCTGCAAGTATTAATGTAAAAAAGAAATCCATAGGAGGAATCTGTGCACCAAAACTGCCATAAACAGGCAGTACCTGACTGCCAATGGTAGCATATGTATACCCTGCTCATCTAACTTTCTGTGTGTAAATCCAACAGGAAGATCCTGAACTAAATCCATCTGAGACATAACCTCCCACCTCTGCTGTGGGAGCTCCTCAAAGTCTCTGTCTCATCTCACTGAGGTGTAACACAGAGAACCTTAACTGCTCTTTTGTGCTGACAACCATAAAACGGTGCAATGCTTCCCCAGTGTTTACCGAAGCAGAGCGCCTGCTGCGTTTATGTGAACAATACTGGATTGTTCTCTGGACTAAACAGCATTTGCACTGTTTATGCTCTGTAAATGCAAAATCCGGTTTCATATTTGTCCTTAATTGTGATCCCACGATGATAGATGTGAAGACAACAATCGTGTCTTTTCCATGCATTCGTCTTTTGATGTAGAGCCAATTTTGTATCAAACAATTTATTCATTTTGGATATTTGCCCGAAAACATGTGGTGCTGGCACTGACTAACAGTATCAGGTACAAACTCACAGTGTCATGGCAACATGAGTCTCTGCACGTGTCTTTATGCATTAAAGTGTGAGTGTGTAGGAGGCTGCAGGCAGATAAAGTGGGCCTTGAAAAAGTATCACATATGCGATGTATTATATTTGTGTGTAAGGCAGTGTGGAGGTTACAGGGTCATACAGTGACATTGGCAGAAAGCTGTGTCTTCTTGTATCTTAAAATTTACATCAATATTTTCCTATATTTGCAAGTGCGTGGGAACGTGTGTTAAGGCAAACTGCTATATTGCTGGTTAACAGTGTTTGTTTTTATGACTTCATGCAGACTCTAATGACATTAAATATGCTTTAATCAGTCACAAGAGGTGATTTGAAGACAATTCATTGTTCTTGTGTGTTTTGGGAAAATAATGTAGTCGAAATAGTCAATTCTCTGACAATTGTGGTAATCTAAAAATTATTTATCAAGCAAAAATAGCAAACATTCTCTTGTTCCAGCTTTCCATATATGAGGATTTCCTTCCTTCCTCCATTGGATGTCTTTGGGTTTGGCACCGTTGGTCGAACAGAACGAGCAAGTTCAAGACATCAGCTTGAGATCTGGGAAATTGTAATGTGAATTTTTCATTACTTTATTACATTTCCCTCATTTTATTACATTTTATTGAATTAATGATTAACCAATGAATCAAAGACATATCATCATATAAAGGGTCACATTACATTATTTCTTAATTATCTCTAGTAGTATTTAATCATGCAGAGTTTGCTGGTTATTTTTAATTTTATTTGTTTAAGTTTTGAGATATCTGTCACTGCCACTACAATACAGTGGAGGTGACTGGAATTTAATCTGCCCTTTTTACAGCACTCAAAAATGCCAGTTTAAAAATTCAACAGCAATATCTCCTTCCAGAAAATGTGGAATGATGATATTTATAAATCCAATTTTGGACTTGGTAAATGTAAATTATGAGATCGCAATAGTGGGTGCTGACTTATGATTTTGACATAAAAAGTCAACAATGAGTATTTTTGTTTTTATCATTCCTAACCTTTCATCCGATGTACTTTTTCTGGCAGAAATTGGCTTCTGTAAGAAACAATGTCTCTGTTAGTCTGGAAAATCGGCTCTGTGAATCATCAGGACTACTTTCTACAAAAAAAATAATAGTTCCAATGAAAGCTGCAATCTGACTAATCATTAGTTACATCCTTGCAAAGACGGATAAATACATTAGCGAACTTGTTTTTTGGTTTTTGGCCACAGACGTCCCTGTGATATCAGTGAGGATGCATTATTATGAGCATTTTATTGTACTTATATTTCTGTGTTGTCAGCTGCTCTGCAACCACTCAGCGGCATGTTTAACTGAGATTGCTTTACAGAAAGCAGGACTGGATTTGAATCCACTGCTTATTATTAAACATCACACGCAGGGGCAGATATTACAGACATTCGCAGGGTCGTGTCCTTAAATGTCCTTATTTGCCTGTTGATCCTCTGAATCATTACACACATGCTCACACTCTGAACCATGTTCTCTTGTTTACTGGACTCTTCAGGCACCAAAACGGCCAATATCAGATTTTGCATTTGGAGGCAGAGACACGTTACTGCTTTCTGCCTGTTTGTCATTGACTGTTTTTATTTATTTTACAATATTGTTCCAATATTCAATTATTGAATCTACACTGTCTCGCCCACTCTCCTCCTTCCTCTGTAGTTGTCTTTGTCAGCATAAAAAAAATCTAATTCCAATTGTGTATTTTTAAATACACAATATTGCCAAACATAAGTGGACACCCAGTACATATTTTTTGGGTTGTTTTTCATGGTTTGAGTTGGGCCTCATAATTCTAATTAAGGACGATCATACTGTTGCAGCATAAAATCTGATTCTTCTCAACAAGAGTGTGCTTCCAACTTTGTGTGAACAGTTTGGGAAAGGCCCTTTTACACCAAGTAACACCAGTAAACAGCATTAATATCAGTTCGTATATGCTTGTGTGTGTCGCTGCTAGAATGAGCAGAGACGTGACCTCCGAGCTAACAAACTGTAGCGGCAAGCCTCATCAGCTGTTCTGCTCGTTGAACTACATTACGTTACGTTACTTTATGATGTAGCTGGTCGGTACTAAGGATACAAAGTAAAACATTATGAGACAGTATTTGCTTTTACTGCATTACAACTTACTTCGGTAACTCCTTCTTGTTCAGGGTCTGACTCTGGTTCAAACATATATGGTTGGACCACAAAGTTTCCTCCAGTTGCCATCTTTCTCCCAGGGTTCACGTTTAACTGTTGTCATGGTAGCGTGAAGCGTGGCGGCGTCGGAGACAGGCACTCAAAACCGACCGTTCTGAACAGGGCTGTTTTGGCAGGGTGATTGAACTGCTATGGTGCTTTATCCTTATGGTATTTTGACCAAAGCATGTCACAGACACTACATTAGGACACCAGGGAACTAGGTTAACTTGTAGAAATATGGTATAATATGACTCCTTTAAAGTGTCTAATGTTTTATTATGTAGTGGAAAGCCATGTGTCATGAATTATGAAAAGGGGAAAGCGTTGTTAATATGCAACTTCTAAATACATTTTCATTATGGATGCATGATAGTTATTGGGACAGATAAATTATCGACCTATAATGTGAAATTTATCGGGACAATTTAATTAGAGCAGTTCAGTTGATATTCAGTAGAATTTATTTTACATTATTATGCAAAACGATTGATAGGCTTTATGTTCTGTGAAAACCAAAGTATGTATTTAATGAGCTTCTTAGTACTTAGTAGTTGAACATTTAAAGAATCAGAGCATGCTGTTTGTTGTTGTTGTGTTAACAGTAGTGATAGGTTAGCGCAGAGCTATGGAATATTAAATCATGCATATATTCTCGCTACATCTGCACCTTCAGGTAAACACATGTGAAGAACATCCTTTTAGAATACAGAAATTTGAAGTTATCAGTTATCTTATCAGTATCGGCCATGAGAAGCAGGTAATTATCTGTTATCGTTTCGCCTGAAAAGATATCGTGCATAATAATTTTCACTACCACCAAATTATTAGGTACAGATCCCATTGACGTTAGTATCAGTACCCAAAATCTAAATTAGTATCAGTGGTACCAGAGAGAACCTAAAGAGAGGAAGCCCATTTCCCAGTTTGGTGTGGAAGATTTTCATTGGCCTGCACAGAGCCCTGACCTCAACACCAATGCTGACTGCAAGCCAGGCCTTATCGTCCAATATCGGTGCCAAATCTCACTAATGCTGACCAAGAGCAAATCCCTGCAGCCAGATTCCAAAATCTAATGGAGCCAGAAGAGTGGAGGCTGTTATAGCAGCAGATTAATGCCCATGGTTTAGAGAATCACATAAGGGTGTAATGTTTGATGTCCACATACTTTTGGCAATGTAGTGTATATTCAAAAGTGGCCTCATTTGACCGAAATCCTGGTTTGGTTTGATTCACCCTCCACTAAATCACCCACTCTCTTTCCCTTTTCTCCCACTGGCTCTTTATTCTCTCTTTCTTCCCTCCTTCCTCTTCTTCTCTTTTCATTTCTCTCCATCTCTCCCACTCTCTTTCTTTCTTTCTTTCTACCTCTCCCTGTCGCTCCTGCTCTCCCTCTCTTATCCCTCCCCCATCTGTGGGAAGCTGCCGTTGTGCGCATGTCGCCGATGAGTCAATTTGTGGAGGCAGTGCACGCACGCACACACACACGCACACACAAACACACACACACAAACTCACACACACACACACACACACTCTCACACACACACACACACACTCTCTCTCTCTCTCTCTCTCTCACACACACACACACACACACACACACACACACACACACACGTATCCTGTCTCCCACGAAGGCATCTGTTTCAGTCTGTCTCTCTGTGAGATGCAGCACCAACAGAGGAGAGAGGGGGAGACAAAAAGGCAGGCAGAAGAGAGGAGGGAGGGATAAGAAAAGAGAGGAGAGAGGAAGGAGACATAGAGCAGAGAGAAATAGGAGAGAGAAGACTGAAATTAAGTAAACAGAAAGGGAAGACAAGTGCAGCAAAGACAGGGCAAAACCTGAGGAGGAGAGGATGCTGCTGCATCTGAGCGTCTCTGCCTGACTTCTGAGGAGTTTGGGCTCGGACATGACAGAGATGCAGCATCCAAGTGTCTGAGTCTGAGCATCTCCAGTTTGTGTGTGTGAGAGTGTGTTAATGTGTGTGAAGCCATGGCGAGCGCTCAGCCAGGGGTCCATGCATTGAAACTCCAGCCTCCCTCTGTGTCTCACACACTGAGGAACGGAAGCAACTTCATTAAATGGGACGAGGTAAGGAGACTCATTTTCCTTCAGTACTTAAGCCAAAGATTTTTTTAAAAATATTTTTGGCTTTTTAAAATGATGTAATTTTTCGGGTTTATTTTTGTAATATATACATATATTTAGTCAGTGTCAGAATCTTGTCATTATTATGCCCAGTTGAATGAAATCAATCTGAGTTGAATTGGAGTAAGAGGAAAAGAGGAGGAAGAGGAGGAAATGTGCCATGTTGTCAGATGTGTTTACTATTCATTTGTTGATTGAGCTGGCAGTAAGTACCTGTGGATTAGATGCCAGCAAGATAGAGAGGAGTGTGTGTGTGTGTGTGTGTGTGTGTGTGTGTGTGAGAGTGAAATGCTATTGTCGTCAGTTTCTTTTTTGCCACCTGTTGGTATGGAAGCCATTAGTATGCATTTACTGTTCTGCTAGTGTGCATTTAAATGTGTATGCAACGCATACATGCAGAAATCCTCCAATGCTGCCACGTGCACAGTCAAACATATAATTGTAGGCATTTGTGGAAATGTGTGTGTTTATGTGCATAAGGGTGTGTGTGTGTGTGTGTGTGTGTGTGTGTGTGTGTGTGTGTGTGTGTGTGTGCACTGGTATGCTGGTATGCTGAAGTACGGGCACTGACTATGAGAAACGTGCTGTCCGGTTGCCATGGTAACTGGCATGGTTACCAGCACCTAAACAGATCTGATGTGTGCGAGAAAGAATACATGTTTGTTTCGTTGTGTGTGTGTGTGTGTGTGTGTGTGTGTGTGTGTGTGTGTGTGTGTGCAAATCAATGTATTGAGCCATACGATATCATGAATCATACTCATGGAAGAGCTAATCCAATATACTGTTGAATCCATTCACCATGATTGAACCTTGTGTGTGTGTGTGTGTGTTTTGATATTTGGATTTCTCCAACATGTAGAGCTGAGCTTTATGAAAAATAGAATTGGTTGCTATGCCAACGAGTGACAACCAGGAATCTAGTTAACCATCTTCTGAGCTTTTCTTCTAGTTTTGCTTCTTTTGAATGTAGGCTGCACTGTTGTGAGGAAAGCAGCTCAGACAGCAGAATATGTGACCTTTTCCAACCACATGCAAAGAAATATACACAACTTTATAAGCACTGACATGTATACAAATATCTTAGCGGACTGTGTCCCACAAGAGATCCTGGATGCCAGGGATAAAAACTCAACTAAAGCTGGTCACTGTACCTTATGTTAAATGTGCACCTTTTGTGCTTTACACAGTCTGTGACCTTTTGATTTCTAAATAATCATAATACAGTTAATTGTTAACTCCAGAGTATAGAAACAGCATTTTACATGGAAGGAGATATGGTCTTTCTGCATTTGTAACCCTCCAGAAATATGTCATAGTTGGTTGTTTGTTCCAACAACATATTTAATGTTCATGTTCAGTTCATGTTCAAAACGGGAAGTAGATTCTTATTGCTTACTGTTAAAAATGTGGAGGTCGCAGGTATTCACCTTCGACACTGGAGACCTGGGCTCGCATCCTGTCTTTCTTCAGTAGTCAGCATTGCTTTCTGTTAATTATGACAATCTTGCCATTACCTTAACTACACCTCAGGAGTTATTTATTTGTCATAATAAAGTTTCCCTAACCGCAATCAGTTTAATTTCATACTACTTAATACAGAAAGACTGATTTTGTCATTTCGATATGAAGTCTTAATGTGTTTAATTTAAATGTAATATCAATCCATATGCTGGAGTGTAATTAATATAAAAATATGACCTTTGATGCTTTATCACCATTGTAGTTTGAACATGTGGAACGTTACAGATATCTTTTAACGCAGCACTCTGGTTTTCAGCATTAATCCCATTTTTATTTTTTTTATTCTGTGTGGAGCTCCTTCCTGGGTCCCGTGCTATAGTGTAATGTTTATTGTGATTGCAGTATTGATTCTACAGCTACAGCAAGTTACTGAATTGAGTTATATGTGATCCATTGCATGATGCCTTGTTAACTCTTAATCTTTGACTCTAGACATCAAATTGTTAACCATCTGAAAGCAATTTCATTCTGAACAAAATGTTAATAGTTTACACTCGTATTAAGGAAATTAAGCCACTTCTATACAACCTCCTTTGAAACCACTGAAATAGAACATTGGTTTAACTGTGTGTAGTTAAATTCTGTTAAATCATGCATGTGTGTGTGTGTGTGTGTGTGTGTGTGTGTGTGTGTGTGTGTGTGTGTGTGTGTTTGTTGTTTAAAATTGCCATAACCATATTAATTCTTGCCTTCTTGTCATCACTTCACTGTGACTCCAATTTGGCTGCAAGCTTAAAGCATATACTGCAACTCCCCTTATTGACTCTCATATTCGCTGCCAAGATTTGGATGAAATAATTTTAGGAATCGCACAGCTTATGCTAGATTTAATAACTTGTACAAAGGTTTTTCAAACAGCAAAACATCAGGACAGCTGCACTGCCTGACTCCACCTGCAACCAATTACAAACTGTCATGGTGGGTTACTATGGTAACTGGGACAATAGTTGGATGTCATGACAACTGAAGCAAACTTTAGTCCGTAACATCTAAGAGTGACATGGTGTCAGAATCGGCCCATTGTTCACTCACTCAATGCTCCCTGTTTGATGAGCACATTAAAGTTGACTCTGGTGTGAGCAGGAAAATGAGATTCTGGACGTTTATGAATCATCATTTTTCACCACCACTGACAGGTGTAGCGTTGCATAATAGTCATTTCTACTAAAATGACAGTAACAAGTGAACAGTGATGAAGTATTACTTTCTTTGGGCACTCATGTTTTTGTCATATTGTGGGGATTTGTGAGTGCATTCTGTAGTGGAGAAAATGTTTGAGAGCTGTTGTCATGATTTTTTTATGTTTTTTCAGACTGCTTTAACTGGTTCCACCTGTCTTTCTTCTTTAGGATCTGTCTACAGTAACTCCAGTGACTCTACACGTTGATCCACATGGATTTTACCTCTACTGGACCGACCAAAACAAGGTTGAGCGCATATGCTGGCCTGAATCGCCTCTAGGCCTATATTGTTAACTAGGCAGATCATGATGAACAAATTTAGCCTCATGCTAAAAAAAAAGTTAATTAATTTAGTCTAAATTTGACTCATCAATTTTCATTCTTTCATTGGGTCAGACACAGTTCTGACTAATTACTAATCTGCTAACATTACATATTACTTTAAATATTTATCTTACTTTTACCCTCTTATTTTATATACTCTATTTTGAATGTGAATAGGCCAAATATTCTCAAATGTTCCTGTAGTGGCAGAATAATTCAGATTTTTTTTTTTAAGTACAAGTGCTAATACCACACTGTGAAAAAAATCCCACATTGAAAGTGTTACACAAGTAAAAGTCTGTAAGGATAATTAGGAAAACGGAAAATAATTGTAGTGAAGTACAATATTTCCCTCTGAAATTTAGACTTGAGTAAATGTACTTTAATGTACATTACACCACTACCATTTTGATATTTAAACTAACTACATATTAGTTGAATTATACCAGAGCCATGGTCATTAGTTCCTTCCAACAGCTGTAGCACTGTTGTAGATTTGCAGCCAAAATAGCTGCTTGTATCCATGGCAACAGTACCTGCTACTTGCTAACAGTTACGCTAATGCTAAATCTCACTGGTGAAACGGAGGTAACCATGGACTGTCTGACTACCAACAACCTTTAAAAATGGACACGCTTCTCTTTTTTTGCTCCTGTGGTAAATGGCTCTGGAAAAAATGCTCTAATTCAACACAGGATACCCTGACATAGAGTAAGTAACGGCAGGACAGTGCAGGTCACAATGCTAACATCCTTCTCTTATACAATGTCCGCTTTTTATGTACGTTGTGGAATATTATTCCTTACATGATTAATCGAGTGGATTGTTACTGAGAAAGCAGACATTTGACTTAAATTATAAATATACAAGAACTATAGCACAATGAAAGACAGCAGGGACAACTGATGAGGAACTGCAAAGAGCAAGCATATAGACAACATGTGATCATTGATTGTTATAAACAAGCGCGCGCACACACACACACACACACACACACACACACACTTTCTCTCTGGGTGGGCTTAAATCCTTAGCAGGAAACAGGATGAAGCATTTACCTTCCAGATACCAGCTGACTGTGTGTGTGTGTGTGTGTGTGTGTGTGTGTGTGTGTGTGTTTTCTTTAGGAGACAGAGTTGTTGGACCTGACCCTCGTAAAAGATGTCAGAACGGGGAGAAGCACCAAAACACCCAAGGTACTTATGTGTCAGGTCTCTGCTATCTCATGTTTGCACCTCGCTCCTTAGAGAACCCTTTGCTCCTGCATCTATGTGACCTCTCTGTGACCTTTCACCCAGTGGTTGCCACCCTTACATCGAACCACCGCTGTTCTAATTGTTGTTGCCGTCTGTGAGATGTTTTACTTTTAGGCTATATCAGTGACAAAGAATATATATTATATAATCCATTCATCCACCACTTTTTGTCACCCAGAAATTGATGTTCATATTTAAGCTCCTTAAAAGCTGGGGCATTCCTCTTCACTAAGTCTCTGCGGTTTTGGTAGAGGAGGGAATTAACCTTATTGTGATCACACTCAAATAAAGACTACATTAAGAAAACTTGAAGGTCAAACAGGAAACTGCAATGGATTATATGTGTGTACACATTTTATTCAGTTTTGAAGAAATTTAATTTGTTGACATTTGGTCCATTAATAAGAGTGATATACGAAGGCAGGCTTAGAATAAGACTAATTTATGACTAATTTAACACTATATTTTTATTTTTTGTGATGATGTCTGGTCCATTAATTATGTTACACTTTATTTTGTGTGTCTTGTATTCTATTGGATCAAATATGCCTGAGATTTTTTTTGTACAATCATGACTAAATACATATTGTGTATTGAGCATAATGGATGGTGCAGGGCAAATCGTACATGCACTCCAAAACCCAACACATTGGCAGTTTGCAGGGGATCTGTAGAGTTTCCGCATGAACTGGCACATGCCACTTGTGCCAACTTGAACTGACAGCTTCGACAGCCAAGAAACAAAATACCATGTACCATTTTTATGGTAAACAGCATATCTTTCAGATGCCTTGTCCTGCCTGAGTTCAAATAGAAAAAAATCAATGTACTGTCTTTGCCAACAAGCTGTCCAAAGACGAGTTAAAGTTTAGCCCAGGTGATAGTTACAAAGATCCTAAGTAACAGCAGTGTAAGAGGTTTTGTATGTTGAACCAACGGATATTTCACAGGTTTTTTGGGAGTTTAGAGTAAGAAGTATTACCACAGCTGGTACCACACCATTGCCACTTCATAACATGCCATACACTGGCATGGCCTATTACAAATATATAATTGAACATTGGATGTAAACTTTGATTATCTTTGATTATCTATTTGAACATACTGTATAACACTCTCACCATAAGAGCAGGACACTTTATCAATAAGCAGATGCTTATCTTTGATAAATGAGAAGCCCTCGCCTCGTCCATCTCCTCTGTGCTGCTCCAGCGTGTTTCAGCTGACAGCTTTTAGTCTGTGTCGTCCAATAGGAGGCCAAGCTGCGGGAGCTGCTCGATGTGGGAAACCTGGTTGGCCGGCTTGAGAACCGCATGGTTACCGTGGTTACGGCTTCAGACCTTGTAAACGTCAACCAGCTCAACTTCATTGCTTCACAGGAGGATGAAGCTAAGGTTCTGAACTCACTACAGTGATAATATCAGGGACTAAGCTGATGATGATGATGATGGTGATGATGATGATGATGATGATGATGGAGTATCTGATTTCGGTAGGTATGGTGTGAGGAACTGTTTTCCCTGTCTTCCAACCTGCTGAGCCACAATCTTAACAGAGACCACGCTCTGTTGAAAGCGTGAGTGTACACACACACACACACACACACACACACACACACACACAATAACATGCATGAATGCATGTCATTCTTATTGTCGAATAATAATCCTAGGAAAAGACCAAAACCATTCTGCTAACTAATGTGTGATTGTGTGTTTCCAAAGCCTGGTGTATTTTATTCCTTCAGAGTTCCATTGTTGTCCAGAATGTATTAAAACCACCTCAGTGAGCCACACTGTTGCACTGACTGATATGATCTTTTATTACCATGAACACACACACTGTAGTTTATTTTGAGCCCACCTACACCATCCTGCTGCCATAAATACTCACCAGAGCATCGGATGTGTGGTAATCCGCTGCTGAAAATATTCCCCAGCAAATGCGCTATTTTCTTCTGTTTTAGTCTTGTTTGCCAGAAACTAAGCTAAGTCTTAATAGGACCTTCTTTTTTTTTTTTTTACATTAAACAAACTCATCAAGTTACTAGTTTTCAAGTAAATTTGAATCCAGGTTACTATATTTAACTTGACTATAAATCTGCTCTGAGTTCACATCGGATTTGGTGTCCCAGAATACTGCTACTGTGACATCTATTGTATGTCCACTAGATGTCTGTGAAATGAGAAGGAAGTCACATTGAGCTCTTCAAAAGCTTAACATTTTGAAAATGTGTCTAAATGAGCATAAAATCACATAAATATCCCATTCCCTTATGTAAAGGTTGCTAAAAGAGTGTCGGTTACTACTTTGGTAAAATCTGCATTTTGCTAAATTAGATTTACCATTTTCACTTTTTAGTGTGCTACATTAGTGGCACCAAAGGACATTCTTCACATCTGTATGTAACTCTGTATCAGATCTGTTTGTTACCTCCATCAAAAAATAAAATAACCAATACCAAATACAAATATTTCTTCAGAAGTCTATAAAAGACATTATTCAGTGTTTTTGCAACAAGGACACCCCACAGGCCTCCATTTTATAAAGTGAGAGTTTCTGCTCAAGACTTCCATTGACCATGATAATTATTCTCATATATTCACTGTTAACCAGAATATCAAACTCCTCCTCATTTTGCTAGGTAATCAACTTCTGTGCAGTTTGTGATATACAGCTCTGAACCTTCTTACTCTTTGTTTCAGGTACGTCAGGTTAACGCTCCAGCTGAACACAGAGGGCAGAATTCCTGTCAAGAAGTGAGTTCCTGCTTATTATTACCTTCCTAATATTTAATCAATGGTTCTGTCTGCGTGTTAACTTTGAGGCACGTGTTACTGTAGATGGTTGAGGATGTGAGAAAATAGCCCGACGAAATCTGCAGAGACACGCACAAACTCAAACTTTGCTCTTTCCTGTCCCTTGCTTCCAAAAATACACTTAATTCCATGTGCACTTGGGAAAGCAAAAACAGGGACAGGATTCATGAAGGTGCTTAATTCAGCACTGACCTGGTAATCAACCACTGCCAGAGCATGAGATGGATTATACAGTTATGAAGGAAAGCTGTATTTTAGAAGCAAACCTTGAGTAGAATTAAGGTCAGTTGATATATCTTGGAAGTAAAGGAGGGAAGAGGGGAAGTTTTAAGGAAAGAAAGGTTTAGGCGATGTTAACTCAGGACAGTTCACACTGTTACCATAACCAGGAGATTTGGGATAGGTAAGGGGATATTTTGGGATTGTGATAAAGTACGTTTCAAGTTACATTGAGTTAGAGGAGGACAATTGGGGGAGTTAATTAGAGGGCGGGAGACTGGAGGAGATATTTTAAGGAGTTAAACTGCAGGTTCTGGTTTGGTGACATGTTGTGGTTAAGGTTGAGCTGATAATGTTGTGTGATTTCATTGTCTATTGCAGCATTGTTCGACTGTTTTCATCAGACAGAAAGAGAGTAGAGAATGCCCTGGAGAACTGCAGACTGCCCTACAGCCGGGTAAACACAAACAAATGAAGTTTGTATTATTATTAGTGGCAGTAAACTGTAGATACACATGAGAGTTTATAGCTTAACTGATTAGAGTATGCCATGGATGCATGCTTTGAAAAGTCTTCTCTTTGGATAACTACACACACACACAAAGTCTTTTTCAACTGTATCCTTCTTTTTTTTTCATTTTCTGTTTGCTGTTGAGGCTTTTATCTGATGCTTTTTATCCAGAATGACTCACAGTGCACGGAGGGGTGAAATGAGCTCAAATATCTGGGTCATCAAGTCTTGAAACAACCAGTGACAAGAAAAAAATGTAAGAGTCGAATTCTCTGCTCACACTGAATCTCACATTGGATATTCCTGTGAGCAAGATCCGTTTCAGTGGAGAAGAGTCGGGGAAATGAAGCGAAGATGAGGAGAAATCGATGATTGTTTTTAAGGTTTAAAAAACGTTCTTACAGCAAGTAGAAAGGGGATGCTGGAAGCTGACACACTGTCTTCGACACGTTAAAAAGATGTGGTTATGTCCTGTATATATTCGACAGGGTGACAGTATCAAACTGGAGGACTTTACACTAGAAGTTTACAGGAGCTTTTTGGACTTTCTGTGTCCTCGTACTGAGCTTAACAACATCTTCAAACAGCAGTAAGTATTCAGAAAACCCTTCACCTTATTTGAGCTCAGCTTTATTGCTTGTTAATGCTGAACAAGCTACAAAATAAGCTTTTTTTAAATGTGTTATTTCCCTCAGGCCAATTTGTTTGGTATGTGAAGAATGATGAATAATGATTCATCATCTGTCCCACTTATACACAGTGTCAGATTAGAGAGAGAGGCTGTATCTTTACCTTGAACAGTATTAACACGCTTATCCTCATTAAATTCAACATCGGGCTGCAAGTGCAATGGTGATTAGTATCAATATTGATTAATCAATCTATTCTTTTCAATTCATCAGTCTATAAAAGGTTGTAAAATGCAGACAAATACCCATGACAGACTCAGAGGTAATTTTTAATCTTCCACTTAATCATTTTGTCTGAACAGCAGTAAGAAAACACAAAGGAATTCAGTTTACGATGATGTGAAATAGAAAAAAGCTGCAAATGAATAATTGCAGCAGCTGATTGTTTTAGCTGTAATTCAGTTTTCCTCAAGGGCGATGAAATAGGTCTGTTTATTTGTTAAACAATGTATATCAGCTTTGGAAAAGTTCATTTCCACTAATCTCTCTACATGTAGCTTAATTAAAGACTGTGTCAGTGCTGGTGTGAAGATAGCACGTGAAACATGTGGACATATTGAAGGATAACAAAGGATCATGAGGGATACTTGGAGGATCTGTAGACACAAAACCTCAGCCCTGACCCTGCTCTGTTCTGTAGAGGAGGGGATGATGGGACGCTGTCAGTCGATCAGATGACGGAGTTCATCAACAACAAGCAGAGAGACCCTAGGCTGAATGAAATCCTCTACCCGCCTCTACGTCCTGTACAGACAAACGCTCTGATGGAGAGGTACCAACATGACCAGGCACAGCTGAAGCACGGTACACACACACACACACACACACACACACACACAGTGTCTGGTTGACACTGAGGACACTCGCTTCATTGTATATTCCTAAATAGCTAGTCAGCAGCATTTGTTAGCAAGATGTATTTTTGTATCTGTACATGGACATGGTACCAAAACACTCTTCTAACCCACGCATATACCCACAGAGAATACAGTAAACTGCTAAAATAAGCATTTAAGGTGCTCACACTTGTGTTGGATGCTATAAAAAGAAAATGTGGCACCTACCTAGAATCCACCACCACATCTTGCACGATTTGCTATCCATCAGATATACTAGATATATATATATATATATATATATATATATATCGTCCAAATGAAGCTGTTATGTTAGTCAGATATTGCTAGAAATGACTTTGCAACAAATGTGGTGCAGGAAATACTTTATAGTGTTAATGTAGACAATAAAATTGTGTATCAGGACTCACTATATTTAAAAAAGAAATCCCTATTGAAATGTTTACATAAAGCTTGAGGAGCGTCCAGAATAACCACTTCATTGCTCATTTGTTAAAACATGTAGCAAAGCCATAAGTATTGTGATGTTTTTATCCCTGCTATGGTTTTATTTGCCTAAATAAAATGTGCTCATATACATTGATTAAGGAAGGCAGTGTTGTCTAGACATTAGAAAACCAACAAGATGTTATGTCTGCAGATTGTAAAATATTTATACCTAAGAAATACCACAAAGATGAATTTGCTCTCTCTGAGGCTTTTATGTTTTTTTTGATGGAATGAGTTTCTTACTTTTATTTCCTTATAATGTGTCATGTTTGTGTGTGTGTGTGTGTGTGTGTGTGTGTGTGTGTGTGTGTGTGTGTGTGTGTGTGTGTGTGTGTCATGTAGGGGTCATTTCTTTACAGGCATTCTCCACTTATCTGTCCAGTGAAGAGAATGGAGTCATCCCACCAGAGAAACTGGATCAGTCTGAAGACATGAGCTTCCCCCTCTCTCACTACTTCATCAACTCATCACATAATACATACCTGACAGGTACACACACACACACACACACACACACACACACACACACAAAACTGACCCTTCTAAAGTTCATTACCAGTAATGGTTCATTTGCATCAAGAGATTGATGCACTCAATGGCTGTATGATAGTAGTAGGAAAGAGAGCACAAGTTTTTACAGAAAACAACAACCAACTCAAGGATTATGTTTGCTGTTGACACCTATAAGAACGTGAAATGTGGGTAAACAACAGTCTGCACTGATTCTAGTGCTTGTTTATTTATTCACTTCAGAACAGCAGAGAAGGTAAATTACAATGAAGGGCACATATTGGAAGTTTCTATTTGTTGTGACTCCAACACGTCCAACATCTCTAAACAAGAAGACAGTTTAAATTCTGTGAACAAAGCAGAATGTCAGGGGAACACAAAGCTCCACTCTGTGAGCCATTATAGTTCTTCAGAGTGGCACTGAACTCAAAAACATCTCAGAAAATCACCTCACTGCCACCCTAAACACCTCAAGTGCAGTAGAGTAAAAAAAGGACCTCACTGGTATGTAAATCAGTATCTGACCTGAAAAGGACACATGACTTTGTTACCAGAAACAGAGATGGGCCTAGAAAGTGATATTCCATTATTCTCTTTACAAGCTTTAATTGAGACATCCAGCAAAAAAGGGTTGATCGACTTTGTCAGTGTGGACAAGAGGTAGCTGCATTGTTTCATCTGTCATAATATCTTATTTCGTTTCTTGTCCTCGTGTTTTAGCGGGCCAGCTGGCAGGGAGCTCCTCAGTAGAGATGTACAGACAGGTTCTTCTGGCTGGATGCCGCTGTGTGGAATTAGATGTGTGGAAAGGACGAACTGCTGAGGAGGAACCCGTCATCACACATGGGTTCACTATGACTTCAGAAATCTGTTTTAAGGTGTGTATGCAGTGTCACGAGTCCCTTACAGGTAATCTGTAGGCACGTTCATAGTGCAGCTTGGCAGAATGTACGTTCGTGTACCAGATTAGCAATTCTATGTCCATTGAACATGTTTTGAAGACCATTTAGGGGAAATTTCTCACATTGTTGTTTCTGTGACTACCTCAAAATGTTTCTGACAGACTGGCAATAAGAACAAGTGAATTGAATCAGATGCATTCTCCTCACATTGGTTTCTCAATAGTTTGAGAGCTGATTATAACATTTTACTTCTTAATGGGCTTTCTGGTGCCAGATGGGGTTATTTCTTGCACAAATTCTCCATCTCTCTTCCCTCATTTCATCTCTTTCCCGTGAATTCTAATAAAGGCATAAAATGCCCCAAAATTGTATATTCTCTCTAGAATTAACTGTGTTATATAAATATTTAGTGAACACAAAAACATCTCGGGGATAATCTTACAATTTTTTTTATTTTTTATTTTTTCAGGAAGTGATTGAAGCTATTGCAGAATGCGCCTTCAAGACCTCACCTTTCCCTGTCATACTGTCCTTTGAAAACCACGTGGACTCGTGAGAATCACTTCCAATATTTATATATTGATTAATGTGTAAATTAAACTATATGGATGGATTACAATATAAGATGTCTATCTATCTATCTATCTATCTATCTATCTATCTATCTATCTATCTATCTATCTATCTATCTATCTATCTATCTATCTATCTATCTATCTATCAGTTTGAAGCAGCAGGCTAAAATGGCTGAATATTGTCAATCTATTTTCGGAGAAGCACTGTTGATTGACCCTCTGGACAAATACCCTGTAAGTAAGACACACACACACACACACACACACACACACACACACACACACACACACACACACACACACACAGTTGCATATTGTGTGTTCTGGTTCTTGTCTGAGTGTTTGTAATGTTGTCTCCATTGTGTGTGTGTGTGTGTGTGTGTGCAGCTGGAGTCAGGTGTTCCCCTGCCCAGTCCTCAGGAGCTGATGGGCAAAATTCTCATCAAGAACAAGAAATCCCACAAACCCTCCAATAACACAGACACCAAAAGACTGACGGACCAACCTGCCAATCAGAGCAACGATCCAGTGTCTCCTAGCAACAACACAGGAGGTAAGACTCAAAGACACAAGGACTTTTTTCAGCCTGAAATGTGTTCGGCAGTGACACAACGACAGTCTTTGTGTCAAAACACAATAATGACTCTGTGGTTTCTCAGGCTACCAGAACTGCATATGGCTTGAAAATATTAAGACCAAAGAGTATTCGGGCTTTAATTTAGTCGTACTTATTGTCAAATATATATATATTTATATATACAAACATACGTCCTCTCAAATATGAGCCCTAGCCAATTATGAAGAATATCATAAGCATGGCAGTTACAGAGTTTATCTTACTGTAGCTTATAAAAACATGTTTTTAATTGAAGTTAAAACATAAAAGTCACCAAATGTTGTAATTGTATGTATTATCACGCAAAAAAATGTTCTCATATTTTCTGGATTCAGGGTGTTTTTGGAAGTGCCTCCGTCAGACAACACCTCTCATTATTCTATCATCATTTCCATCATGATTTTGGTCAAAGTGACAATTCTGGTCGCACTCTTTGGTTTTTTTTCTGCAGCACTTTGCACCTCATCTGGGATGTCTCAGTAATGAGCAGGACATCCCAGAAGAGGTCGGAAGCTCAGAACAGCAATTAAACAGCGGTGCAGAGGGAAATCAGGGAGCCTTATTGACATGTCTGATGTGCAAAATCCTGAAAACAGGTCTGAGACTGAGAGCCCAGTCGAACCCAAAAAGCAGACTATTAGCTATGCTGAAGTACATACTCATACACTGGCCATGACCCCTCAGTCAGTGAATGCTTGAGTGGGCTGAATAATCACCTACCAAGTTAAAGCAGAGGGTTGTTTAGAAAACTACAGGCATCTGTTTGGTTTATATTCTGTTTGTTTTGTGTGTTTTTCCTGCTTTAAATCACAGCACAAATGTGTCCTGTATCACTCAGATATTGTTGCCTGTTTATTTGTGGATGGATTGTAACAAAGCAAAAATCTCTCATTCTTGCAGAATGACTCAAAGTTTAAGACACTCCTACAGATGACACCGCTCTTAACAATAAGGAAGCTTTTAGGTTATTGGCCATATTGCTGTGTAGTGTCTGAATGATAATCTACATCATATTTGATCTGCTATTTTCCTGCATCTAAATGTCTCCCATATAGTGTTTTTTTTTTCTAACCCTGACTCAGGACTCTCATCAAACTGAAGTGTTTATATGATGGTAATTGATAACAAGTCTGCCTTTAAGTCAGACTTGATAAATTGGTGAATTTGTATCAGAGTGTTCCTTTATGGGTGGATAAAATAAAACCCTATTAGATTAGCTGGAAAATATATTGTCACAAAGCTGAAAACTGTTTTTCTGAGCTCATGAAAAGTTGACTTTTTAGAGGTAAGTGGTTCAGCCACACTGCAAATATATGGTGATCTTATAGAATATGATTCACTGCTTTAGATTAAACTACCCAGCAGTATGTAGGGTAGTTCAAATGAGATCAACCTTAAACAGCAGTAATATTAAAACATCACATATATTAGTACAACAATGACAGGGACCATTTTAATGATACATAACTTTAGCAATTAATGTTTTGAATGCAGGACTTTTTACTTGTAGTTTAGTATTTCCACAGTGTGTTGTTAGTACTCTTACTAAAGTCAAGGGTCTGCTACTTCCTCCACTGCTTATCCTGTGTAAAGAGTGTCATACTGGTCTTTGATATTTGGAAAGAGAAGAAGGGGGCTGAAGAGACGATGAGGATGAAGACTTGTTTAACTTTAATTTTAACAGAGATGGAGGCTGAGAGTGAGGAAGATGATGATGATGAAGATGATGATGGTAAAAAGGTCAGTGGTGACGTTACACAAAAAGTCGAGGGGCGGTCACCCTCTCTGCTGTCGCCATTAATGTTTACAAGTGTTGTTTATTTTCACTGTTTTGTTGTTTATTCTTTATGCCATTGTCATTGTTAATCTTATGTACTCTAAATGTTATTGTTGTTGCTCCTTGTTAACACTTGCTGCTTTCTCCGGTCATTTGTGTTTTGTTTTTGATGTTGTCTCTGCAGTGTGTTTTTGTTTAGTCATTTTTGCTGTCGTCGTCGTTGTTGTTGTTTATTCTTAATGTGTCCTGTTGCTATTTTTCTTGTCCTTAATGTTAACAAGCAGTGAAGGCTTACTGTTGACTGGTTTGATTGAGTTTTGATTAAAATAGTCCTCCACCAGGTTAGCATTGCTCTCTTATAACATTGTCAGACTCACAACAGACATTTAAAAATGATCCAAATGAATGTCGCACAACCAGACGTATTTCTACTTATCACACACATTTTTCTGCCTTCTCAAAACCTGGAGCCTAAGTACCCACAATGCAACTAGACTGCAGACAGTTTGGTCGGTGATTCGGTTGTGTTACGCTAGTAGCAGCTACTGTAGGCTAGATCCTCCAGATCCACACTCCACACCCCCAGATTTCTTTTTATTCCCAAACTTGCAACCCCAATCACCGCTGACTCAAATGACATCACTTGAGGCAATTTGCACATATCCCTTTGGATCCACAAAAGGCTTTATACAACTTGTTTGTAGCAGTACTTCCTACACTATGATCAAAATCAGCTGAGTTCCCCTTAGAGTTTATCTTCACAAACACAGAAGCTAAATATGGAGAAATTTTGGGGGGGGCACAAGAAGAGACACAATCTAGTAAAACAATGAAACTGCTGATCGAAATTTGTTTCTATTCCCATTCAAATAGATAAAAGAAAATAAACAGGCATCAAACAGAGCAGACAGGTGTGTTAGGTGTTGAAACACAATTCACTATAGAGCAGAGAAGAATAGGATGAAAACAATAACAAGAAAAGCAAGAAACTGAAAAGAAAAGCAGGTCTGCTGTGAGATCTGGTAGAGACTGCAGTGAGAGGTCAGTGTGTTTGCACATGTGTGTGTGTGTATTTGTGTTTGAAATGTGGATGTCTTGTTGGAGCTGATTTGCTGTCTGTATTACTGGTCACCATCCGATGCTGTTTTTCGTCACTAAGTGCTGAAAACTCCTAACTACAGTTCATGTGTATCCGTTGAACCTGTTGAGTTCAACTGAGCTGCTTCCTTCCCAACATTTGCCCGGTTCACATTATTGGAAATGATGCAGCCATCAGACCATTAAACTCAGCTGTCTGATTTCAACTTTACTCTTAAACTTTACTCCTGCTGTCATTTATTTCAGGGCTCAGCAGAGCGAGAGGCCGTGGCCACAGAGGAAATGTCAACTCTGGTAAACTATGTCCAGCCAACAAAGTTCAACTCCTTCGAAGCCTCCAAGAGTAAGAGTTGACATACTGACACACACTCTGCTTTATATTTCTCTGTCTGCAAGACAATTCTTGGAACAGTACTCACACAAAGCTGGGAAATCCTTCAATTTCATTTCAGGATCAACATTTCATATGTTGAGGATGACCTCTGAGGAACATTTACAATGATACAGGAGCAGTTTCTCTGTCATTGACCTCATTGTTTGATAAGATTTCAATAAGAAGTAAAAAATAATACAATACGTTATCTGATTTGTCATTTTAACCTTTAGGTTTTAAAACGAGGCGTGCAGAGTTTGGGGCCTTGCATTTTCCCACAGAAACAAAAAAATGAATTAACAGCAGAAAGTTATTTCAATTTATATCCAAAGACAAAGTAGAAATCATGTTGAAACCAAGATAATTGCTGAAACAAGTGTGTGTGTGTGTGTGTGTGTGTGTGTGTGTGTGTGTGTGTGTGTGTGTGTGTGTGTGTGTGTGTGTGTGTGTTTGCTGTGTTCGCTGTGTGTGTAGAGGCAGCCCGCTGTTACCACATGTCGTCTTTTGTGGAGACCAAAGCTTTGGAGCACCTCACAAAGTCACCAGTGGAGTTTGTAGAGTATCCTTGGAAACAGTTACCACAGTCGCACCACGCCATGGCAACCGCCTCTATACTGTTCTTCTAGCCTCTTTTGATGTTTTTTTTTTTCATTGTTTTTATAAACCGTCTCTGAACAACTTCTAATATTTGTTTTAATGTCAGTAACCGCAGTATTGTCATTGGAAGTCTCTATACCAGTGTGTAGCAGGTATAATATATTTTTATGTGAATATATATTATGGAATAAGTGCAGAAAGTTTATTAGAAAGTATATTATTTTTAGTAGCACAGTAATGGTAGCAATTGTAGTAACATCTATACATAAGAAACAAATGTTACCTAAAATGATCTACATGTACATATAATGTTGAAATGTCTTTCTTTTGGTTTTGTACATGTGAAGTAGTCTTGCAGCATTTTTCATCTTTGAAATACAGCAGTGTCTTTCAATCCCTTGTGGCATGTTCAAATGTTTGGCATGACATGGGGATAAACAATATTTGCATTGTTCTTAACCATACATTTACCAGATATAATAAATCCCAGTTGAGTCGTATCTATCCAAAAGGAACCCGAGTCGACTCATCCAACTTCATGCCTCAACTTTTTTGGAACGCTGGCTGTCAGCTGGTGGCTCTCAACTACCAAACAATAGGTGAGAGTCCTTCGACTTCTGATCTCCAGTTTGTTACTGTAATAGATTGTTACTGTAGTTATATGTCCATTAAGTTTAGCATGAAGCTTTTATGCAGTAGAGCAGTGATTCACAACCTTTTTGGCCTTAAATCAAAGCTAAGTCTATTTTCCTCAAGGTTCTAGGTTGTGACCAGTTCAACCACAGTGAGATTTTTTCTTCTCAAATTGTTTTATCTGAATAATTTTTACGTGGATAAACAACTAAAATTATCCACTAATTCGCTAATTTACAATTTATTTTCCTATCTTGATAGAATCTCATGATCCCCAGATTTATTTTATAATACATTATTTTTAATGGTAAAAGTATATGTTCTGGCCAGCGGTTATAAATATTGTTACTCGTTTTCAGCTGTAAATACTACACTTCCCATGACTCAACCGTCATTGCAAACACTGCACCAAAGTTGCTGAATTGACCCAAAATTGTAAATAATAATAATAATAATAATAATAATAAGTAAACTGGCTGAAGCCGAAAATATATTTAATGAATTCAAAGCTTCAAAAACCTCAAGCAGCCATTGGAGGCATATCAGAAGAATTCCGGTGACTGGATGTTCCTCGCTGCAGTGCGCTGTTTGACTCATGTCTCTTAAAGATTCATGTATGGATTTTTTCACATTTTGTACTTTGGATTCAATCAGGAGCGCTTCATCTGAGCCTTAGAAATCTGCAACACCAGTCAGATGAAAGTGCCTTTGTCCTCTGGCACACTGGTCGTGTGCTATCATTCCTCCTACGTTGCTACTCTTCAGTTGAAGGAGTGCAACAGCTCACCTCAAGCCTTTGTAGCCTTAAACACAACATTAGCTTTTTGTTCCAGATTTGTCCACGCAGCTGAATCTCTTCATGTTCGAGTACAACGGTCGGAGTGGCTACAGGCTGAAGCCTGAGTTCATGAGACGGCCAGACAAACACTTTGACCCCTTCACAGAAAACACAGTGGATGGCATCGTAGCCAACACCCTCTCTGTGAAGGTACAGTAGCAGAAGTTTACTTTTGTTAAAGCTATTTATGTTATTGTAGCTTCCTACAACTTACACTTCAACTTCACAATTACAGAAAGAGACGATCCTGCTGAATCATTATCATCATTTTATATATAATGTAAACTGCCCCTACTGTAGTATATGATATTCACTGACACATTTGTCTGTGTCTGGCTGTTTATATGGCTCTGTGTCGTAGGTGATTTCAGGCCAGTTTCTGACTGAGCGGCGGGTGGGTGTGTATGTGGAGGTGGAGATGTTTGGACTTCCAGCGGACACCAGGAGGAAAGCGCTGAAGACCAAAACCTCCCAGAACAACAACGCCATCAATCCAGTGTGGGACGAAGAGCCCATTGTCTTCAAAAAGGTGAGATGCAGCAGAGAGACAGGAGGGAGTGATCTAGATCTAGATCTTCAGTCAGATCTAATCTTACACTACCACTGTCTCATCTGTGTGACCTCTCTGACAGGTGATTCTTCCGACCCTGGCCTCACTGAGAATCGCTGCTTTTGAGGAAGGAGGGAAGTTTATTGGTCATCGGATTATTCCAGTGTCTGCCATTAGACCAGGTAGTTATTTTAGTCACACGTATTCCAACCCCTTTATCCAGAACTTTCTATTTAGAAACTTTAAAGTGGATATATGTGAGTTGTTTGTTTTTTTTTATTTATATTTTGGTGCTAACTTATGCACTGCACCTCCCAGAGACCCAGTCAGTGTGCTGTCTTCATCTATTTATACCAGTAAAGTCTGAGTTTCACTCCTTTTTTACCTCCCTACATTTTCTACATTTGTATTTATTCAAAAATTGTGTTTTGCTGGTGTAAAATCAGAACTATAACAGAAAACTCACCAGATGACGATTGTTTAAAACTGTCAAAACTTCCTGAACTGGAATTCTGATATATTACCATTGCCTTTACATGCAAATGACACACATTATTACGTTAATCCCAACTTGAAAGATTAAAACATGCATACTTATTTCAATGGCTGTGTAGACTCTAAATACGCAAATTTATTTGTCACATTATTCAGAAACTTTCCCACTTACCTTACCTCTTGGTTCTCGCTGTTTTTAAAAACTAATTTAGAACAGCAAGCAGAGACATGCTGCTCTTGGAAAAATGTCATTCGGCACTTTAAATGAAATTACTGGTAATTCTTTTCCTTGTAATTTAGTCATGACTGATGTTTAGTGTGAAATCAACTGCATCTCTCCCTCTCTCGCTCCCCCCCTCTCTCTCTCGCTCTCTCTCTTTCTCTCTCTGTCAATGTTCTTGGAAGATGTCTACATTATTGTTCTCTCCAAATGTTCAACCCAAACGATAGTAACATCAGTGTTTCCTTTAGGTTATCGTTACATCGGCTTGAGGAATGAGAAAAACCAGTCTCTGATTCTACCAGCTGTGTTTGTCTATATTGTGGTCAAAGATTACGTCCCAGACACCTTTGCAGGTACATATTTCAAGTCAAACTTTCCCTTTCAACACAAAGTGTCGTAGAAAGGAATTCAATGATTTCTTTTGGGATTACAGACATAAAACAAAATAAAACAAAATTTAAACATAAAACCTCCAGCAGATTTATATTCATGCAAGGAGGATTGCTTTGTGACCTCTGACCTGTAGCACTACAGTGAAAACGTCCACTCGTTCACAAGAAATCCAAACATCAAATTCATGCTACTCAGCTGTCTAGAGCCGTTGGCACCACAAACACTCAACCATGCACAGAAGATAGACTTGTAACAAGTTTCCTGAGCACATTTATGTTCTCAGTAGGAATATACCTTTTCTCTAGCATTAGATGTTTAAACACAATACAAAACAAATGCTTTTGTGCAATGTTGCAGCATCAAGGGAGACTTTACTTTACTTTCCACCTCTCAAACACATTTTCTGCTGTACTACTCTATATCTGAGTAGCACATACAAGAGACTTTAACTTTGTCTCTATAGACCCTCCGAAGTACAACTGGAGGCTCTGTATTTATCCACTTCCATATATTTCCTCTCTAGATGTGATAGAGGCGTTGTCCAACCCTATTCGATATGTCAACCTCCTGGAGCAGAGGTCTAAACAGCTGGCAGCTCTGACACTGGACGACGTAGAGGAGGACACACAGACTGAGGTCGGCCCTGTTTTTCTGTCTTTGTCTTGAAAGCAGAACATTGCACATTGTTCTGAACGCTGTAATTCCTGTTGGTGTTTGCATTCAGGAGGAGGCAGACACTTGTGCAGAGCGTAAGAACGATCTGAAATCAGCTCCACTGGAGAATGGACTCAGTCCCGCCTCTGGGCCTGCAGGCCACACCCCCATCGCCACCACGCCCAAAGCCTCTGCGGCCAATCAGCAAGTAGCTACGACAGGTAGCTTCCACATACAAACAGAGATATGAGCACTCATTTAAAGAGTGTTTGATGTAAATCTTAGATGTTTTCATATTATCACTTTAGAAATAGCTCTAGTGCTAACAGTACTGTGGTTATTGATGTTGATTGTGTCTTTTCTACATTTTAGATGCAGCCAAACCAGCAGCAAAGAGTGAAGATCTGGTTTTAAGTGTTCTGATAGGTCAGTGTTTACATATTGCTTTCTAATCATTTGTAAAAGTCCTGGTATGCAATAAATCCATATCATTATTATAATTACTTAAAACCAAATATATGTGTATATACTGTAGCCTGTAAGCCGATTGGACATGGAGGTAGGTGTGTCTGTGCTTCTAAATGTGCTTGTGTTTGGTTTTCTTGAAGGTTAACTGGTAATGGTGATACAATCCATCTGTATTATCTAAAATACAAGGACTGTATTCTTTTTATAGCAGGACATGTTGGAAAGACTTGTTTAACCAAACATTTTGGTGATGATTGACTAAAAAGGTATTAATAATAACCTTTTCAGCATTAACAGAAGCAACAGGAAAAAAAAAAGACCAGAGATTTTTGAAAACGTTCTGTATGATCACTTGCGGTAACAGATGTCCCAGTGTGCTCCATCGAGAATCTGCAGCAGTCCAAGGTTTACCAGAAGGACCAGAGACGTCAGTTCAAAGAGCTGAAGGAGTTAGTGAGGAGGCACCAGAAGAAAACCTCAGAGCTCCTCCGAGACTTCAACAACAAGTACAAGAAGATGGCCCGACAGTGTAGCAAGAGCAGGTATACACACATAAGGTGTAATTAGTGTATTTACCCCTCTCTCTTCTCATCGTATTACTTTAACATTGAGTCAGTGTGAGTTAGTACACATTAAAAGCTCATTACACTTTTTTGTTCAATATAAAGTGAGATATTTCTTTTAATGTAAAAGTCTGCAGCTTATCAGCAGTCTACACTTTGTCCTCTGTTTTTGTATTATGCACGTCTGTGTGTTTATTGCTGTCTATATGTTCTTCAGGGGTTCATGTTCCGACAGTGAGAAAGACGAGCGCCTCCAGCAGCTGAGAGACGAGCAGCAGCAGCAGCTCCTGGCTCTGAGGCAGGAACAGTACTACAGTCAGAAATATCTACAGAGAGAACATATTAAAATGGTAAAGTCTGACTAAACCAAATGCTGCTGCTGCCTAACCTGACCTTAAGCCTAGCCGATGGCTCTAAAAATTGACAATCTATATTTGGATGAACTCTTTTAAAGCTCCCTCTCTGTTGCGGACAATTTCTTTGACATGGGCAGTTCAAAATAAATAACAAAATAAGTGAATAAGTGTCACTGGATGATAGACATAAGAGGACATAACAATATAATTACATTACAAAAACAATTCAGATTCCAGTAAAAAGCTATGATTAGGTTCTGTAAAATTAGGTCAAAACCAACGCTGCAGGTTCTGTAATAATTAGTTCTATGTATGTTTCACAGACCCGATGTTATGTCATATGTTAGCCCAGTATGTTTTAATTGTGTATGTACAATGTAACCTGTCTGTTTACTCCAGCTCACAGAGCGACTGAGCAGCCTGGCTGAGGAGAGTCACAATACCCAGATGAAGAAACTCAAAGACATCTGTGAAAAGTAAGGCTGTTAAATCTCTATGGGAGAATTCCATTGTTAAGAGCTACTTTCATAACAGCCGTAGCTTGAATAGCATTTTCCTCTGAGCCTTTCCAGGTACACTGAATATCTCCTCATGCTTACAGTATGCCATGGAACTGAACAAAGTAAAATTTTAAGAAACAGATTTAATGTATTATTATGTTTGAAAGTTGAACAGCTGCTTTTTAATGGCCTAAGATTATAAGTAGAACTGACTTTGTCAAGGGCCATCTTTGGATTTTAGAATTATTATAAAATGTATATGTGTCCTTAAATTGTTTAATATGATGCTTTATCTTTGATATTTTGGGGGGATTGGAACATCTAAGGGTCAGCCAGGAGGCATCTTTTGCCACTTTTTCTGTAACACTTTTATGTTTTAAGATTACCGGCGGGCGCCGATACAACCATTTTCAATACCAAATAGAACATGTTTAACCACTTTTTCCATTTTCAATGCTTTTCCTGCTGCTGCAGGGAGAAAAAAGAACTGAAGAGGCAGATGGATCGAAGGAGAACAGAAAAGATCAACCAAGCGAAGACCAAAGAGAAACACCTGGCTGAAGAGTACGATCCATAAACACACAGACACACACCGATATTAATCCACTGCACCTCACCCCAGATACCTGCTGTACTTCCTTCATCTGCTTCATGCACTGATCCCGCTAGTCTTGTCAGGAGAGAAAAATATTTTGCTCAAACTCAACCCATCTGACTGTGTGTTCCCAGGGAGAAGATTGAGATCAATAAGTCCTACGTCAATGAAGTCGTCCAGAACATAAAACGGGTGAGCGGAGGATGGAGAATCTGGGTTAAAGCAGCACAGGATTTTTTGATGGGTTTTTCTATAGACTGCTGAGACGATGATGACAATTTTATGTCTCTATCTGTACACCATCTCTCTGTCTAGCTGTAGATGTAGTCTCTCTGCAATCATAAAACGCTCCATAAGACTCTTTGACTGTCTGTTTTTCTGTCTCTAGCTTGAGGAGACTCAGGCGAAGCGCCACGATCAGCTGGTGGAACAGCACAATGACCTCCTGCAGGAGATACAAGACCAGAAACCAAAGGTAAAAAACTCATGCAAATTGTCTTCCCAACCTGCCCATCATTGCCTGTTTCTTAAATTTCTTTATTTCTTGTCCTGCCTCAGTGAGATGTACCTCCTACTATTTTGCATACTTTCACGCCTGAATGCGCTACACAGCAAGAAATGTTTTGTACACGGAGCTCCAAGCTGCTGCTGCTGTTTGTGGCTCCACACCCACACAGTGTAGAATCAGTACTGACGTCAACACGGGGCGTTTGAGTGATGTAACGTGCCCTCTGGCAGCCATATTGGAGCTGCTCAACTGTTGGCAGTAATGGCTGACAACAGCTGGTTGCATTTCTAAATGTACAACCCATCTGTCTCAACAGTAGGAAATAAACACATTTCTATGTTGTTTTTTTACTGGGAACCGAGTGATCACCAATATATTTCACCGAGTATGTGTTTATATAATCTCAGTTTTTTTTTGCAGCAGTAGATAATCACGGCATCTGCTGAAGCTGTCAGCGGGCAATCAATCCGAAAGGAATCTATAATCAATATAAACCACCACCGTCTTGTCTTTCTCCAGCTGCAAGGGGCCGTGGAGGCGGATTTCCAAGAGAAGTTCCAGTGTTTGCCTGGTGAGATTGAAGACTTCCTGCAGGACAGGAAGCCAGAGGTTAGAGGTCACAGCAAGTCCCGACCATCGACGCCGCATGAAACTCTATCAGAGGAGGACTGAGGAGAAAGACGTGCGGAGGATGAAGAAGGAGAATCAAGAAAGTGCAACAGATCAAAACAAAATACACGGAAGTAAGAAAGGCAAAAACAGCAGATGAAAGGGTAGTGAGGGAGCAAATGAAAGCAGAGGAGATATATTATAAAGACTGTTACTTTTCTTTTTAATGGAAGAATGCTTTAATGATTTATTTCTGGATTCCATTCAAGCATGCACTTTGCTGTATTCCAGCGTTTAATCAGAACCCATTTAATCTTATTTTCTGTCATGTTATTTTGACAGACAACTGAAACCCAACAGTTTGTACTGCATGACAACTCTATCTATCTATCTATCTATCTATCTATCTATCTATCTATCTATCTATCTATCTATCTATCTATCTATCTATCTATCTATCTATCTATCTATCTATCTATCTATCACTCTATCTATCTGACAGTTTGTGCTGTCTGTTTTATATGCTCATGGGGAGACGTTATATAATGGTACACAATCGCTACGAATCAAAAACTAAAGTGCGAATTAACGTAGAAAGAAAATTGCTGGCACCTCAGCTGGATTTTTTTAAAGCATTTATTGCATTTTATTTATTTATTAATGCTGTATTTGTTACACTCACACACAGTTGCACACACACTCTCTCTCCTGCCCAGTACATCCACAGTCTGCTTTGCTGGAGTAGCTGGGGGTTAATGGCTTTGCTCAAGGGCACTTCAGTGGTGGTAATGAAGGAGTGGCATATGCTCCTCTCTTACTTTTCCTACGCAGTTTCATCCACATTTTACTAGTCTAACATTTAGAAAGTATAGTAGAATTAGAAATAATGTTACATACTATAATTGATAACAGGCTGATGTGCACAGCAGCACAAGATAACACACGTACCGTAGTGTAATGTGAATACTGTATGCTTTCCAGGATATAGGAAACACACACACATACACACACACACACACACACACACACACACAAACACAGTGTTTTTCAATGATTTTTGTGATCATGGTTTTATGTTTACATCAATGCATCTAGTATCATTAAATATTTCAAAAGCATATTATCAGGACATTTTGGGTTCTTTTGTACCTGATTGTTCATTTAGAAGCTGACAGTCATCCAAGACCTTAACAGGCATAATGAGCATGTTGCCACACTTGTTATGTGAAATGATTTTGAGTGAAGATATCAATGAATTAGTTTGATGTGATGGTGGAGGGTAGAGAAAGAGAACTGACTGTACTTTTTAGTTAATGAGATTAATGCCATAGACTACCACTGGATCATTTATTACAACCTCAATATTTTGATTATGCACTTATTTATTTATTTAATTTGGGATGAAATGACTCTCAGTGTCTATTTCTGTTAAGATATTAAAGTTCTATATCATAGCATGACTGTTAGCCTATGACATTTAGAGGAGGGAGGAGATTTGCACAGAAAGATAAGGGGATGAGAAAAAACAATCTTGCAAAATCACTTGTTTTTGATTTCTTTTAAAAAAAAAAAACGATCAGACTTTTCTGACCAGTAGCGGCAACATCCCATCGTTTCCCTCCAACTGCTACACAAATGGTCTGACAGTTGGATGTCCTGCTAGATGTGGAAGAGCCTCAAAGTCTGCTGTCACTGCATGATTTATTTGTTTTTGATGTGAAACTTGTTTTAACATAGTTATCATTCTGATGATCTATTTATTTATTGTTATTTTCATGATAATTAAGGATCAAGAGCATAAACTATTTCTAAAGCTGTTAACAATTGTTTCAGAGTGCAAAGTCGACCTTTTTGTAAAAATGTGAACCGAATGGAGCTTGTCACTCTTTGTACAGTGATCTTCCAGAAAATATTTGTTGTAACAACTGAGGCTTAAGCTGTGTTCAACAACCTTTTTGCAGAGAACCGTGTCTTCAGATTTAAGCCACTGTTGCTTGAGATCAAACTATCTTGGCCTGACCTCCTAAAGGTAGCTTACACTGCAATTTCGATGGCAATATTTTCGACTCAGCTGCTTACTCTGCGTGCTAACATTAAAGTACCTCAGTATTCTGTCACCACTTAGGTCAAAATGATCTGTTAAAAACATGTTTTAAGTCTGCGAAGTGGCTGAGGTTCTCCAACAAAACGCCTTGTTGAACGCACCCCTGCTTTAGTGATTAAACTGAGCATGCTTTATTGTCTTGGATTTCTCCGCCAGTTGAATTGTTTCTTGGTTTTACTGAATGCAATTTTAATTGAAAGACTATTAAAAAATATTTGATCTAAAACTGAGGCGTTATCAGTTGATATTCAGAGTGCTACACCGTCCAAGATCTAAGCTGTATTAACTTTTAGGATGCACTGAAGAGGCGAATGAGAGGAGGTAATTGCTGTTGTCAGTCACATCGAGACAAACCCACTGCATTTGTGTCTGTACACAAAACCGTTGCTGTTGCTGTGATTTGGTGGATGAGCACGATAATGTGGGCTTTCACAGACAGGCAGGGTGCTGTAGCTGTCGCGGGGGAGGAAGGTGGAGGAGGGTTTTCAAGCTGAGAGATGGTCTGTCAGTTTCTGCCTCTCTGTGTTACACTATGAACATTCAGTGAATAGTGCTATGCATGTGTTCATTATATGTTGGAGTTTTTATTCTTGCTTATTGTGGGAGGCTTGTTTGTTTGTTTATTTATTTACCTTGGCAGTACAACTTTTACCTCACTTGCATAATGTGTTGCCTTTTTCTCATGTCATTTGCATTTCTCTAACAACATTTTTAACTTCAAATGGCCATCCAGTTGGTCTGTGTTAAGGTTGGTAAAGCCTTGCTCAAATCCACAGAACCTTTCATTTATACTCAGAGATACAAATATATTTTCATAAAAATGTGTTTACAATGATGCACAAAAACTCTGCAGCCAATAGAAAATAACATCTGGGATTTAAAGCTCTTCTAATCAATATTATTCTTATATTAACAATTAACCACCACAACCACTGAGCGGCATTCAAATGTTTGCAATCTGCAACTTCACTGAATCCTACACACTGGTCCCAACCTGGGGGGTGGGACCCCCACTGTGGGTCGCCAGAGCTTCATGGAGGGGGTCACAAAGCCTTCTTCGTTTTAAGGTGTGTAAGAAAACTTAAATACACACAGCAACCCAATATGTCAACATTTGATTCACTTCTGTGAAGAAAAGTAAATGTAATGTAAAGAAAATTGAGTAAATGATCTAATAGAACAATGGCCAAGCACCAGGGACAAGAAAACACTGAATTTGTCATAAAATAAGCCTCTTAAGTGTGTATGGTTGTTTAAAGATTACAGAAAATACACAACACAGACAGAGAATTGTATAAAAAGTCAGGAAATAATTTACTCAAGATTCATCCAATCCTTTACTGTTTTGGTTAATTGTACAGTTTTAAATATGAAATATCCCAAAAATATGTCATTAGAGGTCATCAGTTTACTCAGTGATGACAAGGTGTCCCTTAAGGAAAAGGGTTAGGGACCACTGCTTTAAGTTGATATTATGCCTGAGAACTGCGTTTCAGCTTGTTGTGGGGTTCTACTTCCCCCAAGTGGCCAGATGTCAATGAAAGCACCTTATCAGCACCAAGCCTTGGAGAACATTAACATATGGCCGACTGCATTCGCTGTGAAGAGCGAGAGTGAGAGTGGTGGGAATTTTGAGAAATCTGAAGGTCAAACATTAAAGCTTTGATTTGCTTTAAAACTGACAACTTTTGGAACTTTATACAAGGAAATATCTCACAATGATGTCTGTGACTAATCAGAGCAGAGTTATTTGAAAGAGGTGCTGCTGTTAAATGTTTATTTTAGTTATTAATGAATGTCATGTGCAGCACAAACCAAATCAACCCCACTTCACCAGAGAGGGGATGTAAATCTAAGAGACAATATCTCACAACCTGCAAACATAAAACAGCCTGCTGTATCTGCATGGCCGGACACCACCAGAGGTAAGGGAGAAAATGTTCTTGTTGCCTTTCCTATTCTTTCCAGCAGATGGTGGCAATACGCCGCAAAGGACCTTTCTCTCCCGCCGTAGAAGAAGAGCTGCTGCCTCCTCAGCATCAGCATCAGCACCAGCAGAGACGTCTCCCTCCTTCCTCTCCTCTGCTCTGCTCTCTCCTCTCCTCTCTCCTCTCCACTGCGGAACATCGGCCTGTTTTCCTCCCATCGCTCCGCCAGCGGCAGTCCCAGCTCGCCATGGACAACACTGGGAAAGAGAAGGAGGCCATGCAGCTGATGGCTGAAGCCGACAAAAAGGTCAAAGCGTCCGGATCCTTCCTCGGAGGGATGTTCGGGTAAAGGATGCTTTCGTTTCTCTTCTCTCTGTCTGTTTACCTCTCATTTTGGTTTGGGGGGGGGGGATTCCTGTACGCAGGGCCCATCGAAGCCTGCCAAGTGTTTCTGCTTTCCTTGACGGAGAAATTGCTTTAATATGCTTATAATGTTCCTTAAATAGTACTGTTGCGTTACTGTGGTGTCCGATCATGAGCTAATGAGGCCCGATCAAACCCCTGTATTGCTCTATTGTATGTTTTATAGGCTGTTCCTATAATTGATTCTATGCATCCTCCCAGGAGCTGACAGGAACTTCCACTATGACACTGCGTCCTTCTCATAGATCTATCCAGGGATTTGCATAGCGCCTTTTTTCACCCGCTATAGGCTCAAAATGTGAGCTGTCATCGCAGATAATGTGGCCTGCGTGTCGTGGCCTGTCACGCAAGAGAAATGTAAATGTGGCAAATCGCCTGCTGCTGCTGCTGCTGCTGCGGAAGAGGGGAGCGGGCTCGCACTGAGCGTGAGGCCGCGCAGGAGGTGCGGGGAGGCGGGGAGAGCAGCGCAGCCAGGACGGTGTGCGAGGAATCAGCCGGTGGAGATGTGATGATGCAGGGGCTGATTTTTATTTTTTATTTTTTATGGTGTGTATGTGGGAGTGGGCCTTCATGTGTGGGAGGGGCGGATGTTTACAAGTAAAATGGAAACCCTGAAATATAAATTTGATGTGATGTAACAAAGATAGATAGATAGATAGATAGATAGATAGATAGATAGATAGATAGACAGATAGATTAACTGGCTTATTGATAAATTGACTGGCTGACTAAGACTATTGATATATTGAGTGCTCATTCTGAAGTGGTCATTTTGAGCCAGCATCTATGCTCTGTCATTGTGCTGAGTCAACTAGTAGGCCTAACTTTATATTTTATGTTTTAAATGTTGCATTTAGAGAAATTCTGGATACATTTAAAGGAGTACAAATTCACACAAAATACAGATTACTTGAACATCAGGAAAGTAATTGGTGATAAATCTTTTTTTTAATGTGTTGCTTTTCTTTGTCTAATGTGATAATAAACTGAATAATATTGGGTTTTGTTGATGAGGAAAGGCAAGGCAGGGGGCTTTAGGAGCTCATTTTTTAACAGACATTGTTTAATAACAATTAATTGAGAGAATAATCGGCAGATTAATCGAAGATGGAAATAGGCCTAGTCAGCTGCAGCTTTAATTCAGTTTGTATAATCCATAAACTCATGGAAAATTACAGTGCTCCATTCTTTTAGACCTAAAGCATACAAACAAAACAATCTAAATAACCAAAATTAAACATAAGCTGAAACAATAAATATAAACTCAGCAAACACATAAAATCTGTTCACAAAGAGATCAAATAAGAGTTAAAAATGAACCACAAAAGAACCATTAAAACAATAAGAATGAGCGAGCGAGGTCTAACATTTGTATCAATCAGTTTTCATTTTGATTGATACTTGAGTAACTCAGACAAATACAGGGGCAGATATACTGCAGGTCTCAGACAGTTTGGAGTTTGTCAGTTTGAGGTTTTAAACCCAAATTAGTTGAATACAAATCTGTTTCTTTTATGATGCTCTCCTCTCGTTCGAAAGCCCCCCACCACTCAAATCAGCTTTTCCACATTTTTTACATCTTCATGGTATAAAATCAACGTTATAGATAAATAACATGATAATATCTTCTGTAATCAGGCCTCAAACCTGAGAACTGAAATGGGTCAAATATGTTTACCCCACATGGGTACCAGCATGTTTTTTTTAATGAGCCTCAGCCCCGAGTTAAGAGATGAAGCAAACTCAGCTGGGGTTATTCGGTGGTTTTGGCAGGTCATGGCGATCCACCATATTTCCCTGGTAATTTAGTGGACATGCATGATATGGAAATGTGTGCAGATAATTAAGCGATGATGAAACCTTTCATTTCATTGGTAGAAACTAGGACTTTTCATACTGTGACTGTGTATGATGCAAGAACACTATACTGTGATCCGTGACCTGCAATCTCCATAGGATGTGAGCACAAAATCATTTAACACAAAGGTGGATTGATTATTATACAACATATGTTCATTAAAAAAATGTGTCATTGTTGGCTTAACAAATCAAATATACAGTCAAACTTGAGTCAAATATGAAACTAAAATCCATTAGATTTTTATTCCTGTTGTTACAGCTTTAAAAAAAAAAACAGATTCATTCCTCACAGGAGGGTAACTAGATTTTAGAGAGTTTTAGCTGCAGGGTGAACGTATCCTCAGCTGCCCTCCATGACGTCCTTCAGCTGGACAACCCTGCATGTTAGTTTAAAATACTCTTTCATATTGGAGGACAAAGGCAGAGTGAAAATTAAATGTTTTTTCTATTTTAAAAATACATCACAAACTAATGGCCTCAAGGAGTCGAAATTAAATTTGAAAAAAAAAGAAAAGCAAATGATTAATTTGGTTTCTTTTTGCCTTTTGTGTGTGTGTGTGTGTGTGTGTGTGTGTGTGTGTGTGTGTGTGTGTGTGTGTTGCAGGGGAAACCATAAGGTGGAGGATGCCTGTGAAATGTACGCCAGAGCAGCCAACATGTTTAAGATGGCAAAGAACTGGAGTGGTAGGTGACACAAACACACAAACATATACGTACACATACTCATACTGCATAATAAACAGAAAAAACACACATAATTCTGTGCACAAATAAACAACTCCTACACAAACACCCACACACAGACACACACATTTATTTGAATGTTGTTGTTTTTTTCCACAATTTATCAGGATATGATGATGATTCAACAGCCTGCAAAGAGTATTATACTACCACATACAGCAATGAGAGGTTTAAACATACCGTATACACACACTGGATTGAAAATTCAGGACATTAGGGACAAATAAGTGAGACATTCATGGCTGCAGAAAGCGGCGTGTGCTCTAGATGTGCCAATAATAGCTCATGCTGAGCAGAATTTAGCTGTTTAGATGTGTGTTTTGATGCGTCTGCTGCCTGATGAAGACTAAATCGTGAGCACTGTCCCGTACTTCAGTGAGAGTAAAAAATTAGTGTTTGGTCAAAGACAGGTTAAGTGCAACTAGAAACTGACTTTGGATTACATTTGCGTTTATTTAAGCTTGTCCCAATCAAACTGTGAATCGCTGTGTGTGTGTGTGTGTGTGTGTGTGTGTGTGTGTGTGTGTGTGTGTGTGTGTGTGTGTGTGTGTGTGTGTGTGTGTGTGTGTGTAGCTGCGGGGAATGCATTCTGCCAGGCCGCTCGGCTCCACATGCAGCTGCAGAACAAACTGGACTCTGCCACCAGCTTCGTCGACGCCGGCAACGCCTACAAGAAGGCCGACCCGCAGGGTGAGAACTGCTGTCTTACAAACACACACATTGCTGAGTCAGTTATCCAGTATCTACTCCAGTGCAGATCTGTTCTGTCGCAGTTACTCCTACAAACAAAGATGGCCATTGGTACTGATAAACATGTTTATCACTTTTGTTACATTAGAAAATAAACATCAGGCATTCATGTTTGGCTGAAAGAATATGATGCAAGTGGATACACAGATAATTGGGCTTATTATCATTTGAATTTGGACATCACTTATCTCATCAGACCGAGTTGTTGGACTGTGTGAGTTCCAGTCTCTCATTTCAGAGAACAGTGTTAGAACAGTGTGTGTATGTGTTGTTTAGGGACTTTATTTGTTTGCCTTCCAATCCAGTTACTATCAGTCGTTCCTGTTAAGATTCTTTTAAACAGTTTTTAGTGGATGAACCAAGTTCACCTACAGCACCTCCAGCTCTCTCTGCAGAGTTTACCATCATATCTTTATGTTACAGTTTACAATTTATGAGAAAAGGATTAAGAACCTGAGGACAGAAGGCAAATTTGGGTGAAATGGTCCCAAATGTGCCTTCTTTCCTCAGTTTCTTCAACCTTTTCTCATAAATTGTAACATAAAGAAGCAAGGGTAATCGTTTATTTATTTATTGATGTCCATATCTGCACTGCTACAGGCGCATGCAGGAGTTTGTGTTCTCGCTGGATTTGAAGATCTGCACTGTGGTCTACGCGTCATGCATTGTGCTGTCCTTCTGTATTTACTCAGCTAGCTACTGAGACTAAAAACATATGTTGGCAGAAATCAGTCTTTGTCTAGTCTTTGCAAGTTTCAATGGTCTTCAGATCGGATTATTGTTGCAGGAAAGTGTGGAGTGAGTGTGATACATGTCATTTTATATCACAATATCAATATATATAGACTATATTCAGTATATAGTGATATGATAAATTACCTGGATGAAGAATCTGACAAAACAATTCATTACATTGATGCAAATATTACATAAAACCCAACATGCCATAAAGACATTAAACACAATATTAACGGTATGCAAGAATCTGACAGTTAACAAATGTAGAGATTGCTTCACAATTGATGTCGCCTTATTGAAAAGCTTTTTTATTAAAACATTACAGCCTAAAGCGAGGAGCACAATTCCCTGATCAACTATATTGTACTCAGCTGTGGCGGTTGCTGCTTCGCCGTCTGTCCTCAGCTCTGGGAGGCATTTGGACACACATTTGTGTCTAACATTGTTGATTTTCTTGGACCCGGTTATTTCCAAGATGTTACAGCAGTGGCAACCCAGTACCTCAAAACATGCATTCAGTGATATCATGCATGCTAGGACTCTGAGTAACAGTTAGAGTACACATACTCAAGTACTATGCTCAGACGTCCAGTGTGTAACATTCAGGAGGATCTATTGGCAGAAATAGGATACAATATTCATAAATATGTTTTCATTAATGTATCTACAGAGGGAGCAGGTCATCTTCCATGTTGAACCGCCATGTTTTTACAGTAGCCCAGAATGGACAAATCAAAGACTAGCTCTAGTTAGGGCCTTCTCCGTTTTTTGTGAGTGTCGTGGCCATCGTAGTTTCTCCTCCACACTAAGAAGGCTGAATGGTATTCAGAATGGCGATCTGCAACTTCACCACAAGACAATACATTATTGATCCCCAGTGGGAAATGTACACACTACCCAGCAGTATATAAAGTAATTCATATTTGCCCTCTAATGCATCACTAGCTATAGCATATTATTCTTAAATGGGCCGTTCTGTATAATGAGTAGCCTACTTTTACTTTTGGTACTTGAAATATATTCTGATGCTAATGCTTCTGGTACTTAGGCTTTTGAATGCAGGACTTTAACTTGTTACAGAGTATTTCTACACTGTGGTATTGCTACTTTTAATTAAGTAAGAGATCAGAATATATCTTCCACCGCCTTTTCTTTATAATTATGACACAGGCACGCCACACTTGGTCAAAGGGGAAGCCTCTGTATCCCTTCGCAGTGAGAGTCAGGACCCTGAGGTGGTATTGTTGGAAGATTAAAACGGGTCCCTGACTTGCTCTAGGAAAATTGATATCTGGGTTATGCTGCAGCAGCCCTCCTGCCTCCCTGTGCTTAGCTTAATAAAATATTGTGGGTTAGCAGGTTAGTAGTCACAGGGGGAGGAAACTGCAATAGTTTTAATTTGACAGAGTAGACTCAGAGGGCTTCAGCAGACTCTTTTTCTCTTCAGTTTCCTTGTATTCATAATATCACTCCTTACCTTCTTATCTGTCTGCTTCCAGAGGCCATCAACTGTCTAAATCAGGCCATTGACATCTACACTGACATGGTAAGCTCTGCCTCAACCGTGGAACTGTTTCCTGTTACAGCCATTCTTATCTTTAAATAATACCCTGTATGTGTTGTTGGTTACAGGGTCGGTTTACCATCGCAGCCAAACATCACATCACTATAGCTGAGGTTTATGAGTCTGAGCTGGTTGATATTGAGAAGGTTTGTGACCCAGCCTTTGTGATTTTATGTTTTTGTTTAGTATAAATTGCACATGAATTAATTTTATTTTAATATAAATGATGATCTTCTGATGACTTGCATATCCTGTTGCTTGTCTTTTTGCTTTCAGGCCATTGCTCACTATGAGCAGGCAGCTGACTACTACAAGGGAGAAGAATCTAACAGGTATATGTGTTTCAATTTGCAGTGAAAGCTAAACTAACACATACATAATACACATATATATGAATAGAGCTGGAAATGATTTGTCCAATAATTGATCATTTAAATCTACTTTTAAGCAAAAATGCCAAACATTTAATTCCCGCATTTTCTGCCTTTCCTTTTCTTACATTACAGTAATGAGAATATCTTTAGCTTTTGGACTGTTGTGTTTTTTTTAGGTTTTTGAACATAATTGGCAAATTGAAATATAATCATTACATGACAATATATATATTGTGCATGTATATACTTTCACTGTGTATCCTACATAGCACCAAAGGGCAGCGAGTCACACTAAAAAAGGCAACAATATGATGAGGCGGTCACCTCCACTCCCACAAATGTATAATAGCAAAGCCTGGTGGCCTTTACAGTACAGTGGCACATCATCCATCATCTAAATTGGGCTCCTATGTGAAAGTTCTGCATGGCAAATGTTTCTCTTTATACTTCCAAGCGTTGAGCATAATGGCGGAGACAGTAATTACTCAAATATTACCCGTTAACTTGTGGGTCTCTTTGTTTGTGTGCGTTTCAGCTCAGCCAACAAATGTCTTCTGAAGGTTGGACACTACAGTGCTCAGCTGGAGCAGTACCAGAAAGCGATTGAAATCTATGAACAGGTAACAGGATAATCACCATATCTCTATATGGTAATGAAGAGAATCTCCCTTTAATAAATATTACATTTGTAAATAATAAAATGTTTCAGTTGACTCAACTATACACTGACTGCAGTTTGTGATGTCATTTTATTTGATTGCAATGTATTGTAAGGTCTAATGGGATGATTAAGGTTTCTATAATATGAATAAGCATTATTTATAGAGACATTTTTCTTAGCCGAGTTGTCAAATGCTCCACAGTGTGTAAAACAAACTTAAAAACAAAAATTTATAGCAACCATAAGTGAAACTGCACAAATAAAAAGATTCATTTTTTGATGAATGTCGGTAGAATCTGACCACATGCTGCCTTAAGAGTCAGTAATTATGTGTGTTTCTGCTTGTGTGTGTGTGTGTGTGTGTGTGTGTGTGTGTGTGTGGGGTGTGTGTGTGTGTGTGTGTGTTTCAGGTTGCTATGAACACCATGGACAACCCCCTGCTGAAGTACAATGCTAAAGAGTATTTCTTCAAGGCTTCACTGTGTCACTTCATAGTGGACGAACTGAACGCCAAGGTAATACACACACACTGCATCAGACAGACACTTACACACTGTTACACACACGGATGCGGTGTAGTAGTTTTAAATATTTTATAAATACAGTATGTGTCTGTTTCAGTTGGCCATAGAGAAATACGAGGAGATGTTTCCAGCCTTCTCAGACTCCAGAGAGCTCAAACTGTTAAAGGTAAAATGTCTTCTGTTCAAACATTTTATAAAAGTAAACATGTTCAGCTCAAGTTAACGCTTCAATGTATTAAAAAAGGTTTCTGATTAGCCCAGTATTCATTAAACTATGAATCATATTCACACATAACCTTATGAGTGTGCATAAATATTGTATTAAAGATCATGTTTGCCTGTTATCAGCCCACGATCTTAAAAGTTTTAATTATCAGTTATATTAACAATAGTAGAAACAATTTATCTGACAAAAAGCAAAAGTAATGTCTTCTACAACTGTGTTGCTTGATTTGAAATTATAAGCCATGTCTTTTAATTAAATATATGAGCACTTCCTTGGCAAAATGGGAGATCATGAGGGTTTAATGATGCTCACTAATCCTTAGTGTTAATAAAGTTCTGTGTTTTGTTGCCACAGAAACTCCTAGAAGCCCACGAGGAGCAGAACAGCGAGGCGTTCACGGAGGCAGTTAAGGATTTCGACTCAGTGTCTCGTCTGGACCAGTGGCTGACCACGATGCTGCTCCGCATCAAAAAGACCATCCAGGGAGACGCTGGGGACCTGAAATAGACAAATGTAGAGATAGGGGAGAAAGGGGGAGGGGGACAGGGGGAGAGGGGATGGTAAAGACAGAGGAAAGGATATACTAGAGGGGATTGGAAATGAAATGAAGGGAGAGGAGAATGTGTTTTGGTGGACAAAAAAAGATAGACACAGAAGCAGGAAGATGAAAGGGGGGAGGGTACAAGGGACGGAGGGTGGGACTGAGGGAGTTTACAGTTGTACATATCAGTCTGCATGTGACCCCCAACTAGCTAAGCATCACCTTTGAACCACCTTTAGATGACCCTGTGTCCCTGGTCCTACAGTATTGCTCTCGTAACACTGGACTCAATTGTACTTAAAGAGAAAGAGTGAAAATAAAAAGTGTGTTTGACAGAGTATGTGTGAGAGTGTGTGTGTGTGTGTGTGTGTGTGTGTGTGTGTGTGTGTACACTGCAGTAAGGTAAATCATAATATTTAATGGGAAAGTGTGCAGCTCATGTCAGATTTAAGGGTATATGTTATTGAAAAGGGATAATAATGTTATTTATGAGATTATTAATATTTATTGTCAATACAGAAAATATAATTTATTGTTTATTATGGTGCTCAGTGTTACGATTTGTCTTAATATTTAGGTATTAGCCCCTCTCCTCTCCTCTTTTATTCTCCTTCGCTTTCTCTCCTCATCTGTTCCTCCTCCTCTGTCTCCCCTCGTCCACTCCTCACCCCTAGTCAAGTCAGTAATATCACCCATTGTGATTGGTCGGTTCTTTGTGTTCTGGCCAACGGTTGGTCGGTGGAGTCAGCCACCAGTGCTTACTCCCGTCTCTGCCTTGTTTGTGCATGTCTGTTGTCATGTTGATGTAAGTGTTCTCCGTGTTGTGCTAATGTGTGAAGAACATACATGTAGCCTGGTATCATTTGTGTGAAATCAGTAATTATGTACCTCAGATGCCGAGTTGAAATAAAAACATCATCGCTCCAGATTTGTGTTTTTGGTGTATTTTCAGTGTGGCTGCACCTTGCTTTAAGTACTTACAGCACTGACAGGTTGTAAACCAAGGTCACATCCTGACTGTAGCACTGAATGCACTTTGCTTAATGCAACAACTAGTAGGCCATGATGTCATGCTGCAGCAATGGCAACACGAATCTGGACCAAAATCAATGCTTGATTTTTATACCAAACATTTAGAGATTGTTTTATCCCTTAAAATACACCTTTTATATGCCATTTAAGGGTGTTTGAGTTTATATAAATTGGGATTTTTGGCATACTTTTGCACCTTCCCACCATAAAAACAGTTGAAAACGAGGCTAGAAGCAACTCTGAACTGTAAAGTCATGATACAATAATGTAATTGCTTTTGTATAGAGGTGGAATATTTAGGTGAAATGAAATCCTAAAATATTAGTTATATATTCCCTGTAACCTGCCTTTTTATACTGCGTAGGTCTAAGCACATTTACTGGCAATTGCAGGTACGTCCTATAACCACAAGAGGGTACTATTGCATTTAACAGATCGGGGGGTTACATAGGCTTGTCTCACGATCAGTAGCGTGTGTCATTATTAGCCATAAGATATGTGTGATTTCTTTTAATAATATTATCATTGCGCATTGACTGTAACTACTACTAATTTTATAGACCTCACAATTGTGTCAACATCAAACAAATGTGTAACAAAGGTGTAGCGCTCTTTATTTGCATACAGAAATCTTTAAACAGAGCCCAGATGGAGATTTTAATTTGTCAAGGTGTTACGTCGAAGTCTGTTCCCCCTTCTTAAAGTGTCCCTTTGCCCGCGAGCTTCGTGGGTCGCTTATGTTTAATTTGGGATTTGGGTCAAACAGAGTTTCATTTCAACATCGCAAAAAACGACGGACTGGTCAAAGGAATAAATGTGGGCTCAGGTTGCGGTACCGTGGGACACTAATCGGCGGGGGAACCGATTTCAACACGACACTTTTACAATAATACCCACAATACATTTCGGGGGACCCGTTGAATTCTTCGACACTAGTTTCCGGTTTGCTGCACGTTCGTCGCTCCCTCGCGTTTCACTGTGTTGGATTTTGTTTGGGTGGAAATTGTGACCGCCACTTATCTCCCTAACTGGTCGAGACTCAGTTGTAATAGTTTCACTGCGGGAGGAGAGAGCAACAAGCCGCAAAGATGCCGCGAATCATGATAAAAGGAGGCGTCTGGCGCAACACCGAGGTACGTGTTTACATGGCTAGCTGCGTTAGCATTATGCTAACCACTACAAGTAAATAATGAGCCTGAGGTAGCCTGGAGCTAGCTGCTAACTTAACTTACATGATTTAGCCATAGCAAGCCGTAGCAACTATGGTTTATCTGTATATGTATTTATGCTGCAGTTCAGTTACTGCTTCAGTTTGACCGGCTACGTCATTAGCAAACATTATTACAGCCTACAAGACTTAACAAATGTTAGCAGGGGAGCTAACGATAAGTGATAATAGCAGTAATAATGTCTGTCAACAAACCTATTGTTGATCCTAAGTGTTTATACAGTCTGATTGGATCAAAGACGTGACAAGATAATAACCATCTGTCTGCCCATTCATAAAGGATGAGATCCTCAAGGCAGCGGTGATGAAATATGGCAAAAACCAGTGGTCTCGTATCGCCTCCCTGCTGCACCGCAAGTCTGCCAAACAGTGTAAAGCCAGATGGTGAGTCTTGATACAAAGACATGTGATGTCAATAAGAGCAATTTAATTGTAAACATAATCTAAAACCTTGGATTCATTAAGTTTTTTTAAGTTAAAACAGAACTTAGTGTAACATTATATGTAGTCGTAGTCCTACCTTGGCTTTGTGTCTGTTTGCAGGTACGAGTGGTTGGACCCCAGCATCAAGAAAACAGAATGGTCCAGAGAAGAGGAGGAGAAGCTGCTTCATTTGGCCAAGCTTATGCCCACTCAATGGAGGACCATTGCTCCCATCATAGGACGCACTGCTGCCCAGTGTCTGGAGCACTATGAATACCTGCTGTATGGTTTTATATGATATAAAGCACATTCATACACTACATATGTAGTACATATATACAACTACATTTATAACTATGTTTTAAGTTCAAAGCAGACTTTCCCCTTTGACCTTGATTATAAGATCATTGGCAGTAGTGTCTGCAGATTATTGTAAATGCTGTTGAGTTACAGTTAATGTGTGTTTATGTCTGTGTGTGTTTAGAGACAAGGCAGCACAAAGAGACAATGAGGAAGAAGTGGGAGATGACCCCAGGAAGTTAAAACCAGGAGAGATTGACCCTAATCCTGAAACTAAACCTGCCAGACCCGACCCTGTGGACATGGATGAAGGTACGTCAACACACTTAAGACAATGACGAAGAGGCTGACTTGTTGCTGAAACTTTAGTTTGAACTGTAACCATACCAAAGGGACATAATGTACCCTGGTCCTTAAAATATCTACTTATGTTCTCTCACAGTTGTCTTTTACATTTCTAGTAGTGATTGTCAAAGTCTTATGTAGCAAATCAGGCTGCAGGCATCCTCTGGAAGGTCGATCAGATAAACCAAATCCAAGTTCTTCTTCATGTTTGTAACTGTAGGGGACAGCCGTTTGAACTTGTGTCCTAACAAAATAAATGAAAATGTAATGATAAATTCTGTGTCTGTCTCACTGTCTGTAGATGAGTTGGAGATGCTGTCAGAGGCCAGGGCTCGACTGGCCAATACCCAGGGCAAGAAAGCGAAGAGGAAGGCCAGAGAGAAACAGCTGGAGGAAGCCAGGTTAAATACACACAGTCTGAGATGTAATATCATTATTTTCATGCCTGATGTTCTTGAACTGGAACTACAGGGATGGAAAGGCCGACAAAGTCCAAAAACTAGGCATCATTGAGTGTCCCCCTTTTTGTGCTGCAGACGGTTGGCTGCTCTGCAGAAGCGCAGAGAGCTAAGAGCGGCAGGAATCGACGTTCAGAAGAAGAGGAAGAAGAAGAGAGGAGTAGACTACAATGCTGAAATCCCCTTCCAAAAGAAACCTGCACCGGTAACCACGATCAACTGTTGGCATTCATTGAGCAGAACGCACAACACAGAACAGAACAGCATTTGGGCTTGATGTAGTACCTGTTTATTAATTGTTTAACTTTGTTTACTTTAAGGGTTTCTATGACACCAGCATGGAGCAGTACGTCGCTTTGGAGCCAAACTTCAAACGACTCAGACAGCAGCACTTGGATGGAGAACTACGCAAGTCAGTAATTTTATACACACATACCATTTGGAAAACAGGGGAACACACACAAGAGGCTCATAGTATACTAATACAGTTAATAGAAAACAAACAATTACATTATCAGTAAATAACACTGTTGAGTTCAACTTCATATAAACAAATACAATGTTAAAGGTTAAGCAGAAACACTCATGACACAGTAAGCATGTACACACAAACCAATGAACTTATGGCCTTCTTTCATAAACTATTTTGTGTGTGTGTGTTTGTTGGTAGTGAGCAAGAGGAGAGGGAGAGGAAGAAAGATAAACAGAAAATCAAGAAGAAGAAGGAGAGCGATCTCCCATCTGCCATCCTGCAGACCAGTGGAGTGGCTGAGTTCACCAAGAAACGCTCCAAACTGGTTCTACCTACACCACAGGTAACCACTGCAACACCTGTACTACTGTAATATTTTTAATTAACGTCTTTTACTGGTTACTCTATTTATTTATTTATTTATATGTATGTATGTATTTAATTTAACTTCCTTCATAGATCAGTGATGCTGAGCTTGAGGAAGTCGTCAAATTGGGGGTCGCAAGCGAGGTTGCCCGTCAAGCTGCAGAGGAGAGTGAAAGCGGTAACTCTGCCTCCTCCGCCCTCTTGTCAGAGTACAGCGTCACCAACACCATGGCAACGGGGCTGCGTACGCCACGCACCCCTGCTGTCCAGGACCGGATCCTGCAGGTAACAGACAGAGTGAACGTGGATAAACACACACTGAACATTTGAGTGAGAGTAAGACAAGCAGCACAGTGTTTTGTCAGTGATGGTTTATGTGAATTAGTTTAGCTAAACTAACTATTAAAAGTAACTAATATCTACAATTTGAGTTAGACAAATGTGTGTACAGCTCATACTGGCTTATTACAGACAGAACCGTATGTATGTGTAAATGCAAAAAAGAACATTTACAGCATATACCTTTTTAAAAAATTGCTGTGTGTCAACTCTGACACACACAACTCTCAATTGAATTTAGAGATTCTTACTAAAAATGAGTGTTTATGTTTTTAGGAATCTTTTGACCGATTCTATATAGTATATAATAATATAAAACGTCTGCAATATTTTCTTACTCACTGATATCAACATCAGCGCAAGCGGAAATCCTTTATTACACATCTTTGGATGTTAATTAACTTTCTGTGTTAAATATTTACTACCTGTGTCCGTCTGTATTTCCAGGAAGCCCAGAACCTGATGGCTCTGACCAACATTGACACCCCTCTGAAGGGAGGCCTCAACACTCCGTTGCATGAGAGCGACTTCAGCGGCGTGACACCTCAGCGCCAGCAGATACAAACACCCAACACTGTTCTCACCACGCCATTCAGGTAATGATTCTGTCACAGCTACACAGATTTAAAGCCCGCTTCACATTGTGCGTGTGTGTGGTGGAATGTCACCTCAGGCGTTCAGCAAGGCAGCCGCCGCACAATGCTCAGGTTGGCAGTGTGAACAAAGTGTAACACTGTGCATTTAAATGACAAAGCAGCTGGTACTGTAAATGGTAAAATTGATGGTCATCTCATCCTTTACAGGACCCCTGGACAAGGTCAGGGGTCAGAGGGCATGACTCCACAAGCAGGAGGAGTGATGACCCCACGCGGGGCAGTTACACCAGGGTTGACCCCTGTCCGCACGCCGCTGAGAGACAAACTGAATATTAACAGTGAGGAGCAATTGGCTGACCCTGCATACGCCAAACATATGGTAAATACTCATTCCACCTATGTAATACTGTAAATGCACAACTCTCACATCAATTCAAACATTAATAATTATTCAGTTCAAGTTTTCTGGTGCCGTACAGTATGTTGTATTTAGTAAATATAAATATAAAACTAAACCAGGTCAAATAAAATGTCAACAAAGTTAGACTAGTAAGGTTAATAACTATAATTAAAATAAGAAAATGAATTAACTGCTCTCTCTCCCATCACACAGCAAAGAGAAAGCCTGCAGCAGCTGAGGCAGGGCCTGATGTCTCTTCCTGTTCCCAAAAACGACTTTGAGATTGTTCTTCCGGAAAACGCAGAGAAAGAACTTGAAGAAACAGAGACAGAGACGGGATTCGTAGAGGATTCTGCAGACGTGGAATCACGCAAGCAGGTATGCCCCACATGTACACAGTAACACTTGAGAGTTTCAGTGAGGGCATGACATGAAATTAAGATTTAATGTGTGTGTGCGCGTGTGTGTGTGCGTGCGCGCGCAGGCTATACGGGAGGCAGAACGAGAGAAGGAGTTGAAGCTGCGACACACTTCTGTTCAGAGGAGTCTCCCCAGACCCACCGAGGTAACAAACTAAGTTGCTGAGAGTTTGATCAAGTTGACAATGTTAACACCGCTGACCCTCTGATAAAACATGTGTACATCAGCCCCTTTCAAATTCCTGTGCAGTCAAATAATCATTTCTGGCAGCTTAAAAAACCAATCTTACCTAGAAATGTAAGGACACTGTGTCCTGAGATCACTTCTGTTATGAATTGACGCTATACAAATAAAATTGAATTGAATTGAAATTGAATAGACTGACATTGTTGTATGAGGAAGATGACGAGTATCAACATTAGTGCTTTTATGCATATTAGCCTGATGATATCAGCGTGTTACCGATCGCCTCTGCAGGTAAACGAGTCCGTCCTCCGTCCCACCTCCATGGAGCCGCTCTCTGACCTCCAGCTGGCAGAGGAGTTGATCAAGCAGGAGATGATCACCATGCTGCACTTCGACTGCCTGCACCACCCCTCAGCCAACGCAGCCAGTCAACTGCAGCGCGGCAAAACCAGAGGCCCCACCTCTACATCGAACAACGCGTCACACATAGCGTACCTGGAAACACACTCCTACAAGCCAGTCAGTACAGAGGAGATGGAGCAGGTAACACACGTCTTCAAAAGTGTTGTTTTCTCCTCAGAAGTTATTCAAACAATGAATTGAAAAACGTGCGGTATAACCTGTATGCAGATATACTGTGTATATAGAAGTGGTTATTAATAACTTGTGTGAACAGGCAAAGGCGGCACTGGCAGGAGAAATGGAGGTGGTGAAGGCCGGAATGGGCCATGGTGACCTCAGTATGGAAGCCTACAGCCAGGTGTGGGAGGAATGCTACGGACAGGTAAGCATCCTTCTTTTTCCAAAATCAAAAATAAAAGAGGATCATAGGAAAAAGAAAGAGAGACATTTTTCTTCTTTCATCCTCACATGAAATAAACGGTTGGTCAGTAGCAGTTTGTTCATCTGGTCTGCTTCTTTCTTTCTGCAGGTTTTATATCTACCCTCTCAGAACAGGTACACCAGAGCTAACCTGGCCTCAAAGAAAGACCGTATTGAAAGTCTGGAGAAAAAACTAGATGTGAGAAAGCGCACTTATTGTTTACTTTTCCAGAGCTTCATTTTCATAAAGTGGAACATAAGAGCTTTGGTCTGAACACTGACGTCTCCCTACCTCCAGGTAAACCGTGGCCACATGACAGCAGAGGCCCGGAAAGCAGCTAAACTGGAGAAGAAACTCAAAATCCTCCTGGGAGGGTTTCAGTCCAGGGCCCTGGGGCTCCTGAAGCAGCACAATGAACTCTGGGAACAGGTACTGAACGCCTGCCAGGATTTACTTCTAAATCTGCAACTCCAACAAAAACCATCACCTCCTTATTTTTTATTCTTAGTGCAATGGAGTGCACAGCCATATTTAATCAGAAGGGACTTATTATTGTATTGTATTACTTTATTAATCCCACAACAGGGAAATTCCCTTGTCACAGCAGCATTTTACGTGAAATAAATATAAAAAAAAAAAACCTACAGTAAAGTGGTAAAGCTATGGTATGGTGGTTATTTGAAAAAACAGAAACTACAACATTGATCAGGTGTTGTAGAGTCTGACAGCGGCAAGGATGAACCTCTCCTTCTTACACCGGGGGTGTAACAGTCTGCTGCTCAGGGACCCCACAGTGTCATGTAGGGGGTGAGAGGTGTTGTCCATGATGGATGTCAGTTTCACTAACATCCTCCTTTCACCCACTTCCTTAATGGAGTCCAGAGGACAGTCCAGGACAGAGCTCACTCTCCTGATCAGTTTGAGTCTCTTCCTGTCCCTGTCCGTACTGCCCTCTCTCCAGCAGACCACAGCATACAAGATGGCTGAAGCCACCACAGAGTCTTAAAAAGTCTTGAGGAGAGCCCTGCTTACTCCGAAGGACCTCAGTCTCCTCAGCAGGTGGAGGCGAATCTGGCCCTTCTAGTAGAGAGCATGGGTGTTGTGAGTCCAGTCCAGTTTGTTATTGAGGTGAACACCCAGGAATTTGTAATTCTCTACCACCTCAATGTCCAATCCCTGGATGTTTACCCGGGGTGAAGTGGGATGTTTTCATCCTGAAGTTAACAATCATCTCCTTCGTCTTGCTAGTGTTTAGCTGAAGCTGGTTGAGCTCACACCAGCTGACAAAGTCCCTGATAACACTCCTGTATTCCAGTTTGTTTCCCTCAAACGCATCCAACAATGGCTGTGTCATCTGAGAACTTCTGGATGTGGCAGTGTGAAGGGTTGTGGGTAAAGTCCGAGGTGTAAAGGGTGAAGAGGAAGGGAGAGAGCACTGCACCCTGAGGGGCACCTGTGTTGCAATGCACAACGTCAGACACACAGTGTTGGAGCCTCACTTACTGTGGTCTGTTGGTGAGATAGTCTGTTGTCCATGCAGCCAGGTGTTGGTCCACTCCCACACTTTCCATCTTCACTCTGAGCAGTGACGGCTGGATAGTGTCACCGTGCTCCAGCTGTCCTCCAGGTGTAGCAGGGATCTGTTCAGCAGGATGCCATTACTTTTTCTGCACTTGAGACATTCATGGCTTATTTCATTTGTGTGCCCTTATCAAAGCTCAAAGATGCATCTCTGAAATATTATAATTGATGAATATTAACCTGAAACTGAGTGAAGAGGGAAACTACCTACTTGATAGTCAGTTTCCCTGCAGACTGTACATTATAGTGGTGTCTAAAACAATGCAATTTTTGGAAATTGTAATAAATTAGTATTTTACAAATGTATTATTGTTTCATGGTGTCCACCAGGTGGAGCAGTCAGCCACAGAACTCCAGACCTTTAATCAGCTGAAGAAACAAGAGGATACTGCAATTCCCAGGAGACAAGAGGTAAAGACATTTGACACACAATAATTTACAACATTGACCAAAATACTTTCTTTTCCAGTGCTGAAACAATTCTCAATCAATCTATTTTGTAGTTTTGATAATTGATGAATCATTTAGGGCATTTATTTAGCTAAACCTGTTTAACAAATATATTATTTATTAAGTAAAATGTCCTCTGTATGTATAATTTCAAATGGAATCTCTTTGGGAATATTAGTCAGACAAAACAAGCACTTTTAGGACTTCACCTCAGACTTTCCAGTTTGCTGAATTATTATAGACTGAACAAATTATTAATTAAATGATTTGTCGTTGTCTCCCCATAGTACTCCATTTTCTAAAGTTGTGGGCAGTTAGAAATATTCTGTTAAAGATCTAAAGCCTGTGAGGGTTAAATGTGTAAAAGGCTGAGTAGGCCAAATATCCTAAGAACAAGATTACCATGATTACCAAACTCTTGGAGTTCTTATCTTATTATCAATGCTTCAGACCTAAGTACTTCTAGGGAAACAAAATGCTAATATCCCGTCTCTGGATTTTGCCGTCAGATTATTATCATGCGTGTGTGTGTGTGTGTGTGTGTGTGTTTGTGTTTTAGGCCCTGCGGGAGGACGTGGAGAGGCAGATGGAGAGGGAGAGAGAACTTCAGCAGAGATATGGAGAGCTGCTGATGGAGAGGGAGGCACTGATCAACAGTGCTCAGAAATACTGAGCCCCACACACGCTTATCATACATACATCGTACACACACTCATCGTAGAGACACTGACATCAAGCTAACAGCTGCTGTGAGAATCACAATCGAGAGTTCTCCCTCTAAAGCCGATTGTCGTATTGAGCCCGTCTGTCATTTTTCAATATTTGCGGCAATTCCAGAGATAAGTCCCGCCTCCATGTGCTCTTGTTGCTATGATGTCACAAGCTGAGTTTTGAGCATGCTCAGTAGTCCCTTGTGTTTCTGTATTAGTGACCAATAAAGTTTCTTTTCAACAATGACAGAGTTGCAGTAAGTGTTTGTCTAGAGTAGATTTTATGCAAACTGTAAAATAATACAAATCTGGTATATTTGAACAACACTGGTGGGAAAACATTTTTGAATCATTGTCATGAATACAAACAGAAGCTTACTGAAAAATCTTTATTACAACAATAGAACAGAAAAAGATTGTGCAGGTATTTGTAAAATGTGTTGCATCTTCAGCAGCTGAGGAAGGCCATCCCACTCCTCGAATAAGCACGCTGAGAGAGAAAAAGGATTTGTTTAAAATACAGTTTGATACTGAATCGGGTGTGAGGTTTTAATGGAGACATTCTAGTCTTACTAAAACGAAAAATGAGAGGTTGTCCACAATCTGTTTATCCTTTGTTCTTTTAAAATTCAATATAGAACACAAAATGGGAAAATCCCATCCCAAAAGCTTCATTTTGGGCAACAAATAAACGTGGCTGATTCCACTATCTGATTTAATGCAATATCACTAATAGTAATATTAGCTTGAACATAAGTATATATTTTGGAAAATGTCACATTAAAAGTTTTCACTTGTTTGAACAGAAACAGGAGATAGAATGTTGCCATGGATACAGTGAGTTAGGCTGTGGGCAGTAATGGGAGACGGTTTTTTTGTCTACATCTAGGAAAATTTGCCTCTGACAAAATACTACATTGTTACATTTTTAAATGTTCTGGTTTTGGATTCTATATTGAATATGCAAAGAACCGATGATACACAGTACATTTTCCATACACTGAAATTTGCAAAGTTTCCTTCATTGACCGTTTTGCCTGATGCAGATCTTTTGGGATGTAACGTTGCATCAATAAAACTTTTGGGAGTTTGCAAATTTCAGTGTGTGAACAACCTCTCCTTTCTCTTTGTTTTCTGTTTTTTGTCCTGCACCTGCACCCAACTGGGTGTGCACACTAGCCACCTTTTTGCATGTCCATGTATATGTTCAACAATTACAACAACTACACTTTCAACGTACGTGTGAACTACATATCCCTGTTCACTCTGTCCCTACTGGCAGCGGAGTCCTAGTTGGGCTCCGCTGTAAAGGATGGGAAACAATCTGCTGTTTGAGGTAGCCGAAGGTGAAGTATTTTAGTATGAAATTCTCTTTTTGTTCTATCAGTAAACCTACAGGCAACTCGGCAAGAAACAACAGATGTTACTGTTCAAGGACGCTCACTTTAACTGGTGAAGCATCTTATTAGCTCTGAGTGAACTTTAAAATGCATTTATGCACAGAACTAGGACTGGTTTTTGTTCCCTGTCTGTTACAGTGTAGTCACAGTACTATGGACACGAGGAATGACTTAATGCTATAAAGCAATCCTTAAAATAAAGAAGATAAACATGTACTGTGTGAATCTAGCCTGGTCAATGTCATTTTCAGTGTCGTGGCTGTGTGTACATACTATGTGTCTGTAGTTGTATCGTCTAATGGCCTCTCTGATGTGACAGGGCTGGATGGCTCCACTGGGAGGTTCCACTGCAGCCGGACAGCTCTGAAACAAATCACACTGCATTAATACAACACAGGACACCAAAGGTCATGTGTATGTGTGTGTATACATATATATAGACACACACACACAACCTTTGTTTGAGTATGTTTATGTCAACTGACACCAAACAAACCTGTAAACAACCTATATTTCACAGGTAAGAAGGTTGCAGACTAAAACCACACCTTTTTGCGTTTCCTCTGTCTCGCGCGACCGTCCAGACTGCCATTACCCTGTAAGAGGGGCTTCGAAGAGTGGGAGGAGCCTGGGGTGGAAGGGGGCGTGGCTTCAGGTGAGTCTGGATCCTTCTTTACCTGGCAGAGAGAAAGATTGAAGACAAATGTTATTTATTTACTAATATAACAGTGGTACCTTGGTTTCAGTGATTAAAAACAATTCAATGTGTAATGTGTGTGTGTACCTCAGTGTGAGTGTTGTAGTGGATGTAGCTGGAAGAGATCACATGACTGATGGGATTGGTCTTTGTGGCCATTTCCTGCTTTACCAGCAGAGACAAATCCACGATCTGGAGAGAGAGAGAATGGCGAAAAGAAAAAGCAGACCGATTTTTATAACGCTGGGAAGTTTTTAATCACACATTTACAGGATATGTGTGACATCATAACATGACCCGTTACCTGGGCAACAGTCTCATAGGCCAGGTACGACAGAATCTCCATGGCAATGCTGTTGGGTTTCAGCTCTAAACTGCTGCAGTCCAGCCAGTCCCGAAACTTTGATGCTTTCTTAGCTGGAAACACATTGACACACACACACAGACAGCCAGGTCGACAGCGCACACACACACACACACACACACACAGACAGCCAGGTCGACAGCGCACACACACACACACACACACACACACACACACACACACACACACACACACACACACACACACACACACACACACACACACACACAGCCAGGTCGACAGCGCACACACACACACACACACACACACACACACACACACACACACACACACACACACACACACACACACACACACAAGCCAGGTCGACAGCGCACACACACACACACACACACACACACACACACACACACACACACACACACACACACACACACACACACACACACACAGACACACAGACACACACAATGAGGTCTGTGTAGCTGATTCCCATCTGCGGGTCAGCGGCAAGAGCAATATAGTACATTTCTCCTCTCATTATACAATTTCATTTTGACGTTCAGTTGACAGTTCAGTAGGTTTCCTGCTGAAACAATTCGTCGATTAACCAATTAGTCAAGTATTCACTTACAATTTTGATAATGGATTTCTTGTTTTAGGTCAGTTAGCAAATACTCAGTCAGTACTTGCCTGTTCCAGCTTCTCAAATGTGAGCTCTTCTCTGTTTTCCATTATATGAAACAATATGGGCTTTTAGGGTTTGGGACTGATTGTTGGTTTTAATCACACATTTAAAGAAGATTTGAAGAAGATCTGGGTTCTTGAAAATCGTGATGGGCATTTTTCCACAATTTTCTAACATTTTAAAAACTGAACAATAATAAATAAATCAACAGATTAATCAATAATAAATAAATCAACAGATTAATCAATAGTAAAAATGACAGTCTAACAATGAGTGTTTTCCATTGAAATAAAAGTTCCCACCTACTCTGTAGTCTTGTCTGCCTATTTTGCTTTTAGGAACATAACTTTGTTGCATTGTTTTTGACTGTATCCCTAATGGATCTGTGCAGACAGCAGATCCTGTTGTATGAATGGTAAATTAATAATATTTGGTCTACAATTATAGGCAGTGAGCACAGGGATTCAACTGTTGAGATGTTTTGCTTAAGTTTGATTTATTTACCATTTAATTTAAACCTGGTCAATCATTAAGAAGATGTACTGTAGTTGAATAGCACATAGTCCTCCATCACTTTCGTTTGATCAACGGATGATTAAAGACAGATTTCATTATTTGATTAAAATCTTACCAAAGCTGAGTTGCCGACTCTCACAGAACTCAGAGTACTGAGCCTGGTCCATTGTTCGAGTCTGACGCTCTAAACGCTGAAGATAGAGACACACAAAACATAAACAATCAATAATAATTTAACCATCATCTTCATCAATCTCAGGGAAATCAAATCAGTGCTACAAGTGTGTGTCAAGGACATTAAAACTGGTTAAGAACAGAGTGGTTGCTGTACTGAAGACGTGACCTCTGACCTCCATTCGCTCTTGTTTGACGGGGTCTACTTCGTGCCGCTCAGCCAATGACAGTAAGTCACCGGTCTGATCCATCCACACCAGAAAATCCTGGGCCAATCGCTGCCTCCGCTGGTTACCACCGGCAACACCACCAGCAGCACCTGCACCACCCCGGCAGAAAAATGTAATTTTCTAATTTCAATTTCATATTCTCTCATTTAAAACCACGGATGATGTGTATGTGTGAGTGTGCATATACCTGTTTCTTGCTGTGATTCTTCATCGTCTAGAGTTTTAAGTAGTTTGGATTTATAATCTCTAAACTGGAGATATTTTAATAACCTCGCCACCTTCAACTGGTCAAGAGACATTAAGGCAGAGAGAGAGAGAGATATGAACAGAAAAAGCAAGATGAGGACAATTAATATTATTAGTTATTCATTTCAAAGCTATGAACCACCAATGGTGACTATGATATTTTGAAGTTAAAGGTCCAGTGTGATGATTTAGTGGCATCTAGCAGTGTAGTTGTAATATGGTGGCCTCCACTGAAGGCGACCTGCGGAAACATGATGATTCTTATTTTCCAAATGATTTTACACTAATGAAAACATACCTATGAATATTATATTCCATTTCTGCCAATAGAGCCTCCTAAATGTTACACACTGGACCTTTTGCTTTTGTGTACTTGAAGTGTTTTTTTTTCTGTGTTTTGTTTACCTTGTCCCTCCTCATCAGGAACAGGATGTCCTCAGCTGAAATGACCCTCGACCCACGAAGAGAGGCCCCTTCACAGGCCTGATGCAGCTGATAAATTCCATCAGTTAAATTAGCATTATAGAACATTATTTACATAAATAGAGACACATTAAACATTTCCTGTACTCTGTCTTTAAACTAAACCACACTGAAGTCTGCAGACTGAGAAGAAGCAGGGGAGTTATCTATCTTGGTGATAAGTATTGTGTCATGGAAATACAATATATATTGTGTATCTTTAGTTCTAATCTTGGATTAATTTGCCATAAAGCAAAACTAAAAGAATCTAAAGCCTGTCAAAAAGTGCACAAACTGTAAAAAGATCTGTAATTTCAGAAGTTGATAAAGTAAAATAACTAAGATTCAGTAACAGAATATTGAGTTTGAGGAGATTGTTAAAATGAAATAAAAACTCAAGTTTTGAAATTGTCAACAAACTAAACTAAATATTTATTCTGGATAGGGTTTCATTGAAAAAGTGATTTTAACTTAATCTGATGGCAGAACTGCATTTCTGTTACCATAGTAATGAGCTGTGTGTGCACAATGTCCTCCACCAGAGCTGCTGTCTCGTGCAGAGGCCTGCGAGCATCTCCCAGAGCAAACCTGACACACACACACACACACACACACACACACACACACAAAAATATTAATCAGAGTAAGGTAGACATTTATTGCATTTATTCATATATAAATATCATACAGTCTTTCATTTAACTTTAAGTAATAAAACTAATAAATCAGCACATCTATCTGACTAAATCAGGAGTGCATGTACATTTAAATTAAACATTTCTCACTCTCCTGCCTGCACACACGCACACACACACACACACACACACACACACACACACACACACACACACACACACACACACACACACACACACACACACACACACACACACACACCGCTGGGGTCGACAGGCCGCACACACACTTTGACCACAATTTGGTCAAACCAGAATTTGCATCCAGAAAAGCCACTTCCATGATGGCAGACTAACCTAAACCCACATCCTGAGGCTCCTTCCTTGTCTCATTTCTTCTCTTTCCCTCCATCTCTCCATCTATTCTTTCCCTGCCACGTACAAACCCCCTTGTTGACTCTATGCCCCCACCCTTCCACCCCTCATCTGCGCTCTGATTGGCTGTTTTGCAGCTGTCAGTCACACAGGTGAGACTTGAGAATAGCTTTGGTTTGGGGTTGTGGGCACGTTGGCTTCAGGTTCGGAGGGTTGACTTCAGGCTGAGAGTTGGTTTTAGGTTTTGGGGTTTAGTTGGGTTTCAGCCTCTCTGACCACCACTCTCTGCAGCCCACACACAACACAAGGTGAGTACCCCAAAAACACACACACTCACTCACACTAATGAGAGGCCACACCACAGGCGAAAGGAAGATCTAATTAGTGACAGAAAAACAACTGCGTGTGGTTACATAGCAGTCAAAGAGTGAATGTAGTTCAAGTGCACATACATCATTCAGATTTTCTATAATCTTAATATTTACGTTACAACAAGAACAGTTGTACAACTGTCTTTGTCCTTTTTCTATTTTTTTTATTGTCTGTTTATTTAGAATACATTTGTTCTTGTGATAACATTTTTTAATTTTTGGTTTCAGGAAATTTATTTTATTATTTTGGCTGTACCTGAGAATTTATTTTATTTTACTTTTAATTGTATCTAATGTTTCTTTTGTTTGTTGTAACTTTCTTACTTAAACTGACACTTAGAAAGTAAACAAGTGATTTTTCTAACAATGCTTTATAGAGTGTCTCACACCATGTATCAAAAAGAAAGGTTGAGGTTTTAGTTTTATTGTCTGGAGGCAGTTTGGTTTGTACAAAGTATCATTAGCCAAAATACTTATTGTGGCTCTTTCATTTGTTAAGCAGGTTTCTATGGCTTCCAACAGTCTGTTCAGCAGCAGCAGCCCAATGATGTACTGGGGTGAGTCTCTGTGTGTGTGTGTGTGTGTGTGTGTGTGTGTGTGTGTGTCTTACATCATGCTCTGTAGCTCTGGAATGAAACTGGTCCTGGAAACTGGACGGTCTTTAGAACTGGAGGCGGCGGAGCCAGCCATGGGACTGCTCATAACCACAGCCACCTGACGACATGAACAAAACAAAAAAATTAAGTTACATTAAAGTGAAATTAACTTTTTTTCACCATCCCACCACAAGTACATATTCTGCATTTCCAGACTCATTTCAGTAAATCTAACCAAGCCGAACGTGTTGTTCCATAATGTCAAGATTAACATTTGACCTCTGTTGTCTGGATACACTTTTCTCCCAGCAGCACACCTGATAACAAAACGGCTGCACAACTATTCCAACCTGTAAACCTGTATCTTTATTTAGCTCGAGAAAACATATTGAAGTGTTTCTTCATCACCTTCAGTTGACATCTTCTGCTGCTGTGACAACCAGATCTTAAACGCTTCAATCAACCTTCAAACGTTGAATCTTTATTGTATTGATGTTTTAAATCTTGTTGTTTGTTGATGCTGTGTGCCTGCTTGATTGTCTCAGATTGTTTCAAGGTTGTGTTGTGAAGGCAGAGACAGTTTTACACAATGCAGACAATGTAGTTGCAAACTAATGGAAATGCAAACTAATATTCAGTTTTTAGTCCATCGCCAGTTTATTTGCTACACCTTTATTGTAGGACTGCATTAGCTTTACACACACACACACAAAGATACAATGGTCAATGTCAACAAAAGACATCAGTGCTCTAAATGTAGTCTGTAATGTAGACATTGGCATTTTGGGATCATTCAACCAAACCAAACCTATTCAGCTATGAAGTACAGAACAGACACTGAGCTTAAAATAACAACATAGCAGAACAGATTGGAAGCAAATCAACAGACTACACACACACACACACACACACACACACACACACACACACACACACACACACACACACACACACACACACACAGGGGGGACAGGTGGTGTGACCGCAGTAACTTCCCCTCCGGCAGTAAAATCTGAATGATAATGCAGCGCCGTTCCCTCCTATTCAAACACTGCGGTGAATAAAACACAAAGCAGAGAAGAAGAAGAGAAAGAAAAAGACGGACAGGAGGAGAGAGGGAGAGAGGGACAGGGAGCCAGAGAGACAGAGAGACAGAGAGAGAGAGAGAGACAGAAAAGCTTTTAAAATTCTCACCAAAGTCGTGAAGAAGACGCACTCGCTGCTCCTGTTGACACTTTTCGCTTTGGTTGATGATTTTCGGCGCGATTTGATGACGTAATTTGTTTCCGGAAGCGCGGGACTTTGGTAGCTGTAGTTTTTTGCACTTTCTGGTCAACGCTTCCTCTCAATGGTTTTCGAAATACTTTTTCATTTATTTATCAATATCAATGCTAGGTTGATTAAATACTTTAACCAGCTTGATATAGTTGATAATTGTTAAAGACCAGTTTAAATATCTGTGTTTTGTTTACTTAGACAACATAAAAACAACAACACATACTGCTGATGTTCAACATTAACTTTTTCTTATTGGACTAAAGACTGGGACCCTGCATGGAAGTATTTTTGTGAAATAGAGAGGCTTCAAACCACAGTGAGAGAAATACTTTGTCATTAGCTTCATATCTAAATTAAACTTGTAACTAAGGGTTTAGGGTAAACCAGCCATCTGTAAGTCTTTGGGAACTAAAGTATTAAAAATAATAATAAATAAATAAACTATAAGGACTCTATGACTCGGTTGGAAAAGTTAAATAGTTGTAAAAGATATAAGGGATTTTACTGCTGCTTGTTTCTCTTTCTCTCACTTTTATATTGTTCTTTATTGCTGAATTACAGTCATCACTAATAGGTGAACAAAGATTAGTTAATATAGTTAGTTAGTTAATATAATAATAGTTAATTAGTTAATGCAGGTTCAGCAAAAAAAAAAAAAAAACATATTAAAGACTGATATGGCCGACATTTTAGAGGAAAGAATAAACAAAGGTAGAAAAATCTTTCTGTCTCTCTGTTGCTCCCTCTCAGATCCTGTGGTAAAGCATCGGCCAACACCATCACCCACCAACCACCAACTGGATGACCAGGAGGTGAGGCCCCTCCACCAGCGCAGCACAGCGCCACACAGAGGCCTGGTACAGACTGACAGCCCGAACTTCCTCTGCAGCAGCCTGCCACAGCACTGGAGGTGTAACAAGACCCTGCCGAGAGCCTTCACTGTGAGGAATCTATCTATCTATCTATCTATCTATCTATCTATCTATCTATCTATCTATCTATCTATCTATCTATCTATCTATCTATCTATCTATCTTTTAACCAGAGTGTATCCTTCCAGACAGGCCATATTCTCAGACTGTCAAATGTCTTAGGGTAAAGGACCAGTCCTAACCTTTCTCCATCCTCCAGGTGGTTGCCCTGGGCAACGACGTGCCAGACGGCGTGGTTGTCACAGTGATGGCTGGCAATGAAGACAACAGCAGCGCTGAGCTACGCAATGCCACAGCAACCATGAAGCAAGGCTACGCCCACTTTAATGACCTCCGCTTCATAGGTCGCAGCGGGAGAGGTAGCTAGATAGATACTCAACTGAAGGATGAGTCAAACTTCAACACACTGAAGAAAACATTGTAGCCTATCATCCTTACATCCTGCTCCTCGATTGATTTCCAAATGTTGTACTTGAAATGCCCTCCCTCACGCAGAAATTAGGAGTTTTGTCTCATAATCTAACCTCCGGTATGGTGGGTTGTGCTGTGTCACTTAATATCTATAATCTTAAAGTTAGGATAAACAGAAAGAAGACTTCTGATTCAATCAACTATTCATCACATACAAGCAGTATCAACCCATCAAGTGACCATTTTTTCAAGTCAGGTTTATTCATATGATCCAAAAGAACAAGTTTGTCTCAGAGGGCTTTGCAATCAATGTTTGCAACATATCTATCCTTACACTCTTGATTCAACTGCTCAAAACAATGTTAGTGAGGGATTGAGAACAGACAGTATAATGAACAACCAACTACGAACACAAATTTATTTGATTTGAGTACCTTTTAAACATGAATTACCATAACAGGTCATCCTATGTAACTATGGTTTGTTGTTAACTTTAGGTTACTTTTAAAACCTCTATAACTTACCTGTACATGTGAATGGGTGTTTTATTTTTCCAGGCAAGAGTTTCACACTTTCCATCAATGTGCTGACGTCGCCCCCTCAGATTGCCACCTTACACAGAGCTATCAAGGTTACTGTGGATGGACAGCGGCTGCCAAGACGTTAGTACACACCAGAGAAAATGATATGATTATGATTATCTAAGGTTTAGTTCAGTTAGAATGACTTTCTTCCGCTCCGCCTCTCTCACAGGACAGAGGCAGAAGGATGTGAAGTCAGGAATGTTCAGGTCATCCAGCAGCAGCACTGCATCATCAGGTACGAGAGGACAGATGTTATTTAAATCCTCACTTTTTAAATTAGGTGAAAGTAGAAATGTGAGAAAGCCGTGTTGAGTGTTTGTCCAACCTCAGCACTCATTTATCTCCCTGCTCAACAAACCATGTCAGTGTTCTAAGACTGCAACAGTGTGCATTTGTCCACAAAAGCATGTTTCAACATTTATCTTAATTACTGCTATACTTACTATATTTATTATGCACACTGATGTGGCTGTATTATAATTAGGTACTTGTGCATTACTGTATATTGTTGGGGGTCTGAACAATAATAGCCTAATGCATCATATTTTGGGGGGATTTCTTATGTTAAATATTTTGTTTTCTAGGCGAAGTGATTAATAACTATAGTTGTAGTGGAGTAAAATACACTATATTTTAATTTTAAACTGAAACTACTACTACAAAATTGTATTATAGTACTTGAATAAATAGCTTGTGTTACTCAGGGAAGTGGAAAATTGATAAGTATATATAGTAACAATTTATATAAAATTGAAATCATTAGAAATGGAAATAAATATCATAAAAATTATCATATCTTATCTTTTGACTTAGCTGCATCTCATGTCTTCTTCAGTGGATGGAGTTTGCTCAGCTGTCATATAGAAGGGTCAAAACAGAGGTTAAATAATTATGTCATAACTGCACAAACCCCATGCACTGAGGAAGACCATGCAATGCAGCTGAAAGCTCTGGAAAACCTTTTTTTCAAATCTTAACAATGGACTTTTATTATATGTTTCAGATTTTTGTTTGGCCAAGCTGTTGATGTTGTCTCTCTCCAGACTGTAGATCCTTTTCCTCCTCTATGTGGACCAGTGAGCCGTCATTCCTGGGCCAGGTGACTTCTCTGACCTCCTCCTTCACTCCAAGTCCCAGAATGCACCACCTGCCTGCCCTCTCCTACTCCACCCAGCCCACACCATACAGCTCGTACCTGTGTTCTCCTCCTCCTCCCCCTCCGCTGAGCCATGGTGGTCCTTTCCAGCCGAGCAGCTTCTATTACGGACCGAACCAACCGGTGCAAACAACGGGGGATGATCGCAGCGTTGTCACAGCTCTGACCAATTATATTGAGGGGGCGTGTCTTTCTTTAAGGGGGGAGGAGCCTGTGTGGAGGCCTTATTGATAAATGGATGTGTTGTGTTATACAACATCTTATAATAGAATCAGCCTCCCACCCACCTGTAAAAAGAAATCTTTAAACTTGTTTTTCAGCATGCCTAACTTCTGTGTGCCACAGTGATTATGTTGTTCTTATTTATTGTACTGTTGTGAAAATATTTATTCATTAATTATTATTAATAGTTATTTAATACTTTTACATATACTTCGGGTTAAACAATAACAGCAGTTGTGATACAATAAAAGCATTTATTAGAGCAACAAGTGTATTAAAAAACAGCATTAACTTCTGAATACACAAAAGTTCATTAACAATAAAACAATTAACCCTGAATCAACCCCCTGAGTGTTTGACAAGCCTATACAAACTGTTTTGACAAACTCAACCAATGATCAGTTTTTGGAATTTTCTTTGCTGATTTATAGTGACTTAAATCTTAAATATTTGTTGGTAAATAGTGACAAAATTCAAGGTTTAGACAAGTTGAACTAAAAACGGCCAGTATTACACATGTACAGAAAACAGTGAGATGCCAAACAATCTTTGAATATGTAAAACAACAAAGATCCACAGATCCATGAAAATATAGAAAGCTAATGGTCCATGATGACTCATATGTGAAACTATCAAAACATTATCTGTATTAGCTTGACACTAAAAACAGAAACCGTTTGTGACGATAAAAAACTGAGGCTATGATGTGTTCATCTTATCTGGAGTTCAAGAAGACTCGGCTGCTGATTGGCTGGTACAGGTGCAGTGGGTGTGGCCTCAGGTCCCCTGTTGGAAGAAATAAAAGGGGCGTTCACTCACCTCTAGGTATTCTTTATAGTATATATAATTAAGAGGAAGAGAAACCCCAGTCCCAGTACTTTGGCTCGAAATGACCACACTGTTTTGCATGTTTTAAACAACTTACTATGGATGATGGACACTTTATATTTTTTTATTTGTTTATGAACTCTAAGAGAATTAACTTGCAGAGACTTAAACTCGCTTGAGAAAATTAATCCATCAAAATAAATGTCAGCTTTATTAATTACCAACCATAGTTTCTCCTTCATGCTTGTGAAGCGAGCGGGTTGCAATCTGCAATTACACCACTAGATGCCACTAAATCCTACACAGTGGACCTTTAAATTATGTTGCAGTCTATTAGTCAGTCAAACACCGTCTTCTATAAGTGAAGTGGTGAGAATACTTTCCTCTTTGAGTAATGAGTCATTTTATTAAAATCATTACATTTCCCCATCGCAGCAGTTGTGTTGACTGCCCACCTATAAAGCATTGAGTTCAGCCACTCTCCTGCTCCACTCCTCTTCTGTCATTTCTTCTTCTTCTGCTCCTTCCTTATCATTCTCCTCTACCTGGTGCTCCCCTGAAATACAGTTGATTATGTTACAAAGATAAAAACACCAGCAGATGGAACAAGAAAAGCCATTATTGCAGTACAATATCTTTTTTGTTGATAATAAACATAGCAGTGTGAGTATGTGCGTGTGTGTCCTCACCAGTGCAGGTCAGTGCAGTGCAGACCCAGTTTCCACAGGCGCACACACACTTGTTACACTCCATCTGAGTTTCAGCTCCGTCCTCGAGCACTTCGTCTTCCAGAGCACACTCTGCACACACATCAGAAAACATACAGGTAAATGGATGTATAAGAAAAACAGCTATTAGTCAACACAATCTGATATTGCTGTGTTTTGCATGTCATTTTTTATATTTTTTCCAACATAATCTGCATAAACTGGGTTTTTAAAAAAATGCATTTGTCAGATTCAGACAGGATGTATATATTTTAATGTAATGTCTATGTATTGTTGGCATTGTTCTGGACCCTGATGATGGACTTGTATGTGTGTGTGTGTGTGTGTGTGTGTGTGTGTGTGTGTGTGTGTGTGTGTGTGTGTGTGTGTGTGTGTGTCTGTGTGTGAGAGATTACTTCTCTCATATGGATGGTAGGTGGATGTCAGACAGTTGATGAACTCAGTTAAACTCAGTTTCCAGTCGGCGTTTTCATCCGACAGCTCTATCAAAGCATCAACACACAGAGACCTGAGACAGAGAGAGAGAGAGAGTGGCATTAATGGAAGAGTCCACACATTAACTGTTGATTATAAGGATTTAATTACAACATTCGTTCAGTAAATCATATTTGAAACAAATCAAATGTATAGTTCAGACTATGTTTGCAGACTGACATTTTTTATACAATTCAAAGAACTAAGCCAATATTTGACATATGAAGCTGAAAGGTGTATGTGTGCATAGAGAAAGGATTAGTCATCCAGTAAAGCTTCATTGAGCTGCATATCTCAATATGAGGTGGTGAACCACACTTTGTACAGTATGTGATGCTCAAAACACCAAATATATTACCCATGATAATCAAACAGACCCAGTGGTGGAAAGTAACTCAGCACATTGTGTGCTATACTTTTTGTACAGTTGTAAGGTTCCATTTTCTAGATTTTTTTATCTACAGAGGGAGCAGGTCCTCTTCTATGGAGGCCACCATGTAGAACCACCATGTTTCTACAGCAGCCCAGCAATTAGCAACTACACCCTTGTATGCCACTAGATCCTACACACTGGCTCTTTAAGTAAAATTCTGAATGCAGGACTTTTACTTGTAACAGAGTATTTCTACACTGTGATATTTCTACTTTTACTTAAATAGAAGATCTCAGTAGCACTGAAGAAACCTTTATATACTGTATAACAGCTAGACTACCACACTAACTAGATGAGTCCCAACTACCTCCAGATAATCTTCTGCTTCACTGTTCACTGTTATTACTCACTGACCGTTTTCTTCATCAAATCACTGTGTCTGTGTGTACCTCAGTAGCAAGTTTGTCTCCAAAGTATTAGAGTATGTGAGATTGAGGGCCGTCTCATTATGTTTCAGGAAGCTCAGGAACTCTTTGGAATCAAGCTCTGAATCCCCATTGTCATACGTCTGTAACATACAAACACAGAGTTAAAAACACTGAATTTAAAATATCAATTTCAGCTTTTCTCCTATAGTTGGAGCACACTTGGCTCATAATTAGTCAAGTTTTGTCCAGGTGCAAAATCTGCAACTGAAATCCTTTTAAAAACAGAAATAATTATAGGTAACCCATCTTTTTATGATTTGAAATCAAGTTCATGGTTTGTAAAACCACTCTATTGGCATAAAAAGTGAGGGATGGTGAAAGTTCTGACCTTGAAGTACGTTTGCAGGAGGTCATTGGCTGAGGACACATTTGAGGCAGATTCCACCTCCTCCTGAAGCCACTGGATCACTCTCTCTCTCAGCCAATCACGATCAGACAGGAAACACACGACTACACATGCAAACACGGGAACACACAAACAACAAATAAAACTGTATAAAATGTATATAAAATGGCAATAAAAATTTTCGTAAGCTCCTTAAACTAAAAAAAACAACAAAATGAGTGCACAGAATATGAACTAACTCAGAAAATGATTTGAATTTTACATGGTTTTGTTATATTTCTATAATAAGCTGCAGACTTACTGGGGCTCACATCTGTCTTTGTAGGTTTCTCTGCAAATAAAACACACAGACCACTGTCATGAGTCACATACTGCTTTAACAGTCTGCATGTCTACATACTGTTTGTAGGTGCATGCATCACTGTATACGTGTGTTTATACTGACCCAGACAGTGTCCTCTGTGCTCCACATGTATTTTTGTCTGGGTGATGCAGGCGTCTCTGTGCAGCTCACAGTGATTTCTGTACGATCTGCCGTTACTGCCACACACCCAGTGCTCTGTCACATCACACCGCTGCAGAGACAGAGGACGGTCAAGAGACGTTTCCCAAAAAAAGAACCTGCAGAAGTAGGTTTAAGATGGCAGAACCTGACACCCATTGCAGAGCCCAGTGATAGGTCAGCACACCATTTAACGTGAATACTGGGCTCCCATGGGAACGCTTACCCATATTTCCTATAAACCTAAATGATTAGTGTGTGTGTGTGTGTGTGTGTGTGTGTGTGTGTGTGTGTGTGTGTGTGTGATCAAATATGTGAATTCTATGTATATGCTTTTTTCAGTTAGATTCTCTACTGATATGTATCATTAAGTCAATTAATAATTTCTGTGATTTGCTGATTGTTTTTATCTTGGGACAAAGGCTTTTATGCATTCGAGTCTCAGAGAGACTGATGCAGATGTATACAGAGTTTCTGTAATCTAAGAAGTAATCGGATACATTTTAAAAAGTATTTTGAAAACAGTCTGAGCGACTATTCACTTAACAAGAGGAACAGTCCAGTTCAGATGTATATTGTCCCATAAGAATTAGTTTTAGGTTGTTGTGAATTCAGTAACTTTACCTGTAAACAGCGACAGACTGGTTCTCCTCTGTCCGTTGATACACACTCTCGACCTGCACCACAGAAAGTCCTGGCACACACCGACTGATCCTGAGGCACAGAGAGATGTATCTCATTTTCTTGGTATTTCTGTTGTATATAGTAAACAATGTGAAGAAATGGGAAGTTGGTGTGAGTCTGTGTGTGCTTCAGACTCCAGATGGTGATCTTTAACCTCCCACTGGGAGAGGCACATGCCGTTTTGAATGACAATGGCTCTCTCAACACACACACACACACACACACACACACACACACACACACACACATTATTATCGAGGCAGCTGGACAGCGATAGAGCTCATTTTGAGAGTTTTTTTTTTTTTTTCTTCAAAGGTTGGCTTTTTTGTGCTTTGGCCGCCATTCCAGATCTGGCGGCATGGTGACATCAGCAGGGTCCATTTGGCAACAAGTGGTGAAACTTTTTAACTAATTCCTAGTTTACATGTAGTGCTTATTTTGAAGTGAAATTAAATGTAAACATACAAAAATATGACAATTTGTCTTAAATGAGTTTAAATAATATGATAAATCATTGAAGATGTGTCCCCAGATCTCAGCAATAAAGTTCTGTGTTTGAGAGGTTTTTATCTAAGTGTATTTCGAGCTGTATTGTGTGACACAGAGAGGTGTTTTAGTTATTTAGCCTAACCTTATTTATGAAAATGAGGTGGACAAAATAATAAAGACACTTGTCAGTATAGAGCAACACAAACTGCAAAATGATCATAAAGTTGAATCAATACCTCTCTAAAGCAGGACCATTGTATTAGACTGCATTAGATTTGGCAATGTGTACCTAATAAACCGGCAACTGTGTGTACACTTCACACTTCAACACCCTCAAGATTATAAAAACATAGACTGTCCTAAACAGACATTTAAATTCCAAACATTCCTCTGTACTTACAGGTCAGCAAACCCGACACACACATGCACACGTTTGTACTTGTGAGGAGTGATATACTGAATACCCTCACCCTAACTTTAATCATCATAAATACATGCCCGACCCTGACCTACATTATCAGCTCAAACTCTAACAGCGCAGCTTTCACCTTTCCAAAAATATACATATATGTATTTTTTTTAAATGATCTACACCTCAAATTGTTCCACTCAAGGATGTACAAAAGCACACACACTCACACAATACATACATCTGTCGCCTCCAGCTGACATCTGCTACACCACAAACCTGCTGTTAGCAACCAGTTGACTGCAGCAAAACACACACACACACACACACACATGCACACACACACACACACACACACACACACACACACACACACACACACACACACACACACACACTGCAGTGGTGCAATTACAAGTTCATGTGTGATCCTGTTTTGGTTGTTAAACAATTTGTCCACTTGGTTTTTAATCTTTTCTATTCTCTTTTTGCCTCTCCTTTTTTCCTCCTTTACTCTCACTTTTGATTCATCTCTTCCTCAACCCATTTATCCTCATTATTTGTTCTACTTATGCTTCCTTCTGTTTCTTATTCTCTCCATCATGTATCTATTCTTTCTGTTGTCTTCTTTTCTTAGTTTTTTTGCTCTTTCTCTCTACTTTTTTCTTTTCTGTAAATCTAACAATGTAATCCAGCCTTTTCTCCCAACACATACAGTCTTAAAATATACTGAAAATGTGTTTACTGTTCTCTACTTAATCTTATATATTCTATATCATTGTGTGGCTACAATGACGTGATTTGACCATAGGATCGTAGGTGAAGCTTCACTTATTCTACCGCAACTGCTTTACTCTTGTTTTATTGTATTTTAGTCAGAAATGATAAAGATACATGAAAATATAGTGAACCAACACCAGAGGTTCTCGAAACAAACAGCATTACAGCTGGAGGGGCTATGATTAGAGATGAGCTGCTGACAGTCCTAATCACACACATACCTGAGAACCTGCTCATTGTATGTCTGTCTGTGTGTGTGTGTGTGTGTGTGTGTGTGTGTGTGTGTGTGTGCAGCTTCTATGTTCCTGCCGACACCTTCCTAAATCACACACATGCCAGGGGATATTCCATATTTAGCTCTGTTTTCCTCAGTCCTGAGGTCAACATCAGTCTTTTCTGAGTACTTGTGAAGGATTTACTGCGGTCTTGTGATGAACAAAAAGTGAAAATTGGAAATGTCATTACTGGAAATATTTGAACCTTGAAGTCATCTGTTGTGTTTTCAGCCATTCTCCTTGTAGTGTTTCCCTAACTCTATGTTTGATCTTGGTTTACATTTAACATTGTCCTTTTTTTTTATGCAAGTGTTACTGCTCTGAAAGACAACAGGACATAACAGGACGTGATGCAGAGGTTTTGTGAATGTAGTTCAAAGATTTGGTTTTGTGTTTACAGTTTTTAGAAAAGGGTGGACAGTTTTTAGAAAAGGGTGGACAGTTTCAAGAAATTCATCGTAGCAATTGTGAAAAACTGTAATAGCAATGTGGTATTAGCACTTTTGTATAACAAGTGAAAACACTGTAACTCATAACTCCAGTTTGTCAGGTAAACAGCCGGGTTTTCCACAGTGTTGTAAGTAAAGAAAAATGCATTCACACCGAGTTTACCTTAGCCAGAGGAGACGAGGAGACAGGAGGAGAGGAGAGGAGCAACGGCAACAGGAGCACAGAGACGGTCAACATCTGGGGAGGAGAGGAGCGATGAGGATGAGGTGAAAAGAGGAGGAAAAAGCAGAGGACAGCAGACAGAAGGAGAGGAAAGGAGGATGAGGTGGGGAAAGACGGGAGAGAAGAAGAGAAGAGTGAAGAAAAGAGGAGAGGAAACGAGAATGTAATTATGAGTTAAATAATCAATGAATGATCTCAATATAAATCTCAAATATTAAGCATTTTAATGGCAGTAAAACTACTCATTTTACTCATGCTACCACTACTACTGCTACTGCTAATGTAGTAGTACTAGTATTACTCCAACATCTTCTAATATGAATATTACCACTACTGTTAATAATATTATTAAAGCAGTCGTACCTTGCCAGCCTAAAAACAGTTTGTCCAGAAGCTGTTGCTCTGTAATCAGCAAGTCAGCATTAAAACAGCCTGTAAGATCCAGTCAGTCAGTATCACCCAAAAATATCTGATGAGCAGTCAGTCAGCACTGAAAAAGTAAAAGTGAGTCAGTCAGGTGGTAACTTCATATCCAAATATCCAAATGATCAGTATGGATCCCAGTTATTATCAGCATGGAGTTTATATCCAGCCTGCCTACTCTGCAGTGAAACAATGTGTGAGCTACAAAAAGAAAGAAAAGGAGGAGGGATGTTGGGAGAGAAAGGAGACCAGCTGTCAAGAGACTTGCCCCCCCCCCAACACACACACACACACACACACACACACACACACACACACACACACACACATGAAAGTTAAAGAAGTTGAAAGCACGCGACCAGCTGACATGTTCAGACAGTGTTGCACAGCCGACAGGAGAGAGGAGGTGAAGTTATTCGTCATCTGACTGACAAACGCACAGCAAATAATAAATCATTTGACCTGTAAAAACCTGATGACATCTTTCTACAGGTTTAAACTGTGCTGTTTGCTCCTGAATCATCTGAAACTACTGACAAACAGGATATTTTTATTCTACATTTTGTTTTACAGAAGGATAACAGAAATAAAGCAAGTTTTCTGTTAGTAACTAGAATGTGTATATAGACAATGTGTGTGAGAGCTGCAGGCTGTTAGCTGCAGCAGCTTTTCATTCTTTAGTGCCACCTACAGGTAAAGTTGTATTAAATGCTACAAACTCATTCATCATCCCTGCACAACTGCTGGATTTGGCTATGATGCCCTTAGCTGGATTTGAACTCTCAACCTCAGAGCAGGCCCTCCCTTTAAAACCAGCTTAGGACCCAGCGTCACCAGGGGGTTCAAACTCACATTTGCTGAAATGACTGAAGGAACTGACTGATCATCTGACCTGACAACCCTAGTTGTACATATATATATATATATATATATATATATATATATATATATATATATATAGCAGCAGTGGTGGAATGTAACTAAGTACATTTACTTTTCATGACACACTTTTTACTTCTACTCCACTACATTTCAGTGGTAAATATTTTTACTTTACAAAAAAAATATATATATATAAAATATGACCCTTTGATATTAATTAAACTATACCCAACAGTATATACAGGTACAGTGGAGATGATTCATTGATTAGTGATGCAAAAACATGTCATAGCTACAACTTCACAAATGTGAGGATTGGCTGCTTTTCCTTTTAATTATTTGACTAATTAAATTTATTGGTAACAATTTTGAGGTTTGGCTGTTGGTTGGACACAAACAATGTGAAGGTGCAACATTGGGCTCTGGGTAATTGTGATGGCATTTCTCACAGTTTTTACTAATCAAACAATCAATTGATTAATGGAAACAATTATTAGTTGCAGTCATATACAAAGTAGATTACCTCAGCAAGCTACAACAGTAAAACCATGTTGTAGCCTAGTATAATATATATATATATATATATATATATATATATATATATATATATATATATATATATATATTATAAGAGGACATTTTTCTGCAATGGAATAATACTTTAAGTACATTTTCCTGATTACAGCAACATGCTTTTACTTAACCTAGGTGGCATTTTAAATGTTGTAATAATGTTGTAATAGTAGTTTTGCTGTTGTTACTGAAGTGAATGATCTGCATACTTCCTCCAGTAGCAGTGTAACTTTATCAAAGATGTATAATTCCCTGTGAAATGGCCCCAGCAGTCCACCGTAGCGAAGCTGCTGTTTTGTTGACATTTTTTTCTCCATCAGCTGACTGCCCACAAGTTAGCTAGCTGCCAGTTTATGAACAGCTCAGCACAAACAAACCCTCAACATGACATCAACCTGCCAACACTGCCATTCCGCTCTCACAACCACAGACAGTTCCCATATTTATAGAGAAGCACCAGCTCATGATGGGGGTTGTTTTCTAACCCGCTGTCACTGGTAGGAGAAAGAGAGACAGCTAAGCTAACGTGACAGCGAACGTTAGCTAGCCAGCTAGCTCGCTGCTTCTGTTAGCCTGCCGAGCGACAGCGAAAAGCTAACAGGCTAAATTAGCCGATGTAAAGGGACACCATGGAGGGGATTCTGTACAAATGGACGAATTACATGACAGGTGAGTCGTCTGTCCGTCTGTCCGACTGCTGTCTTAGCTACGTGTCTTTCTAGCTAGCCACAGACACAGTGTCTGGAGGATGAACGACGTTGTTTGTGTTAGCAGTGCTGATAGCCTCAAACATCTTCAGCAGTCAGACTTAAAGTTAACAGTTACAACCGACGCTAATGAGCTAATATTATCATTATTACTATTATTACTATTATAAGGATGCGACATGCCATATGCCAGCGTGCCAGTGCCGTGATTGTTAGCGTTAATTGAACTGTCTCAACCTACTAATATCATATTTTGCTTTATGTAGTGTGAAACTATACTGACAGTCCGAGCAGCCAGCAGTAGCATATCGGCCTCAAACAGACACAGTATCCTTTCTGTATTCTTTATTTGAACACATTAAACTTGCAGCTTTTGCTACGATGTGACATTGAGTAATGTATTGTTGTCAGGAGAACTGAGAGCAACCCACGACTTTACAGTCACATTATTATATGCTGATATCTATAAACAGCAACCCACAGCAACGGGGACTATAATGGCATTTGACCTCAGTGTAACAGCATAGCATGATATAAATAATACTGGTGGAGGACAATTATACACTGCACATGACTGTAATGACTCCCACTCTGGCCTGCTTTCTGTCATCTGTGAATAAAATGAGTGTCATATGAACAAATCTCTCAATTTTTATTGCACTTGGACGAGGAAGTAGGTCATTGCATTTGTCTGTGAGTCTGTTGTACCATAGGATCTCTTGCTCGTAAAGATCTCAGTTCTAAACATGCACAAACTCAAGTGCCATAAAGTCAGCCATAAAGCGAAAATAGCAGAGATGAAGCACTGTAACTTTGGGCCATGGGGACATAAAATCGAAGAACATAAACACGTAATAAAAAACATAAAACAGGCATAGATGCATAAAAAAGACTGCAATAAAAGGTCACGTTTGAAAGAATGCACGTGGCAGAGTAAATGGAATAATATTAGATATACATATGCCCCTGTGTACATAAAACTATACATTAAACATATTTTCAGTCATTCTGTTTTCCTTTGTCATACTCTTCCTTTAGGTGTTTCAGTTTTTGCATTGCTCTGCTACAATAGTAGGAAAATGTCACTGAAACTATAATGTCTATAGTCTTAATTGATTTTAAGCCAATTCAACACAGTTTGACGACGTGGCAACAAGTAAATAAATCTTATGTTTATGACTTTATCAGAGAGCCTTGTTTACACCAGTTTTTGGGGAGTTTTTCCCGTGGAAACAGATGTGTAATGTTTTCTGTGGCTCTGGAGGAGCTGTGTCAAAACTGAGAAAATAGCCCCTAATGATGTTATAACGGTTATCTAGGCTTCGTCTTCGATTGACACATTTTTTTAACAGAAAGCCTGTGTTACAACCTGGAGGTGTGGAGTTTGAAAGACATTTGTGTTTACAAGTCACAGAAAATCTGAGGAAAAAACACTATAAAGTTGCATTAAGGGATATGTAGAGCTGAAATGATTTAGTATTAATAAATTATCAAGTTTTCTTTTTCAGGTTCCAGCTTCCAAATTGTGGTGATAAGTTGCTTTTCTTTATTTATGTGAGAATTATTTGAATATCTGGGTTTTAAAACAAGCAGGCTGGAGACGCCACCTTGGGATTTATAAAAATTGTGATGAGCACTTTTTTCGGAAAAGAAGGTGCAGAGTAATCAACAATAAAAATAATCATTAATGGCAACCACAGGCTGCAGCATTTTTGCAATATCTGGGTTTTTTGTGCACCGATTTTAATGTGTCTCTTGTTAGTCTCCCAATTTTACAGAAGTGCAATACTGTACTACATACATACACTACAAATGTGCACTTTTATTGTTCTTTGGAACAGTAAAAACTTCACACAAAGTCACATATTTGATATTTCGGTTTTAAGGTTGATTTCTGTTCTCAGGCTGGCAGCCACGCTGGTTCGTCTTAGAGAATGGAGTCATCTCTTATTATGACAGCGAGGACGACGTTGGTAAAGGAAGCAAAGGATCCATCAAGATGTCCGTGTGTGACATTAAAGGTTAGACCGCTGTTTAATGTGCCCGGCAGATCGACCCACCTGTCCACACTCATGGTACTAAAGGTAAACACTGTTCATATCTTATATTTCAGTTCATCCGACAGATCCAACGCGTCTGGAGTTGATAATCCCCGGCGAGCAGCATTTCTACGTCCGAGCTGTGAACGCTGCAGAGAGACAGAGGTGGCTGGTGGCTTTAGGCTCATCTAAAGCTGGAACTCTGGACAGCCACAAACACAAAGGTAGACAGTTTGTATGTAAATCTGTCCATGTACGACATCTGTGTTTGTTCCCCTTTCTGACGCTCTGTGTGTGTGGGAAAATTGCTTTTAAACAAATTCAGAAAACATCTGTTGGGATACAGTTAAGTGAGTGACTTCTCTTTGAATTGGCCCTTTGGATTATTTGGTTGTGGCATGCTGTACATCATGTGTTAAAATAGTATTTTCAATAAATTCTCATAAAAAGCTGGTATTCAGAGGCTCTGTGTATGACTCACTGACTATAGATATATGTCATTGTGACGTTATAACAAAGATATCTCAACTGTGCGTGTGTCTGATTGTCCTCCGCCAGGTCCTGACTGTCTGAAGACGAAGATGTCTGAACTTCGTCTCTACTGTGACCTCCTCGTCCAGCAGGTCCAAACGATCCAATCACAACAGAGCGACGACACAGAGGCCATGCCCACCTCAGAGGTAGCACATCTTCAGTCACATTTGTCTTTATTTTCACAAAGTTAGACTCATAACTTTGAGGCTTTCATATTTTTCTTATCATAATTAAGAAAGATCCTCACTAGGTTTTATAGCAGGGTCATGTATCACCTGTAAAGGGACGGGGAGAGTTTCGGATAGTGTTTATTAAGGAGGAGTTTGTACTATCAAAGAACTGAACTTTAGACTTAGATGGAGGCATTACATCTACTGTAGAATGACACATTGTATTATTTGTCTTAAAGATCCTGATCAGTTTGCCATTTGTAGTTTAAGTTTATTGTGTTTTGAGAGAACTACAGATAATTATCATTCTCTCCGTGTCTCTGCAGGCCTCTCTCCTCAGTGCAACCTGCGCAACTTTCATCAGGACTTTGGAGGAGTGTATGACCCTGGCCAACCAAAGTTTGACCCCTGACCTCCGACCTCCTGAAAGGGTAATTACACTTACTCCAGCTAATTCAAGTAGAATTATTCTACAGAAATATGTTTTGGTAACATTGTAAAAAAAATCGCCCCAGGGTGGTAAGAATGAACAAAAGTCAAAACTGGGGATATCCTGATAATCCCAGAAAAAATAACTCAAATTGAATAGATGTATATTGTATATTGGGAGTTATTGTGAATGACACCCAGTTATTTAGAAGAAGAAACAAAGATTAAGGAGTTGTTGAGCTGTAGGTGCAACTGTGGAGGTACAACTCACCATGCAAACTTCTTGTTCTGCAGATATATGTTTGCATTGCAAATGTGTCATAAAACTAAAACAGCTGTTCTTCTGTCTGCCCAGATGAAGAGGTCAATCAGTCATCCTGGAACATACAGCTTTGACAGGTGAGTTTAAGCACACACATATTGTATCACCTAGCTTCATTCCACCTTATTATAGTCTCCTACCACTGCTCATTAGTAAAAGTAACTTTATCTGTACAGCAAAGATGCAGCCCAAAGTGTTATATCATTAATAAACTAAATTAACTAAACAATAACAGTACCATAAAACAATGAAAATAACAACAAAAAAATGGAAAAAAATCTATAAATAAGAAAAAACATCAACATCTAAGAGCTGAAAAGGCAGGATTACAAGCAATATAAAAAATTTATGTATTTAATTAAATTTAACTTAAAAACCGACCTGTTGTCCAAATAATAGATAAAACATCTATATTATTATATTATAATTAGTATATATTATTTTATTCAAATAATGCATGGCACTAGGATGTCATGTGGACAAAAAATAATAAATTACTATAAACTATGACCTCCAGGAGGCAGCATTGCAACAGCTTGATTACCCCAGACTACACTACCCAGTGTCAGCCTCAGAGGATAGATACAGTCTTGAAAAATGGGTTATCTGGGAAGATATATGGTAACATTTACAGCCATGATATTATAATGTAGGGGAAAATTAGTCAAAATAGTAACATTTGTCAGTAACTGACTTTTACTGACCAAACAACTCTTGTTGTCTTGTTCTGGCTGATTCTTCATCAGCTACAGATGAAGGCGAGCATGTCAAGGTCAGATGAATGAGAAACATTGTGGTTCCTTGACTCCTCCTCAAAAAGTCCCTTTGAACTCAAAATGTGCAGAATAAAAGGCAGTGAAAATCCAAGGCTCCTCTTGTTTTTATCTATGACAGTGGTTCCCAGCCTTTTGCCCCTTTTTTGTCTTGTCAAGTGACATTTTACGGATTGTTGACTCAGTGTTTATGTGAAACGAGCAACTTGGGTGAATTTGAAGCAGATTTATCTCCTGATAGATGAGTTTTGATGATGAGTTGGCCAGTGTTCTATCAGCTCATTGGTTGTTTTAACTGCATACTTTCTAATGCAGGATAAGAGTTAAGGCTCTTTGAATATAGCTTGTGTTCAAATCTTCAAGGGTAAGATCTTAAATATTAATAAAAAAAATTAAAAAAACAATTTTGTTTAGTTTTTGTCACAGAAATGAAGAAAATGCTCCAATCCCCCTTGAAGCTTTGTCACTTCCAGGCTTGATCTATGAGTAGATCTAACACAGGTTTTAGAGGACTTTTAGCAGGCATGTACTGTATAGAGACATTGTAACTCTTTCACTTTGTTCATCACTGATAACTATAATCTCTTGGAGAAATAGAAGGGCATTGCAAATGGTGACTTCTATGGGTTTTATTCCAACCTGCATGTCATTCATCCCCCCTCTCTCCCCCTTTCCTGTCTCCCCTTACCCTGTCTATCAATATATAAAAAGCCCCCAAAAAATCAACAACAAAAAATGTCGTTAATAATGAGGAAAAGCCAAAGTAAACTTTTCTGTGGGTTTGAAAATAAAGCAGCCAAAACACTAATTAAGATTGTCAGCTTTTATAATTCTTTCCTTTTTCCCCCTCAGGTCAGGTGTGCTTAAGGAGTACTTGAGTGGAGGTCAAAGGTCAACTCAGCGCAGGAACCGGACATGCTCCGACAGCTCTGTTTATGATACTGAACGTAAGTTACACTGCCTTTTTTTAATAGCGCACATAAGTAAAACTTCTTTTTATTAAAAATAATAATAACTGATTTATATATTTTACAATGTGACACTCTGGAGGCAGAGGGCCAGGCACTGAGGCCAACAAAGGCAAGATAAAATTAAAATAAAAAAACAAGAAGAAACAAAAACATGGTAGAGGGAAGACAGTGATGAAAGATAAGAACATTCAAAGCGACAGCCATTAAAATCCAGTAAAGTGCAGAGAAAGAAATAGAAATAGCCATCTTCTCACTGATGATCTTGTTTGTTTATAGAGGCAATAGTTTTATATTGAGACGGTTTTATAACCATTCAAGAAAACATAAAAAAAATATGTTTGAGTAAAAGATCTCAGTAGGAAGTGTGACACTTCCTAAATAAAGACAACCCACTGGTGAAAGCTGATGTGTGTGTACTTACTCCTTGCATGTGTGTGTGTGTGTGTTCCAGGTGTGCTGCCCAGTCTCAACGGTGACTCGCCCTCCATTCCCGAAGAGAGAGGAGGCAGTGTGAGCCAAAAGACCACACCCACTGACACAGACACTGACCTGTCCATCTGAAGACCTGACCTCCATCCAAAAACTTGCTGGACTCTGTGAGAGGTCAAGAACACGACAAGATCAATATCAGCGACAGTGACCGCATCCATTCGAGATGTTGACGTCATCTCCATGAACCAAGGATGAATTGACCGACGTTTGACCTCCCCTGGGTCACTGAAGTCAGCTGATTGCCAAACACATGTGCATTGGAGTCACAATTAATTTTACGTTTTTAAGTCTTGTCACTGGAGAGACAGAAAAGACAGCGGGAGAGATCTCACAGCTGCCCTAAGCTGGACTTGAACCTGAGATGTTGTGAGTATAAAGTATGTGATGAGAGGATGCTGCAATGTCATCCTCTCATATTTCAGCAGGTAGCCACATTCACACTATGGACACACTCCAAGAGTTGATGGTAGCCTTTGAGTTCAGAGGGATTGTGACCTGGCACAGTATGAATAACTGAATTCTGGACAGTTTAGATGCCAGGGATCATTGTTCACTACTAGAAATGGACCAGAGATTGTGCAGGAAATGTTGAATTTAAACTAAAATTCTGCAACCATGAAAGGAAATCATCTCTTCGTGAAGTATTTTCTGCCTTTTCCACTCACTCAAGAAGACTTTCCTAACTTTTTCTTTCCTTTGAGACTTCCCAAGCATCTTCTATATTCTGTTTCCAGGCCTCCGTAATTGTGCTTGCCTGCTGAAAGCAAAGGTAAAAAGAAGAACTCCGTCCCTCTTCCTGCCAGCTTCTCGTCTCGTAGTGGTCTGATATAGCTGAGGATGAAACCAGAGTGATAAACAGCGTCCCTGCAGGTTCCTGGAGCCAATTATCTCTGTTAGAGTACACAAATACAGAGAGGAGAGGAGCTTGGGTCTTCAGATGCCAAAGTTTGCACAAACGTAATGATCTACATTAAATGTGCTGTCATTCTGTTTTCTAGTAAAGCTTCGTCTCCACAGTTCAGCTGGTTATGCTCAGCCAGAACAATGTTTTGGTGTTTGAAACTGGGATGAGAAGAAAGACAACACTCCAGTTTGATCTGCAGCTCTTTGCTGGAGGAGTTTGCACCTTCTCCTCCTGTTTGTTTCTGCTGCGTGATCAGGGGCCTCATTTATAAAATTCACTTATGATCAATATGGAGCTTAAGTATGACTCACACAGAAAAACACGTTGTTTATAAATAACTTACTTTGACGTTGAAACGATGTCATCTCTAAGCAAAGTCTAGACATGATGCAAATGATTTTCCTGCTGGTTATGTGAGGGTGTTGCAGTTTGGGATGTAAATGCACCCAAGCCTGTGGTCAGCTTTACATTCGCTTTTTGAACAATGTGATAGGATGATCCCTTAAAGGTGTGAGGAGTTCATTGCCAGACGCAAGGTGTTTTGAAATAAAAACCGTTTGCGCTGTTCTATAAATAGTGTGTCAAATTAGAAAGCCCCGGCTGTTCCTCACAAAACCCTCATATGTGTAAGCGTTATATAAGGGGGAGATCGCTAAGGCTGGTGCCGTCGCTTTAAAGTTACTTTGAGATTTATAGATCACAGGTGTGGTTGTTACAAATGCGCTTCTTAGAACCTGCGTAAGCAAGGTTTTTTATGTGAATGGAACGTAAGCACACAGTCGGAAATACTCAAGTTCAACATTTTTATAAATGAGACCCCTGGTGAAGTCTCTAAACTACCGATAGGTGTGAATGTGCAAGTTACTGCCTTTTAATGTTTGTATTTCTTGAGTGTTTTCTTGCCTTTTGGTGATGAATTCCAGCCTAACGTGACCCCGAAAAACAAAAACAGCAACTTAATAAACACAAATAGACTAAACACTTAACAACATTAGGAAACATACTCACAGACTTGTTTTTTAAAGCATGTGTTTGTTGAGAATGTTTCCTTTCTTTGATGGTGTTTCACTTATTTGCAGCCGTAGATTAAGTGCTTAAATGAATGAACTGGGTCGAGGATTGAAGTTCAGCAGAGAGTTCAGATGATGCCTTTTGTGCACATGGTAGTCTTTCTCCGTCAGTCTGAGCAGTAGCTGCACTTTCCTCTGCCAAAGCAAACAACAGAACCTTGTCAAAAGGGGATTAATCAGCATTCACCTCTAAAATAAAAACATGTAGGAGTATCTCATTTTCCTGGGTTGCCATAAGACAAATCAGTCTTCAGGTAAAAAATGATATACCTGGTGGAGGGAGAACAGTTAGCTCACAAATCCAAAGTGTCGGCTTAAAGTTGTGAATCGAATTTCCTGCCAAAATGACCTCCTAAGCCCGCCCACTGTTGTCTTGTGACACGCTGTGGTGTTCCAACGCATGCAAAAGACGTCATCTGAACACAAACAATCGTGAGGTAAACAATCATCCCCAGTGACGAATATGGAGTTTCCTGCTAGAAGACTGGACTGACGGGAAACTACAAGAAACTCCTGATTCTGTTTCTTATGGAGAGAGAGGTCCTGTGGTATGCTTTCGACGGTGAACCTTCACCTGTAAAGCCATCGTAGTGTGTGGCAGCAGCTTAGGGGACAGTTCACTCCTTCACAAATGTCAGCTTTGGACAAAAACACGTTTGCTAGCGTGACTTTGTATTTACCTTTAAGACACTTTAATATTCTGATGTTTTCTTGGCCTGGGGAATTATGTCTACACAGACTGACCACAGCTGCTTTAATCTCTCCACCAATCAGGTATTTTCACTCCACCTTCAGAGATTAGACTGCATCAAATAAATTCAGTTGCCCCAAACACGTACAGTAACTCTCCCCAACATGCAGTGTATAGGTGTGGTTGTTTTTTGCACTTTAGAGTTAAAAACAATGTCCTTTTTTGAATGTTGGTGCTCTGAAAAAAGGATTCCAGTGACAAAGGTACTGTGGTGGATAACAGTGATGATGATTGTGAAACTGATATTAATGTTTAAAAAAAAAAAAAACTATTTTTGTTTCTAGTCAGTCTCTATATTTTTATTTTGAAAGGATGTTTTGGAGTTTCAGCAGCCTTATATGTAACATTATGTAAACATACAGAACTTCCTTCTTGTATTACCTTTACCAAAATGTGTGTTCAGTATTTGTTAGGTAACTGTTTATCTTCCTGCGTTTTCTTGAACTTCCCTTCACTGTCTCTAAATACTGTGAGGATGTCTCTCCAGAGGCCGCCAGCTGTTTCCAGTAAGAGTTCAGTCTGTCATCAGACAGTTTAGCCACTGCAGTTTTTAATTTCCCACGCATGTTGGCTCCATGTTCAGCTTCTGATGTCAAATAAATTGTGATTTTATAATTATTTATAACAGCATGGTAGTTCTATATTTTATCTTTAAATGATGATTTATATTCCTGTTGCCTATCAGGTAATTTTATTCATGATGGAAACATAAGATGGATTTAAAGCACCTGCAGGAGCTTGGAAAGCAGTTAAATCTGTTCCAAATTAATTGTTAAACAAAAACAGGTTATCAAACAATATATATAAAGAAGAAAATATACAAAAGCTCAAGTTTGTGAATGTTTTCTTGTGTGTTTTGGCAGTTTTAACGGCCTTCATTATGAATTCATATTGGACAGACGGTCTCTTTAAAGGACAACATTTTGGGAATCATGCCTATTCTCTTAGAGTTAGTCTTCGTGTTAGAAGATTGATCCCACTCTTATATTTGTCTGGTATTTAAAAGGTAATCTGTATGTTTTTTTGTATGGATTAAACAAACAAAATATAATGTGTTAGTTAGTGAACTTTGGATTTTGTAACCTTTGGACAGAATTAGGCTAGCTGTTTCCCTTTGTTTCTAGTCTTCATGCTAAGCTAAGCTAAGCTAACCACCTCCTGGCTCTAGGTTAATATTTACAGTGGTATTAATCTTCTCACCTAAGGAAGTGGATAATTTGCCAGAATGTGAAACTATTCCTTTAAGGCTTTGGTCAACACAAATATCTCTGTTTCTTGTTTAGAGGATGAAGGAGGAAAATACCTGAATTAAACCGCTGAACTACGACTGAATCATATTTTCTTTATTCTGTGTTTTTTACAGTCTGTCCAGTTTTTTTTGGACAAACCAGTGGAGAGATTTTCATGCCTTAAGTGTCTCTGCACGAAGTAACGTGTGTGGTTGTATGCGACTTTTCATTGTCTAAACAAATAAAAATATTTTAAACTGAAGTGAATTTAATTCTGTTTCTCATTGTTTATTCAAGCTTATAAACCCCTTACACACAGCGTAACACTGTCAACAGATATGAAAATGTAACAGTAGAATAAATCAATCAATCACTGGTGGTCGGTTCCAGAGAGGGTTGAGTTTTTTTCAGTTTGTGGAAGACTGGGGCGGCCTGGAGGACGATCCTGCTGTGTATTTACAGAGGGTGTGTGTGTGTGTGTCTTATCTGTGGGGCTTTTTGTGTCTTTGACGTTGTTGAATTAATTGTGTGTACTCTCACAACAACAGATGCAAAGGAGATACACAAGCTCACCTGGGTGTAAACGGTCATTTACCTGAACAAATGCAGGTACGTGACCCAGCTGTCCACACAACCTGACACTCATCCTGCCTCCTGGACCTGAAGAGGAGTGAAAGTACAAGTATGGGTAAGTGCTGTACATTTCAGGTACTTCTTGAGTTTTTTCTTTTCGTGCTACTTCATTCTTCTACTCATTTCAGAAGGACATATTGTATTATGTATATTTTTTTACCAGTGTTTAAAAATTCAGGTTTTTGCAAAGAAAACCATGAAGAGTTTATAAAATGTGGTGCTTTTATATAAACTAAACAAGTTTTATTTTCTTTTAAGTATTCAAAGTTTTTTTAGTAATTGTTGAACTGTTGGTTGGACAAAAGCATTGCGAAAGACTCATTTTGGGCTCAGAGTAAATGGGACGGCATTTCTCACTATTTTCAGACTTTTTACAAACCGAACCATCAATTCATCAATGGAGGATTAAGATGAATCCATAATGAAAATAATTATTGGTTGCAGAGGTATACAAAGTAGTTCAAAATGAGCTTCAACTGCAACAGTGAGACTTGACTTATAATAATGAATAATAATAATCTAATGACATAATACTACATACTTTTACTTTTAATAGTTTAAGATGATGATACTAACTAATGCATACTTTTCATTTAGCTGCATTTTCAATGCAGTTGCAACGAATTTTAACAGTAGTTGTTTCACAGTGTGGTATTTGTACTTTCACTTAAGTCATGGATCCGGATAGTTCCTCCACAACTACAGTGGAGTCTGACATTCATTCATATGCTCGACAGACTCCATTTTAACCCACAGAAATGTCTGAACAACAGTATTAATAGCTGGTGTCTTTACTAGTTCACTAACTAACTATGTATTTTTGAACCTGCTGTAAACTGAAGAGCTAATTGAGAAATAAATATTTTAACTGGAAATCACATTTGTTTCTTGCCAACAGGGTTTTTAAAGGGATGAATGAATGCAGTGAATAAGGTGGAACAATGAGTGAAGGACTCATAAGTGATGGTAAGTTTGTATGGATTAAAATTTCAAATTTTTCTTTGTGATTCTCAGTTTCTGTTTCAATCTTCCTCCTCTAACTGCTTCTGTCGCTCTATGCTTTTTAAAAATGTTTTCCATCCTTCCCTGTTGTTTAATCTGTATAGACCAGTCCAGAGGACTTCAGTCATCCTCTGGAGCCTCCACTGAGGACCAGTGTGCAGACACTCCATACCAACCAAAGGTAGCCATTTATGCTTTATATGACAACCTGGGTATTTTCCAAGTTACAGTCTGTTTCTGTTACTATCCCTCCAAAGCAGCTCAGAAAGGAAACTCTTGGTTGGGTTTTTATGATTGGCTTGAGGATTAAAAGTTGGCATATCAGTAAAAGCAAAATTCGGCAATGGAAGTGTAATGGAAACAGACTTGGTGAAAAAATTGTGACGTACACGAAGCATGTCGTGACTTGAACATCCACTGAAGATTCCACAGAGGAGACAAAACATGTCTGCGACAAAAACATCAGATTCCTCAAATTAATACATAAAAAAACACAAGTTACATATTTCCATCATGTTTTCTACATGTCGTCATCTGGTTGGGCACTTTTCTTTTACAATGGTCTAATGGCCCCTGGCTGGAGAATAAGCGCAACCTACTGTATAGTATATTGCTGAATCAACTCCTCTTAAGGTTAGGTTAGGTTAACAGAAATATTGTGGTTTGGGTTTAAATTGCAGCTGGTAAGGGGATCTCCATCCTCATGGCTACAATAACCACTTGAATATGGTCAGGGAACGATCGTGGTCATGGTTCAAGGAAACCAATGTTGACTGTCAGTAGGAAGCAGGAAACAAACAGTGTTGTTTTGACCCACCAGTCTACCCTGACCTCCTGCCTCTGCAGACATTTTCTTTTTACCCTTAAAACAATATTTCTCTCAACTAAACTTTGACCACAGTCTTTAATCAGACTATAAACTGTGGCAAACGGTGGCAGATCAGTGAATGTTAATGCAAGTAATTTTTCAGTCTACAACGAGGAGTTTTCAACTGGTTATTAAATAAATGTAATACTGATGGGTGTGTACATACACTGTCAGAATCAACAAAAAAAGTTCCTTGTTGCTGCTTTGAGGTTCTGACAAATGACCTGCAATATTCTGTTGTTTTAGTTTGAGGACTTGATGTAGCTCAGCATGCCAAACTGAAGTTCAACCTGAGAAAAAAAAGCCACGTATCATTTACTAGATAAATTACTCTTAACAACTAACTGACCGTCTGAATAACTCCCGTCTCCCTCTCTTCAGTTCAGCTCAGGCCCTGCATTCCTCAATCTGTCTCGCTGTTCCGCCTGCTACCGGCGGACGAATCAGTGGGTGGACCATGGCGAGTCTAGCTCTTCAGCCGAAGACTCTGGACCCGAGGAGGACTTGGAGTCAGAGGCAGAGTCTAGCTCCAGCAGCAGCTGCTCTCCGAAGGCTTTATCAGAAATACTTGAGGAGCCTGAATCAGAGAAGTCCTTTCCGGGCGCTGGAGATGCTGCTGAACCTGAATCTGGAGAAAGAGATGGTGACGGACCAGAGGAGAAGGGAGAGACATTGGAGAGCGAGGAAGATAAGAGCAGGACAAAGGGGATGACTCGAAGAGCCCCACTTGTCAAGTCTTTCTCCCTTCCCGCCACCCTTACTCCTCACCTCATCCCTCTGTCCCTCCTGCCCCGCCCTCATAGAGTTGTCTCCACCCTAAACCTAGAAGTGTTATCCCAGAATGATGATGAGGCCTTCTACATCATCAAACAACATCTGTCTGAGGGAGAGGAGAAGAAAAAGGAGATAAATACTAGAGGAGGAAACAATCTGATGCCTCCACAGATTGGATTACCGTGGCAACATAGGTCACTCCCAACATTACAGCAACACCAGCTGTCATACCAGTACCAACAACAACCACACCAGCAGTCATACCAGTACCAACAACAACCACACCAGCTATTGCATCAACACCAACACCAACAACAACCACACCAGCAATCATACCAGTACCAACAACAACCACACCAGCAGTCATACCAGTACCAACAACAACCACACCAGCAGTCATACCAGTACCAACAACAACCACACCAGCTACAACAACCTCAACGCTTTCCCCCTCTCTCAGCTCAGGATCAAAGGTTACCACCACCCCTACACACACTTCCTGTGTTACACCCCTCAGCACACCACGCACCCCTGCAGGTCCCAATTTCACCCCAGACACATCTGCATGCACTCACTCCACAAACATGCTGGTACTGTTACAGTATGAACTTTCCCTACTCTCCATAATTAAGCTGTTACAGTGGTGAACAGATACCCAGATAATAAGATTTACACAGCTCCAGTGTTTTATGTTTATGTTTTATGTTAGCCTTTAAGTATGTGAAAGATACAATAAAAAGATCTAAAAATGAGGTAATGAGTTCAGTGATTTTGTGATTGAACCTTGAATGTGCACCCAGGTTTTACAGTTTGAAGAAAATGTTATCTTTCCTAAACTCTGGTTCATCTGTAACATTTGCATTGATATACTCTAATGGCAGTCTAGCTGACAGTATATTCCTATAGCAGCAGCTGATGAACATTTGAGGGTCGGCATTGCTACAAGATTCACTGTCAACCTCTGAGGTCTACAAACGTGCGCTTGCACCACTGAAGATTTAACACGTCTGTCCTTTTACAACATTCAGCATTTGGAAAGAACTGTCAGGCTAGTTATCTGCACTTGCTAATGTTAGCACTGATTCCCCTACCTGGTGTTAGGAGAGACCCATTTCCTAATAAGTACAGCTGGGGAGATTCTGGCACTTTTGAGTAGAGTTGTTCCGATACCAATACCAGTATTGGAAATTGGTATCAGTGAGTACACATCTGTGCAACAATCCAAGAGCACGTAATTTATTAACCCCAAAACATGAGTCATTTTTTAAAAGCTCATGTATCGGATCAGTACTTGGAATCTGTTTTGGGAAGGGAAAAAAATGTACTGGAACAACCCTACTCTTGATTACTTGTTTCCAGAAAAGAGAAACAAAACAACAATCCCACATTAAATGAAAAAAGTACCCACTTCCTTTCAACTCCTCCAACAGTGATTGCCATCCCTGAGGATGACTGGTGACCGGTGATCTCTTTCCTAGATTTGTATTAAATTCTTAAGTTTATTAAGGGTTTGTTTGTGAGAGACAAAAGGGACTCAAGCCATGCTGATGATGTGTTGATTCTCAGTGAAATCGACAGTAGGCCTTCTCTTGACTGTATCAATTAAAGGGAACAATTTATTAATACATTGCTCAATGTAGCTTTAGAATCTGCACCCTGATTCTCACACCATGTCCTAAACAAAGGAAGTTGACCATTGTAGCCACTAATATGAGTGGAAAATGCAGGTGTTTGTTTGCCACAGACAACAGAGCAGTCTTTTCTGTCTCACCTTCACAGAGATGGACATTTTCCAACCACATGAAAAACAACAAGAGGCTCTTTGTATGATGTGTGTGGTTTGTTCCACCTACAGTAGCCACTAAGTCTCTCCAGATGTCTCCACTGAGACACAATGTTTCCACAATGACTGCCAACACACAGACACACACACAAACACACACACATGCACACACTGATGTCACTGGTGGCAAAAGCAGGTTTCTGGGTTGGGGGTAGAAAGTGGCAGATGCATAGAGAAACAAAGAGGTATAGTAAGAGGAGGACTTCTCTTTTTCTTTACTTACTTAGCCTGTTTGTACATCATTTATAGTCAGAGTGAAATGGAAAATCTCTTTCACCTTGTTAATTTCACATTATACATTTCTTTGTAACAATACATACAGAAAAAAATGACAATATTTTCATTCATCAAAACTTCTTTTGACAATGTTAAAGAGATTTAAAGTTTGAAATCAGAAAAACCGGTCTGCTTTATTTTTAGACAAAGTGATATTATGGTATTGAGTTAAGATGTAACTATTTTAAAAACTGTAGTTGTTGCCTCATGTAAGCTCTGACATCTGATACTTTATAAATATGAAGGTATTATTGTTGCCATATCATTTGCAAAGGTGTGTAGAGTTGTGAAACTGTATCTCAATCTGTTTCCTGAATACACAAATACACACACACCTGAGTGCGCACATACGGATTCACGTAAATCAAACAGAAATCATCAGAAAGCAGTCTGGAAATCCCTGCAGCTGTAGTAACCTGCAGAGAAGAGTAGTTAGCCGGGCGTCCGGATAGCTCAGTGGGTTGAGCTGGCGACCCATATACTGAGGCTGAGCCCTTTCTGCAGCGGCCCAGGGTTCCAATCCGACCTGCAGCCCCCTGCTGCGTGCCATCCCCCCTCCCTTGGTGAAAAATCCTGCTGTGGAAATCTGTGTGCACAAAACTCAACTGAACTGGACATAACCAAGTGCAAAGCTAGCTGAATATCTGTCTAGAATTTAAAAGCAGAATATTACAGTATAATTGCATAAAAAAGGTTTTTAATGTAATACGGTATTTAATTGTCATACCAGCTAAATTAAAGCACAGACTAATGACAACAATAATACAATGTCCTGCACATAATAAACTGAAAAAAGGCAACAACTCACAGCATGTTAGATCTCAAAATCCATCATTTGAGGTCCAGACTGAAAGTTTCATTGTCCTTATGAATGCATATTTGCTGAGCACTTTAAGCACATGAATTGTTAAAAGCAGATCCTTGATATTCATTTATTAATCCGTGTGCACAGATTTCTACGTCAGCACATAGGCTACTTTTTTTTTCTCTCTCTCATAAATCTGAGAACTTACGGTAAAGCTTAAAAAAATGTTTTGGAAATAATGTTAAGTATGCATAAGCACAGGTTCTGTAGCTAAAGGCTGAAATCATCTCCGCTTTCAATTTTCTGGGAATTTAGCAGTTTTATCAACCTTGGGGGACTTTACATTCTCCAAAACTATACGTGTTGGGTATTTTATTGTCTGATTTAAGTATTTATAGACTCATATTATTGGACTTCTTTTAAGCAATGCAATAAAAGGTAGTGAAATAAAGTCTTTACTAGCCGTATTTATATAGCTGGCAGTGTGAACAGGGCTTTGACACAGGATTTAGACCTTCATGTTAGGCAATAAATGACAGGAAACCGAGCTGTTGCCTGAATTAATAAAATATGACAAATACAACAAATTTTACCCTTTCTCCCTTTGATGCATGCTCACAATTATTTTTTGGTATATATAAGGATTACAAATTGTTAGGTCTTAGAATATAAATTATTAGCTTTTGAAATAAAACATTAACAAACTGTGTTAATATCTTGGTTCAACAAAAGTGAGCAAGTCCTGATAACTTAATCTGAGATTCAAAGTTTGAAAGATCTGTAAATGTGTTTGTGAAATGCAGGAAAACCAATTTTCTGAGTTGGTTTTATGTTTAATTTGTATCAAACCTCCTCTACACTCATTATCAGTTTTTATCTACATATGCTGCAGGTTGCCTTGTCCATGATGTTGAGCTGCCATGTTCCTACAGTAGCCCAGAACAGACAAACACTGGCTATAGATAGGGCCTTTTGTGCTTTTCAAGATCACTGTAGTTTCTCCTACACACTTCACAGCCTGTTTTCATTCCCAGGACATCAAATACAGACAGGCGTGGTGTTCAGTTGGTTGCAGTCTGTATCTGTTGGATGCCACTAAATCCTGCACAGTAAACCTTTAAATTATCAAATTGTGTAAAAACATGCATTCATGAACACACTTCCCATCATGTATTGTATCTATGTTAAAATTTTCAACAATGGTTCTCGATGGTAATGTCGACTGGCCAGTCCAAAACTGACTGAAATATCTCAACAAATATTGGATGAACTGACATGAAATCTTGTATAGAAATTCCATAGAGCATGGAGCCTACAGACTCTGGTGATCCATGAAGTTGACACTTTTAGTTGAAATTCCATGGCAACTATTGGGTGGATTGCCATGCCCAGATATTCATGATGCCAGGAGGATGACACCTACTGACTTTGACCTACTGTTGGCGCTAGATGAAATGTCAGGGAATCACAGACAAACATTTATGTTTCCTAGACTATGATCCTCTGAGTTTTCATCTAGCATCACCATAAGGTTGGCATGAGGTTTTGAGTTAAGTGTCTCAACGACTACTGAATGGACTGCCATTAAATTTGGTACATCTTCACCAAAAACTTCAATTTGTGCAAATAGCAGTATGACCAAATACCAGCAGCTAAGCTAATTACATTCCCATCAACCTCAGCTGTGTTGTCTTTACTGCTAATAAGCAAAACTATGATGGTGAACTTAGTAAACATTATACCTGCTAAACAACAGCAAGCGATAGCATTTAGCTCAAAGCAAATACAGGCTCACTGAGCTGATAGCATGTCTGTAGACTCAAATGTGCATCTGAATGGTCTTTTCTGTCATCAGAATTCTAACAATGCAAACCATGATGAAGACAGGTATGCACTTCAAGGACCACTGTATAGGATTTGGTGGCATAGCGGTGTAGTTGCAGATTACAAAGGCCTCGCCTCATCCTCCAAGCATGTATAGGAGAAAATATGTTGGCTGAGGTATTCTCTTTTTCAGGCATTTAAATGTGGCTACTAGCAGTAAACTGATAGCTGTAGCAGTTGTAGTAGTTATGAGTCAGACTGAGCACATAGTATGTACTTTTTTGGTTACTGCAGTTCAGAATAACATCACAAGATTTAAAAAGACAAGTAACATACACATGTCTGACATTATTACTCTACTTCACTCTGCATCAGAGCATATGTTTTGGAAAATGCTGCAATGACTAGGCTACTATTCTTTCTTTCTCTGTCAATTAGTGATAATGGACCCCATCGGTTGAGAGAAGACCACTCCCTCCATCTCTACTCCCTCCCTCCTTGACACACACACACACACACACACACACACACACTCTCTCTCTCTCTCTCTCTCTCTCTCTCTCTCTCTCTCTCTCTCTCTCTTCTGTCTGTCTTTCTTTCTATCTCTCAGTCAGTAATAATGGAGCCAAGCAGTCCGAAGAAGATCCAGTTTGCTGTACCTCCGCTGCAGGGACAGCTGGACCCACAGGCTGCCGAACATGTGAGTGCATCTGAGGTGTGTGTGTGTGTGTGTGTGTGTTTGTGTTACAGAGTGGGGTGGATGGTATGTGTTCATGCATGTGAGGGCTGAATGGAGCTTCTATCTGTGATCTTGTGAGTCTTGACTGGAATTTTCTGTGTGTGGGTGCAGATCAGCATGTGTGCATAAGTCCGTCTTACGAGGAGTACTGTTTGTGTATCTGGGTGACAGCATGTGTATTTAATGGGTCCGTCATATTTGAGCGGCCGTGCATGTGACACATTTGAGTGTTTTGCCAGCTGGTTGGTTTTAATGTCAATTGGCAAAGAGTTCAAAGGTGTAATGTGTGTGTGTTTGTGAGCAGGTGGTTTGGAGAATTAAAGGGGAAAAGACACCCTCAAATACCTTATACAACTATTTAACACTAGAAAAACACATCCAGTGAGGTTTAATTCTGCATTCTTGAAATGGTTACTGTAGTTTCAGTGTTACAAATTTCTCATAAACTTCTCTCCCACTAATCACTTTACTTTTCAAGTAGCTGGTGATGTAAATGTGACGAAGGTCAACTGACACAGTTTGAGTTGAATTTACCCCCACCATGGACAATCTGCAGCTGATTGCAGCAAGTTCACACCCGTTCTCTTGGGGGAGTGTTTAAAAGCCATTCTGATAAACATGGGACACTCTCTCTTACATAGAGGTGGGAGAGCTGAGCAGTGCGATAGAAAGGCCAATGTAACTCCTGAAATGAACAGAACGCCACAGATGAATCAGGTGTATTGTATCTGTACTTGAGGCGTAATTTTCTTTTAAAGAACTCTGAGAGAAACAGAAGCTGGTCTTTCATACACGCTTACACATTACATCAGTGAGTTAGAGCAGCTCTCTGTAAGGCGTGAGTGTTGGATGCTGGTCTCTGACGTCTTTACGAACCGTTCAGTCGACGGAAACCGGAAGTTGTTTTTTCCTAACGGCGTTGGTAATAAACAGTGACAGATTAGGGCCCCTGTGTGGTTGTTGGGGGAGCCCCTGTGTTGGAAACCATCAGAATTCCCAGAAGTCAAAGATACATTTCAGCAATGGTTTTATGAGATACCATCTTGTAAACCAAGTCTCCCCTCCAGGATGACAATGAACATTTACATTCCTGCAGTGTTGTTACCTTCATCTGAGAGCTGTGAGCCAAGCAGAGTAAACTCAAAGGATTTTTATGTAGTTTTGTTTTAAGGAACTGTGGGTGTAATCCAATCTTTACATTGGCTATATTGGTAAATGTAGTTATTATGACAGTACAAGCGTGTTAGAAGAATTGGAATTGTTGGCAGAAAATGTCATTATTAGGACATTTTTCTCATTGTCCTTTTACAGCCTACTTTTAAACAGAACTAGGCAGGAAAATAAACATTTATGGGTTGTGTATGTTAGCCTTTAGGACAATAGAGAATGTTTGTCATACTATTCTTACTTCTAAATAAAGTCTGTGCTCAAAATTAAGGATGTCCCGGGGACAATAAAAATAGCACCTGGGACACAAAGCTGCAGTGTCTGGGACAATTCTGGGATGGTAGAGAAATGTATGATTGCAAATGAAATTATGACAGTTAGTTATGGGATATACAAAATTTTAATTGTTAGGTTTCCAAATTTGGAAAGTGTGAGGTGGCACCGGCACAAGCTCTATGCTACGTCAGACGCTTACACACACAAAATCGACCAGTGCTGCCAACTTGACGACTTTGTCACTATAGATTTAATGACTTTGCAGACACTCTCAGTGACTTTATTTCTAAAAAGTGACCGGTATATACTGTATTGTATTGTAATTAATTCCCATGCATGCTGCACAGCTCTTCTGCCGACAGTGCCGGGGTCTCTCCCTCTCCTCTTGCACCGTGTGCAGTCAGTAGGTGTGGCGTGTGAGGCGCATTTGACTTCCCTCTCTATGGCTTAAATGTAAATATTAGTTTGAGCTTGTAAATATTTAAATAGCTCACTTGATCTTCTCTTTGTTGATTTAATTTTTTTTGTCTACTTCAAATATACATTTACACGTCTGCTGTAGTGAGTTTGTGATTATTTGGCTAAATAATGATTATGGTCAAAGTGTGTATGTAAATTCCCATTGCCGTATACCCGTTGGAAACAGGTTTGCATTTGCACAGTTTGTAGTGATGCATTTATTGAACAGAAATAAACAAGACACATTAACTCGACCAGTGACTAAAAGAATAATGGAAACTTTCTGGCCGAACACCAAGGTTGATTTAAATTTTTCGTTTCATATATAAGTTCAGGGAACAACTAGCAGAAACCGAGTTAGTCAATGAAGTGCTACTGAGGTTACTGAAACAAAAGTTATTAAACTATATTCATTATATAGAAAACATAACTCCAATTTTGGACTATATTTGGGCTCCAGTTAGCATTTTTTATTAACTTTTATTTGGACAGTGAGCTGACATTTTGTGCTGGAGGCCGAGATAAAACATCAAGAACAATGGCAATAAAACCAACCAGATGGTTACAATAAATTATACATTATAGGACGAAGAAAACAGGTGAGCTTTAAGTCTGACCTCAGAGCTTTCTGTTCTAACGTAAAGAGAATAATTGTCCAACATGGGATCAGAGGAAAATCTTACCAAAACATCTGTGCGTTTGTTTACCTCAGATCCGCCGCAGAAGACCAACTCCTGCTACTCTGCAGATCTACAGACAACCTGGCACAGGTGAGACAGAGAGAGAGAGAGAGAGAGAGAGAGAGAGAGAGAGAGAGAGAGAGAGAGAGAGAGAGAGAGAGAGAGAGAGAGAGAGAGTGTGTGTGTGTGTGAGGGGAAGATGAGGGGGAGATGGAGAGAGCTGAAAAGCGGCAGCTATAATGGAGCCTTTATTAGATTTGTGCTGCAGCTTTTGGTAAGTGATCTCAGTGTTCAGACTGGACTGATGGATGCCTAAAGTGTGTGTGTGTGTGTGTGTGTGTGTGTGTGTGTGTGTGTGTGTGTGTGTGTGTGTGTGTGTGTGTGTGTGTGTGTGCGTGAGTGTGTCGGCTCTCAGCTCTTATAAATCCTTCTACACAGGAACTGACTGATTGAATAATCGGCCTGATTCCATTTTGTGAGCTCAGCTCTGTGAGTCTGGTTCCAGCGCAGCTTTATAAAGCTCTGCAGGCGCCTGCAGCCCTTTTTCTGTTTCTCAAAGAAATCGGAGAACAAGAATGTTGGTATCAAAAGCACCAGGAAGACTGGAAACATAAACATAACAACATAACAAAACTTCAGTGTCTTCTAATTCAAGGAAGACATTATATCATAGAATTTGGAATTCATTTTCTCTCCCTCTCCCTCGTAAATTTAGTGCTTCCAACCTTAAAAAGTGTTCCTTGGCCCAAAGTTGATCTGTGCACAAAATTCCTTCCAAATTTTCATTCTTATTTGTTTGCCAATATACCACTGACAGTCAGAGTCTGTAGAGTGGAAACCAGCTGCCAGCTGTAGAAACAATAAGTAACTGTGTGCTCTTAGCTTTGAAACAAAAAAGATCAATATGACAAAAAGTGCAAATGTTATGTCTTAAGTTACTGAATTATTTTCAGTAGTTTGTCCTCAACAAATGCTGACATTTAAATAATGGTGTTGGGTCTTTCTTAAAAGATACATCCCCTGAGTTTGTGTTATTTCCTCCAGAGCCAAAAATCTGTTGGTGTTTTAAACTTATTTAGTTTACAGCTATGATTCAAAACATGAGCATTAAGCTGCACTGTGTGACATATTCCTTTGTTACCATGAACACAGACCCAGTCCCACATACAACATCCTGATGCCCCAAATACTTACTAGAGCACCAAGTGTTGATTAATCCGCCACTAAAAATAGTCCCCAACAAGTGCACTATTTTTCCTGTTTAAGTATTTGCCACTGTTTTTAAAGATTCACATCCTCAGTAGTAGTTGTAAGAAGCTGGGGAAATTAGAAAGCACTGAGAGACGTACTAAGAGATTGTTGGTTTTGCACTTGATTTATTGACAATAAAAGCTAAAGAATATTGCTGGTTGTAACAGTGGTGAGAGAGTGAGTTAAAGGGAGTTAATAGACTTTTGTTATAGAACAAAATGTATTCTGAAAGCCAAAAATATCAGCATCTAGCCAAGTAACCCCTTGGTCAATGGCCCTTTATTAAATAGACTGTAATCACCTGCAGGTGTTAAAAAGGTGCTTAATACTGATTCCAGGAATTCCTGCACTGGGTACTGGCAAACTTCATTTACAATGAACAAACTGCAGAGCTGTTCTGTTCATATGGAGTTTATCTAAAAGCTGTTTGGTCCCAACATGATCACAGCACAGCTTCAGGCCCCAGAGGAAACAAGGCCCACTGCCAAACCTGACCAATGTGGTTTGAACTAGCAGACTGATTGAGCAACAGACTGACACAACACCATTAGATCCCCGAGCTCTCGCTTGTGGGGCTTAGAAACATCGGTCATGCAGATTTGGTAACAGCAATGTGCCATCAAGTTATAAAAGTGAGCTAGCGACAAATCAATAAAGAGCTCAATGCTGCTGTCTCGTCTCTCCTGCAGATGTTGGAGACCAACAGAATGCCAGCGGAGAGTCACAGGTTTGTATAAATGCTGTTTATACATGCATGCTGGGAGGAGTAGGGAAACAAACCAGCAAGAAAACACCAAATCTCTGAGAGTCACTTGGATAATTTTTGGCCTATGGGCTAATTAAACTCTAATTAGTAAGAGGAAAAACTTAAATATTATCAATATTTTCCTTCTACCTCATATGTTTCTTGAGAGCGGTTGACATTTTCACAGCAGTCGGTCAGTGGACAGACAATCTGCCAGATAAATGATGGCTTGCCTGGAAAGTCAATGTTGTTTCCCTATAATGAGATTAGGGAGGACAAACATGGTCTATCCTGTCTCCTACTTGATATTCATTTTTATGTATAAGCAAAAGAACCTCCACTTTACATCCATTGTTTTTACATTACATTGCATGGCTTTAGAATAGTTTTAAATGCAGCTTCCTCTTCTAGTTGCGTGACTGATGTTACAGTGTTTTTCCTTTCTGTTCTCCAGGCTTCAGATGGCGCTCAGAGGAAGCAGAGCACCTACGCCCCGCCCACCATGAAAGGTAAACACAGGACAGTTTTCAGCCTGGTCTTCTCAGGATTTTGCACAATGTCTGGAAATGTATAAAAGATGCTCTGTGCAAGGAAAGCGGAAGAAATCCATTTCCCCCTGAGGAGAGGATAATGAGGAGAATTTACTTACGGCCTCTAAAATGGGAAAATGACAAGGGGAAGGCAGCATATGATGGCAGAACCAACAAAAACATTTACAGTAATACAAACTAAAGTCATTTGGCAGCATTGATAGAAAAGTGATGCCGCCTGTAAACATCAGTAGAAAATATCATTGAAAGCCGAGGCAGAAAGAAGCATTGCATGTCTTTCATGCTAAAGATCTCTTAATTCTGGTTTACTAGCAACAGACCCATCTTTTGTCCTTCAGGAATTAGGTTCAGTCAAAGTTGATTTAAGGCGTGACCGAGCCAACAATCAGCATGTTGTTGGAAAAAACGTCACTTAAGAAGCTAAATATCAAATCAGTGTTTCTCATAATGAGACTAAAGATGTGACTTTTTTTTTTTGAGCAAATACCTACTGCAGCGACACATCAGTTCTTTATGTCAGAAAACCGTAGCTTCTATAACGTAGCTCAGTAAGAATTTCTACTGATGCTGTATGTACTTTAAGCTCTGCAGTGGATGTACTGGTGGTTTTGTTGCAGCTGTATACATACCAGTCTCCTCCCTCCTCTCCACAGTCTCCAGTGTGGTATCTATATGTTTGCTTTTTGTATGGAAGTTCAGTTCGTTTTGTTTTATTAGATGTTGTTTGTCTTTCTCTGTGTTTTTGTAGCTATTTCTGGTTTTACTCCCACTTCTGTTTTTTTTTTAGATCAGTAGGCTCAGCTGGCAGGGTGATGGGGGATGGTAATGGGGGATTGTGGTGGGGGTTGGCGAGTACTTCCTTAAAGTATGGATTATGAAACAAGGTGGCTCGTGGGCTTGTTCTTGTTCTATGTCACAATATTAGGAAGAAATATATTTTATAGGATCCATTCTTTTCTTATTGTTCACACTTTTATCCATTTGATCTTTTGTTTATCAGGTTTTGAATATAACACATTTTGAGAATTCTACCTTAAAATGTAAAACATTTGAAGATTTCCTCCAGACATATTGAGACATTCAACAGTCTGCTTGGAACAATAGTGTGTGAGATGTTTTTTTTCTGGGAAAAAAAGTATAATTTCCTCATTTGAATCCTTGAAAGGGCATCTACTCTTTCAACCTAATTAAAAACATTCCAGAATCTATAAATATGCTAATTTATTTCAGAACTTTTCCTGCTGGACACAAGATGTCTCCCCACTGTAAAGTCCATTCTCAGTGGATGTGCAATGGTGGCTTCAAATTTCTACAATCCTAACAACATAGCTTAACAAAAGAAGTAAGCTAACATAACTTAATCCTCCAAAAATCATTTGAGTCACTCTTGAATTCTCCCATGAATTAAACCCAAATCAAAAATGAATTGGTGAAGTAATAACTAACTAACTTTGTGCAGTATTTTCAGAATTGGTAATATAATTCCAGTTTCCATTTTCTTTAAGGTGACTTTATATCATTACAGAAATGTAAGCCCCGACACCGCAAAACAAATTGGATATCATTTTGATAATAATTGATGAATTGTAAAAAAAATTGTAAAACGAGTAAATTCAATTTAAGTTGCAACAACAACAGAATATGTATTTATGGTTGTCTTATTCAGATTAATAACACATTTTAAGTAAGTTTGGAGAAATCCTGCATATGAGTGTAATATACTTGCTAGTTTTAAGTTCAATTAACTAGTGAAATGTGTTCAATTACCCAAGTTAACTTAACAATAAATACTTGAGTTACTTGTACATGCTTAAATTGTTGGAGGTAATACATTTAAACAGTTTAAGACAATCGGTTTTCTCAAACAATTTGAGATGAATTAACTCATCAGGTTTTACAGTGTGTGTGTGTGTGTGTGTGTGTGTGTGTGTGTGTGTGTGTGTGTGTGTGTGTGTGTGTGTGTGTGTGTGTGTGTGTTTGTCTGGCTGATCTGTTCTACCAAAACCTTCATTATAAACACTCCTTAAATGCAGCACAGACTCCTTTCTCTGATAACAGTCCGTTCAGTTTATGAAAATTAGTTTATTACTATTATTTTGTGTTTCTCTTTTTATCTATTATTATTATTTTCATTACTTGGGTGTGCAGGCTAAGTAACATACAACTCTTACAGTGTGAGTGTCGATAGTGCACCTGTATGATGGCTTTTATTGCTGTAAGACTTTGTTGTCATGTTGTTATCATCGCCTGTACTGAATAATTTATAAAACTGTTACTGGGCCAGAAGGAGTAGTGCTGCAGCACTTCTCTTTAGCACAACAGTTTAGAGAGGTTGACTTAGCAAGGCTTTCATATTCTTTAAAGCGTATATTTGACTTCAAATGTGAGACAGAGAAGTCTATTTTAATGAGTCTGTGGGGAAAGGTGCAGGCTTCAGAGGAAAAAGTAAGGAAGACAAATAGGAAGAAAAACAGTGTGTGTGCCGAGCTCCCTGCCAGTGAGTGCAGCACTGAATAGGTTCCGGGAAGTGGAGACAATAAAAGCTTTTCTTTTATTGATCCCGTCTGAGTGTGTGTGTGTGTGTGTGTGTGTGTGTGTGTGTGTGTGTGTGTTATGTAGGCCAGATAGCTAATAGCCTCATGAGTAACAGCCTATGCACCAAATGCATGGATTTACATAGAGCAGGATAAAGAAATGTGTTTTATTTATTAATATGATTAAGTTTTATTCTCACACTGTGGTTTTACAGTGTTATATGATCATTTCATGTTAGTGGTTTAGCATTTACATAAATATTAAGTCTCTGCTGGCTCATGACGCAGGGTTTTGACGGACATCTACAAATCAAACTGAATATAACTCGTATGACCCGTAGGAAAAGTAGGCCACATTAAAAACGTACATTGGCTCTTGCGTTTTTGGGTCTATTTTACAGTTTGGTGTTAATTAGTGATATTTTCCATGGATGGCAGAAGATTTTGTATAATAAATCGGCAACTTTCTTCTATAAACATACTGCTAAGTGATACAAATTTGTCTGACGCCTTCCCTCGACGCTCCTGCCCGAGCGGAATATTTATGGTTTACACAAGATGTCAGGGAAAGCTACTGTTTATCTTCTGTTGGATTTTTGTATCTTCTGGTTTTCTCGTTCAGTTGCGTTTATAATTTTCAGTTACAATTTTGAATCACAAATTAATTTTAGTGTTGTTATTTTGGGCTTCTTCCGCTCTATTGCGACGTGCCTGTAGTTGAAGTATCTCTCCACTAGAGGCGCTCTTCTCTCCTCAGAGCTTCAGCTGGGGGTGGAGCAACACCTTCTGGGGGCGGGGCTCTGTGACACAGACGATCAGCTGAGCCCAATCACAGCACAGCTCTATGCCACTGCTTCCCTGTGGGCCAATCACAATGGGCCAGAGGAAGCCAATGGGAATGAGGCGAGTCTGCTGTTAGCCAATCAGGAGAGAGGAGTGGCAGAGAGCAACAGTTCAGGGGGTAAACTTCTAAAGACAGAAAAACGTACACACTTTTGGCCAGCAGTATACTCCAAAATAAATTAAATGCTGTGTTAATTTTTGTCAGATTCACGTAGTGCTACAACTAAAGATGATAAATGAAAAATAAATTGGCTTTATTACATGGAAGTAAGAGAAAAATACACAGCAAGCAACAATAGCATGATACAGTTTGCCAGTGGTGTATTTTAGAAATAATTTTAATGTTTGTCTCACCAACCCGAGGTAAATGATACCAAAAGGGAACGCTTCTGATTGGCTGTAAGCCCAAAAGCATTGTGCAAACATTTCCCATTCATCCAAGTTATTTGGAGTATACTGTTAGTCTTACATACACAAACACACTATGAATAACCAGCAACCACTATATTATTTTGCTGATCTACTTCTCATCAACACTTAGTTGCAAAACAAAAGCAAACAGATATATTTAAATTGTTTAAATGCAATAATAAAATAACAAACTACCATTTCGTACTACAAATAAATCAATATAAAGTTATCTGGACTTGTCATCCATAAGTCACCAACTCTTTGTTTGCTTCACTGGTACACATTTTCATTTAGTCCCAAATTAATGCAGTAAAACTGCAGTAAAACTGCATTAATCAATGAATCTTATATTAACACTGAATCAAATGTAACATGAAAGGAGTGGCTTGTAGCATCCAGATCAAGGCTAAATTAAAATTCTGGGGCTTTAAGGAACTTTTTGTCTCCCTCAGCTCTTTGCTACGCCTGAGCTGCTCTTATCAAACTCTGCAGGCAGCTGTGTTCAGCAAATAAGCCCTGATAAAGCAACCGTACACCAGTGGTGGAGGAAGTATTCAGAGCCTTTACTTGAAAATGTTACCCAAGTAAAATAATGTAAGAATCATCTAGAACATGTTTTGTGTATATAGAAATCTTAATTTGTAAAGTAACTAGTAAATAAATCTGTCAGAAAATGCAGTGAAGTAAAAAGCACAATATTTATATATTTATGTCTAGAAGTAGAAAGTGGCATGAAAAGAAAAGACTTGAGTGAAGTAGAAGTAACTTAGATTTTAAATACAGTACTTGAGTAAATGTACATTCCACACTGCTGTACAATACCTGCCCAGCACCAAAAGACATGCTGGAACATCTGGCAGCTTAAGAGAGGAGAACTCAGCTAAGAGAGTGAATATTGTACATAAATTCATCAGGTAGATAGAGACACAGCTCTAAATGAATAATAAAGTTGCTCTGTCCATAACCATAATATCTTAATTAGCTTTTTGCTCAAAAATAATTTCAAATGCAAAATGCAGCTTTAAGGTTAAGCTAAAGTGTTACGTGCAGTAAAAGCTAAAAATATTCCATTAAACTTTGACTGCATCAGAACAACGAACACTGCACTGTCCCTAATAACTCACTCTGTTTACATTTCCATAATAACACTGTGAATATCCTGTAAATCTCTTGACTACTAACAGCACTAACTCCTCTCTCTTTCTCTTGTCTGTTCTCCTTTTGTGGCTTTGCATGATCTATCAACTTTCTATTCTCTTTTTCTACACCCCCCCCCCCAACTCCTCCGACTACCCCGTTTTTCTCAGATTTGTCATGTGACCACAAAAAGGAAGCGTCCAGTCCGGACTCCGTCTCCCGATAGCCACCTTCGCTCACTGTCATCTCTTTGTCTCCCAATAACCAGCTTTTCCCGTCTTACTCACTGCTGCTCATCTGATCCCATTAACACACTGCTTCACTCTCGACACATAAATACTGTGTGTTTTGATTTGCTCTCTCTCTCTTTCGCCCTCTCATGCAGACACATGCACATAAAGATTTTAGTAAATGTACTAAATCAGTCTGAATTTAAATTACCGTAGGTGATGTTGGTGCTTGTGTAGAAACGGCTGTGAATAAAGATGTATTATATTGAACATTTACTGAATGTGTGAGAGTTCTTTATCCTTGACTTAAAGTCTTTCTGGATATTCTCGTGCATTTTATGCTGAAACACTAACACACGTTTGTTGTATTTGGGGGTTTGTCCATGTCTCAGTGGTCTTCCATAACAAACATGCAGGAGTTTGATAGCTAAAATGTACCATATAAACCCACGCGGGGATGGAACAGATCCATTGGGACAACCATTAAGAGATTAAAACATTAAGAGTACAAGATTAAAGAAAAAAAGGTTTTTAGAAAGGACATGATGTTTTGTTTGTGTGCACCATTTATGCAGCAATAAATAGCATTACATGCCTGCCTTCCTCACATCTGCGTGACCCTACTATTTGGAGATCAACATCCCCTATCACTGAGTCAACAGCTGACATGTCTCTCTGTGTTTGTGAATGAGTGTGTTGGTTAATGCAGCATGTGTCCTGGTGTTTTACGCCCTGAGAGGCTAAATGTCCACAGATGGGATGTGCTGCAAAGGGGAAGGAAAGGAATAAATGGGATCCACCAACAGCTCGTGATACGTGGAATCCTCTGGTTTATCGTAAAAACTGACCCTAATACGCACGTTTGTTTTTTTCCGTTCAAGTGATTCATCTTTAGCTCTCTATCATAGACGCAGATATATTTTTTGCCTGTTTCCTGCTCTTATTCAATGATTTAGCAGGTATTTCCTGTTGATGCTGCGTCCAACATGCAATTGGAAACAGGAGGATTTATTAGAGGGACTTTGTGCTGTTCACCCTTTACTGCCAGTACTTCTATATATACTTGTAAAAGTTGTGTACCATTTCAGTTAATGACAGTATTTGTTTACATGTTGTGACTCCATATAAGGATATAGTTTATCATGTGCTCTAAAGGTTAATTAGTTTAGTTACAAAGGTATTTTAATTGATATCAACATTTTGAATGGGGGAAGGATGATGGTAAGATGCTAAATTAAAACAAAAACAATATTGCTTTCTCTTTGTTTTTAGTTTCTCTTTCATTGTCATCACTTTACCGGCCATTTTTATGATCTGGTGGTTGTGGTGTCTGCAGGGCACAGAAAACAGATAACAAAAAAAAGTGACCGTAAGCAACGACGTGTAGCCTATATGACGATGCTGACACTGGTAAATATGGAACTTTTTATTATTATTATTATATATAATAATATATAATATATATAATAATAATAATACATATATATTCAAATTTGGCTTTTCAAGCCTTTAATGATTGAGAAAGCTGAATGTAAACAGGGAAGGAGGGAGAGAGAGAAAAGGGAATGACATTCAACAAAGGGCTGCAGACTGGAATCAAACCCGGCTGCTGCGGTTAGCCTTAGTGTATGAGGGTGAAGCGAGGGAGTTGCAATGTGCAACTGCACCACTAGATGCCACTAAGTCCTACATACTGGTCCTTTAATAAAATTTATAAGCTAATTTATATTTTGTATTAATAATCTGAATCTGCAAAGTAACTAAAGCTGTCAAATAACCATAGTCAAGTAAAAACTAGAATGTTTCTGTCTGTATTGTAGTAGAGTAGCATGAAATGGAAATACTTAAGTAAGTACCTCAAAATTGTACTCAAGTACAGTCTGAGTAAATGTTCTTAGTTACTTTCCATCACTGTATCTGATATAATGGACTTATAATGGATATATAATACCAACCTTTTGGGAATGTCTAAATTAACATGAATTAAATCATTCAGTATTGTTACATTTGAGTCGTGTGCGTGTGTGTGTGTGTGTGTGTGTGTGTGTGTGTGTGTGTGTGTGTTTTGTGTGTGTGTAGGTAAGCTGAAAAGTCCTGTACCCGAGGAAGAGGAGGAGGAAACCGACCCTCAGGACGGCTGATCCAGGAGAGGAATCTGAGCACAGAAGCAGCGGGCGATTCATCTTAGATATTCTGGACAAAGCAACAGACTCTGGCGTCCATTTTAAGCGTAGCACCTATGACGAGATATTGATCAGTGGGAGAGTTGACCTGCAGTTCATTGAGAGAGCAGTTAATGTTTAATGTTTAATTGGAGTAGGAAAAGAAACACATCAAACCAGCGAGCACAGCTTCACTCTTAACTGGCCTGGAAACAGCCTGGTTGTGAGAGCTGACTCACCTCAACATGACTCCACACAAACTTATCACACTCACCAGTTAAAGCTTAGTTTGCCCTGTTTTAGTTCATAAATAAATATGAAGTATGATCCCCCCCCCCCCAATACAACATAAAAACTGTTAAATTTAACAGTCACATTGACACTTTTTTACACTTCTGGCGGGAAACTCGTTGTTCTAATTCTATAAACCAACAAACACTGACATCATAAATGTGATTTCAAAATATACATGCTGAAAAAAGCTGCAGTGTAGCCAAGATTAGCGAATTAATTCACAGTATATAAAGCTTTTTCTTTGTCAACACGTTTCAGTTTCTCAAAATCAAATTTAAAAACAGTAAAAATCAGAAAATAAACTAACTGACTTAACTTCTATATTCAATACAATAATTTCACGATTGCTAGCTAATTAAATGATTCTGTGGCGACTGTAGAAATATAATGGGGTTTTGTGTTCTAGTGTTGATCCAGGACGCGTATCTTACTAGTTTACAGCTAATCTTCTGGGTTTCTCTCCTCAAGTTTTCCAAATGTGTGATGAGGAACTTGCAGGTGGTGGACAGTAACACATGTACAATATACTGTAGTAATTGGAATACGATACAGAAGGTAATGAGATAAATGCAATGTTAAGCTATTCGTTTGTAGTCCTTTCTGAAGCACTGTACAGACATTTCTCAAAGCAGACATTTTAACAGGAAATAGTGCAAATAACATTCATGACGGGTGCACTTATAGGTCCATTATTACTGTCATTAATCACACCTGTGCCTTTCCTTAAGTCAAATGTCTGCTGTGAAAAAGGCCTGTTAGATTGCATTTGATTATAAAAGTGTTTTTGTGACTATCTTTGTTTTTTTTTTTTTTACAAAACAACAATTTGGAATTTTCCATTTGCCTTTCATCAAGCAGTCTGATCTGCTACTTTAAAGGTCCAGTGTGTACGATTCAGTGGCATCTAGTGGCGCAGTTGCAGATTGCAACTCACGCGCTTCATAGCGGTTCAACATGGTGGAGTCTGTGGAAGGCAACCCTCTGCGTCTGTAGATAAAAACAGCTCATTCTAAGGTAACAGCACAATGATTCTTATATTCAGGTGATTATACACTAATAAAAAACATACCTATGCATATTATATTCCATTTCTGGACATTGATCCTCCTAAATGATACACACTGGACCTTCAACAGATGCTGCAATATGCAAAGTTAAATATCAGTTTAAAGTAACCACCACAAGTTTTGCCTCAAAAATGGATGAAATGATAAGGGGATTTATGTTTTCTTCATCTTTTTTTCCTTCTTCCGCATGTGCAGTATGTTTCCTTGTGACTTACAATGTCAATAGCAATAAAAAGCATTGATTTTATACATAAGAAACTCAGAATATAAAAATGAAGGCTAATTTTAATGTCCATGTGTAACACCCCCTTTTCTTCTTTCCATTTTTATACTGTTTTCTTGGTGTGCCACCTGGTGGTTTCTGCAGGACACATCAGGACTGGATTTACTAGTCTCATCATGACTGCTGTTATTTTCTCTCAGACATAGGACAAAAGTTGTTCCAGATACCATAAAATGGGACTAAATTTTGTTCAAGACCTAACATGAATAAATAGTTGATGTGTAAGGGAAAATGCCAGATGAGGTGTCCATTATCATGAATTAATGAACGTGTGGAGGCCAGAACTGTCTGACGTGCAGGTACAATGGATACTGCATACACTTTTCAGGTGATTATACTTTTAAGTGCCTAATGTGGCTCTGGACAACAGTTTGCAGATATTGTCTTTGTTATAAGCAGTTGTGGAAGAATTATTCAGATCATTTACACAAGTAAAAGTAGTGATAGTACACTATAGAAGAACTCTACTTAGAGTAAAAGTCCTGCATTCAAAAGTTCACTCAAATAAATATCTAAAATAAAAGCACTTGTGTCAGAATGGGTCCTGTCTGTTATTATATAATGGGGCCATTATTATTGATGCATTAACACAGAACTTTAATGTTATAGCTGGTTGAGGTAAAACTTATTTACCTCCTTTATGTACTTTTTGGTAGTTAAATCCGTAACGTGACATATTTTATAAATGGATCATGTTTTGTTCATAAAATCTTGAAGTTAAAAATAACTAATGATTACAGCTGTCAGACAAATGTAGTGGAGTAACATCTACAATATTTGCCTCTGTACTACTGTAAAGTAGCATAGAATGAAAATACTTGAGCACACGTACCTCAAGACTGTACTCAAGTAACCGTACTTAGTGACATTATACCACTGGTTATAGGATCAAGCAGGGTCGGTCACCTGAGTGTCACCACTTACCGGTTTCCACTTCACCACAGCTCAGCCGAGGCCATGCGCACGAACCACCTTCACACACTCAAAGCTCAGGTCTGACACAGCCCTAAAGTTTATTTTATTCATGTAATTTAAGTTACACGGTGGAACCAGAGACACAAAAAAATTGGTTAGAAGGAAAAACAGCAACCATTCCACATCAAATGGCAGAATGTGTCCATGGATCTGTCCTAACATGCTTATAATGCATACTACTGACTAAATTACACAGCAGACATAGACATGTAATCTACTGTAAAGTGCAGACACGTCATTTGCTAGATTTGAGTGTATTCCTGCTATATGCTGTACATGACTTCATTTTGCTTTCGGATTTAACTTTGAACAGTCCTGTGTAAAATAGTATGCAGTATGAGCTTTCAGACAGAGCACTGGTGTTAGTAATACATTAGCAAAGGGCTGGCATATAGGGAGCATGTTTTGTGTCTCAATATGTAGCCCTTGCCATGACTTGATTGAGGAAAAAAAAAAAAAAAAAACAAATGCACTTTGTAAAAGCCATCTGTCTGTCTGACTGACTGGAGGCTGTCTGTCCTAAAAGGTCCCATACAACCAATGTGAAAACTGCTCATATGGAAAGTTCATTGGAGGATGCCCCAGCGAATGCAGTTCACAAATCCAGTGAAAACATCACCAAGAGTGTGTGTGTGTGTATATATATATATACACTTATTTTTTGTCTTATTGCAGCTCCAGGTTCTTGTAGACTTTCACAGGTCTGAGATCAATTAGGATTTACTGGTTTCTCTGTGGAGGAATTGGTTCGGTTTAATCGCTCCTATTAAAGTTAAGTACTAACACATTAATCTAACCACGGCGTGTAGATGATGGACCCTCGACAGCTGCTGTTAAGGTGCCTTTTGAGCAAGGCACTATTCCCCCGGCTGCTTCACTAGGGCCTGTTGGTGGCCAGCACTACGAGACTGCAACTGTAAAAATTAGACACAGAAAAGCAAAATTTCCCTCGATAAAGATGAATATTTCACCTTCTTTTCAGATGCCAGAAGTTGCGAGAAATTAGGAGGATCATATAAATTATACTTTGCACTGGCTTGTTTTCATTTCTACTTTACACCATTAGAGAGAAAAAAGTAGCACCTACTGGACCTGTACTTAATCTGGAGAGTTGACTAACAACAGCTGTGAGGAATATCTGCAGGTACACTGCTCCATGCCTATACCGTAGTATTACTGCTGTATTGTTTTAAAGTTTGTTCCAACTGTAAACGCTCTCGTGGAACCCCTTCTGTTAACCAAGCTGCCGCAGAGTCAGGCCCATTATTTCCAGAAACACTTAAAATGGCATTTCACCCATTAATACCCAAACACTCCACTTCCAAGCCCTGATACACAATTTTTAGTGTCAACACATTTGGCAAATCGTCATCATCATTGTCGTCATCATAAAAATAACAAAACATTAAAAACAGACGAGTTCAGTTCACATCAAAGTAGAATACAGATATTATATCTTTACCCACAAAAAATCCATGTTACGACTAGCTTGAAAAAAGAAAGAAAACATCACCATGTTATACAAGTGTGTGTGTGTGTGTTCACTATGTAATGTTGAAAGATTAGTGTGTATGTACTTTTATATCTGCTCTCAGGATGTCTGTGTGTATAAACTTACATTAACAAGCAACATGTCTTTCGTTATCGACACAAAAAACCTCACCCCCCCCTCCTCGATAAAAGCAAAAAAAAAAAAAAAAAAGAAAAAGAAGAAACCCACATCAGAATCATTTGCATTCCCAAAGTAAGCATCCAAATCCATCACCACATAGAAGTTGTCAGCTGGCCACTAAAAATCTCAAATCTTTCATCGGAAGAAAAGAACAAAAGAAAATAATATTTTAGTGTCAACTATATATATACTATATATTTATATTTTTGTTCTTTTATACCAACCAAACATATGGTATATTATGTGTTGCTATGGTTATGGTCCCTGGCAACATCATGAAAAAGTACAATGATTAAAATAAAGACACTGATCCCCCAACTTCATCCAGCTAGTGTGTGTGTCTGAATGTTTCTGTTCATATTTGTCTCATTGAGTTTTTTTGTCGTCTCTGTGCACTGAATTGTGGGTGTTCTTTTGGCGTTTAGTGTATTTGTTCTGTATTTAGAGTAGAATTGTTTAAATACGCCTTTAGTGTGTTACGTGTGTCGACATTTGTCTGTACATGTCGCACACCGATGCTTCTTTTTGTCTGAATAGTGCGTTGAGGCATTGTAGGCATAGTTTAGCGTGTTTAGTGTGTATTTAGTGTTTGCTGTTAGTGTGTATTTCAGAATGTGTATGCGTCTATATACGAGCGCTGGCGCTCTGATGGCAGACAGTATGGTAGGCCTTCGCTGTGTGTTTAGTGTGTGTCTATGCGTTAGCACTGATGCTCTGTTTATAGACAGCGTGGTAGGCGTTTCGCAGCAGGACGTAGGGGAAGCAGGACTCCAGCAGGTCCATGGTCAGGAAGGGAGACTCCTGCACAATCTGAAACACAGAGGATAACACGGGTTAGACAATATTAATACTGGAACTCTTCTACTCTCATTCCTAATGCATCAATAGCACAACCATATTGGTTCCTTCCTCCATCTCGATATTTGAAGTCTCTTTAGGGTGCTCTCACACCTAACCTGTTTGGTTCAGTTAAAATGAACCCTGCTGCGTCAGCCAGGTTAATGTTAGTGTTTGTTTGGGATGAAAGCTGTCAGTTGAACCTTGATACAGATCAAGTAACGAGAACCCATGAAAAGGTGGGTGTCCATCTGCTTCCAAGCAGACTCCGGTGCGGTTCATTTAAAGTTCATGAAAGCAAAAGTAGCAATTAGGGATGCAAGATATTGGATTTTTGCAGCTATGCCGATATTTTCCAGCTCATTTTGGCCGACTATATGAACATATATTTTCAACCTATTTGCAGAGAATATCAAGTCTTTCCTGTAGTGGAATTAACATATTATTATTTCTACTCTTATTGTGGTGGTGCACTAAGAGAGACAGAAATAAAATAAACGTACACATTCACATTCAAACTGTAAAATTGCAAAATAGTAATAATAATGTATGATTTTCCCCCTGGTCTGGACCAAATGAACGAGCTACATGAGTGAAAGCTCCCATATTTATTCTCTCTCACCATGTCCAGCAGCAAGTAGACAGATTCTCTGTTACGCGTCGTCATCTTATCCGTCTCCTGGCCGATCTTCAACAGGCTGGATGAGGCCAGCTGCACAGAAAGACACACAGAAACTTGTTACAAAGATTGTCTTTATAGAGAAAAGAGTGTTTGTCTCATTTGTTATTTTTCCACACAAGTTTTGAGTTATTTTCTATAATTTCAGCAAAATAAAATGTGAATATCGGTGCGTGTTTCCATTAACTTCCTTTGTGCAAATGTGTTAAAGAGGATGTGACATGATGATTATTGAATGGAGCAGCAATGCCTCTGATACATCATGACATTTTATTACCGCTTGCTGCTGAAGATGGCCTTTGTGTGTTTTCTGAATGGCTTTATTTCTTTTGTTTTATGTATACCTCGTGGTGTTTTTATCAGCTGCTACGGTGACACAGAGCAATAATCTGTCCACTCTGGGGATGTGGTGTTTCTGTACCCCTCCAACAACTCTGCCCTTTCTAATAATAATAATAATAATAATAATAATAATATCAGCATTACAAATAAAGGTGATACATGTCTCTCCAACCATATCTGAGACACATGAAGCCAAGTTCACCTCAGCCTAACTCTTTTTTGTGAAATTCTAGACAAACAGCAAACATGACAGCATTGTGTCCTGCAGTGAGGTACGAGATAAACAGGATCTAAAATGACTCAAATCATTTGTTGGTGACAAAATATTAAAAACTAAAATGAGATCTTATGATCTTACAGCTAAAAACTCTTTCAGGCGGTCCTCTATGCTCCCCTTGTGGATGGTGAAGAGAGCAGCGGCGATCTGGTTGATAGCTTTGGCCAGGCAGTGGATGTTGTTGCAGTGGCCTGTAGGGGGCAGCAAACACACGTCATTAGTAAGAGAACATGAGGACATCATCTGTAATTGGAAATCAATTAACTCTGATTTGATTTCTGACATGTGCCTCTTTAAGACTCTCACGGCAGAGAAATTCTCCCGAATGCGAAACCTCCAGCGGGTAAAGTATGGATTTCATTTTTGTGTTTCATACCGCCATTACGTGTGTGAGATGCATAAAAAGTATGTGAATCTAAAATAACAGTGTGTAATTCGAAGTTCACAAAATGGTTGGTGTGCCTGCGCTGGCGCCTTGTATTGAGATGTGCTGTCGGAAAACCAATTGCTGGCCAATATGCAGTCTGCATACTAACAATGGTGGAGCCCATTACAGCTCATTATCCATTTCAAATGTCCCTTATTAACAATGGCGGCTTTCATTTCAAGGTTGTTAGGAAGCAATGTCTTGATAATTCATCCTTGAGTGAAAAGTCTTTATACCTTATCAAAAGGTTCATTTAACTACAAGAGTGTCTCCATTGCACTGAATATCAGGTTTATTTAACTGAATGAATCTTTCAACTGAAATACATACAACAAATAAGGTTAAACAGGTCACACTGAGTAAACTGACCTTTAAAAATGTTTTTAAAAAATCATTGTAAAAGTGTACATAATGAAGATGATGATGTGGCTCTAGTGCACAGGAATGAATCAATCTGAGGGCACAAGGTCCATTTCATTTGCATGCAGAACAGTCTCACACCACTGATGCAGTAAATTATGTTTCCTATAATGTGGAGTATTTTCTTTTGAACTGCTCTCAGGCTCTGAGCCGGTTCTCTGCCACAACATAAGGCTTGTTATTGCCATTATTTATTAAAATAAAAAGTTATTACAAGTTAACGTTGGGGGTGAAATGGGGCAAGAAAAAATAATTATGCAAAATTAGTTTATACCGTTTGTAGCACAAACATACTGTAGTTTGACTGTGTATTATAAATTTGTGTTGTCTAACTATCTACAGCAAACAGTTGTCAGCAGCTCTGTTGTGTTTCCCCCATTTTTGTTTCAAAAAATAAAGAAACACAACAACCCGGATTTGTTCAAAGTGACTTTCACCCACATTTTAAAAACCAAATACAATACAGTAGCATGGTGTCATACCTTCAATGGCAGGGCTGTACTGTGACATCACGTTGCTAGCCAGTGTTGGCAAGGAAACTGCCACAAACACCATCAGCAGACAGGCGATCTTATATTCCTCCTCTGGGCTGATGTTCTCTGCACAGACAGAAGCTCATTTCAGTCATGAATACGTAACGTTGCTGGCTTCATCTATCTGTTAAAGTGATGGGTTTGATCATTCAGACAGAGCTGACTTTTACATTGGCTATATTCAGTTTACAGAATGAGCAGAGAAAGAGAAAAGGACAGCGGTGAGTTGAAACAAGTATTGATAGTGAACACTGTTGGTCAGATTATTTGGTCAGATTATTATTTTAATAGTTTTTATAGACTCCTCAAAGGCTTAAAATGGGTTCGTTCACAGTGTTTCCCATTTCATCATTTCCCATTTTGATCATTTATTACAGTGATCTTTGAAGGCGATACAAGATGTGCATTTAATCTCTCCCTCTGTGCATGTTTGCAGCAGCCTTTAAGTTATTCCGACGGCATTCAATTCACACTTATACTGTGTTGTCAAATGGAAATGTTACCAGGGCCGACTTGGTAAGATTGCTGTTGTGACTTTTACATAAAAGTGTCCAGAGTGCTTGACCAGACACGTTCAATTGCCGTCAGATTACCTTAATGGTCTTAAAGGGGCTACAGACACACAGAGGGTCATTAGTAGATGGGATGTGTGGAAGCTGGATTCAGTTTGAATTTATGCCTGTGTGTGTCTCACCACTTTTTTGTGAGGACAGAGCCACTACCAGAGCTGGGTCGATCTCACAGGGTAAACCTGCTGCTGACGACAGCTCGTAGACATTCATGGCCACCTGGAAACACACAAATATTGTGTACACATGAGGAAACATTGACATCAGGTTAAGAGGTTATTTTATTGTTATCTTAAAGTGTGTTTTACCTTCATGTCTGTCTCTCTTGGAATGTGGTCCTTGAAATCTTCTACTGAACTGACCAGGAAAGGAATATGACAGGATAACACCTGGAGAGAGCGAGACAGGGACCGTGCAGTAAGAAAGGGATGCAGCATCAATGCTCGGCAAGAAATATTTAGAAAATGTGACATTTATGGTGCCCATATGTTTGGTTCGAACCCTGGTGCATTTGCCTGGTTAGTATAGTTTGTTTGTGCTGGTGTGAAACCTGTTAATCGAACCCTGGCGCAGACCAAACAACCAGATCAAGACCTTTAGAAAATGAGGGTCTCTTTCTAAGAGGACGGTTCGATCGCTGTGTGGTGTGAAAGCAAAAGGACCAGCCACAGTATATTTTGATAGTAGACATGATTTTAGCACGATTTCAATATAAACTACAATTAAATCCATTAACTGATCGTGGACTGTTCAGGAGTTGAGCCTTATGATCGATGTGTATAAGCAAAGGATGTTTACGTAAATCATTTGACAGTAAGTGTGTTAAAAGGTGTGTGACACAGCAACCCCACAGTAAAACCTCCCACAATATTGCTGTACACTCTGCCTCCTTTCCGTCCTGTCTCTACCTGTTGTCATTATTCGTAATATGCGGCCTATTTGCAGTCTAATAATGCTTACAATCAACATTAAGGTGCAGAAGGACCAAACGAAGCGAACTACAAGTGTACAGTATTTTCAGTTATTTACTTTTCAACTGTATTAATTGATCGCAATAATCTGTGTGTGTGTGTGTGTGTGTGTGTGTGTGTGTGTGTGTGTGTGTGTGTGTGTGTGTGTGTGTGTGTCTCTTACATCTCTCAGAGCCTCCTGAGCCAGGGAGCGGAAGGACAGGATGACTCCAATGATGGTCATTCTCTTCAACACACTGTCCACAGCTGCATAAACAGGAAAAGAAGAAGTCAATTAAGGTCAGTCTGACACACTGGTTGGTATATGTCACACTAATCAATTTTAATGTAGTAGTTCACCAGTTGAGAAGATAGAATTAATTTACTTGTTGTGCTGAGTGTCTGTATTGACTTTAAATTGCCTTTCAGTCAAGCCTGTGTATCCACTATTAATATAGTTACAAGTTTACAACTAGTGTTAACAGATCTGTAAAAATTCAAAATATGGACATGGGAAGCTTTACACATGAAACAAAGACAGCACACATTCAGCAGTAATTAAAGCAATCTACTAAGCGGGTGTGTGTATGTGTGTGTGTGTGTGTGTGTGTGTGTGCGTGTAATTACAGGTGAGTTTCTTGAAGAGGGCAGCCATGTGGTCTGGTTTGTCAAAGCTCGTCCTCATCTGGGTCAACACCTCCATGTTTTCTACCACCAGTTTCTACATGGAAACACACACGCAAAGAGTCAGCATTAAATCAAACTGTGACTTCCTGTTTATACAGTAGGATTATGCTTTTCATTTCTATTCTTTTTCATATATTTTCAACTTAGTGTTGAGGCCATTATTTGTTACTTTTACTCCAATACACTGTAAATTCACAGCAATTATTGAATGGTTATTCATTATTGAATTGAATAACTACATAAATTTACTGAGTGTGGCATTAATACTGCAAATTATCTGAATACTTCCTCCACCACTGTTGGAAAGTAGTTCCTGCGATAAAGGTAACATTTTATTCTGTATGTAGAGTATGTGACTGTAGATGTATACCTTCAGCTCAGCGACCTGTGATGAGATGTGCCACATCAGACTCTCACTGAGGAACTTCATCCCGTAAGGACCCAAGAGCTCAGACAGAGAACGCATCTCTGTGAAAACAGACAATTAAAAAAAATTACAAATACAACTCAACAGCAGAAAATATGTCAATAACAACAGCAGTCAATATTCAGCAATATTAAGTACACACACAGTTTGTGTGAATGTGTGTGTGCGTACCAGAGATGTCAGAGTACTCCTCAGCATTGAAAGTCAGTTCGTTCTCTGTGGGGAGGTTGACAAAGGCCTTCATGGCGGGGAAGTAGGCGATGTGTCCATTGCTGACCTGACGGAGCAACGTTTCCAGGTACCTACACACACACACACACACACACACACACACACACACACACACACACACACACACACACACACACACACACACACACACACACACACACACACACACACACACACACAGAAAATACTTTCTTACTATGGGTTACATGTTATAGTCTTCCTTCGATTCGGACCATCACCATTTCTCAAAGGGAATTTCATGAATACATCTGTAATTATAATAAAATAAATGGGATTTTAATCCATCAGTAGGGGGTTTCTGTGCTAACAGCAACTCCCATCTTCAGAACACTAATCTGCGAATGGCTGATTAATACAATGATGAACCAATTTCGATTGTTTTTGTTTTCTGTTTGGTTTTAATACTAATAATAATTACTGAGAAGAGGAAGCACTGTAACTTACTCTCCTGAACTTATCCCCCGAATCAAAGAGAGAGAAAAACAACATCCACAAAACATACAGTCATGAACTTGAAATTAAAAACAACAATCCTGCAACTTCTGTACAAAATAAATAAAGTCTGGCATTCTGTTGTTGTTGTTGTTGTTCCTGCAACAATAATCCTTCTGTACAGCGCTAAACTACTAAGAGGAAATTGATTTATTAGGGGCTTTAATAAAAGAGTTTCAATCTGTGAACACAAGCTCTAAAGAAGCGATGTTTGAGAGAGAGTCTACAGTATTAGATTAAAATAATAACTTTAGACTGACACAGCCTGGGCAAATACATCACACAATCCAAAGTATGTTTTTATGAAATGGCTCTTACGTCCTCCAAGTGGAAAGTACACCATGGCTCTGATATTTTATCACTGCCATCATAATGTTTTTGAAGATACTTTTGCTTTGGATTATTGGATATTCTTAAAGTCACAGGACCCAGACTAACATACCAGTTTGTGTACAGACTGGTGATGGTGGGTTCCCCGTGGCTGTCCAGGTGCTGCGTCTGCTGCAGGAGGACGTTGTTGAACACCCGGGTGATGTCGATGGTGACGTAGTTTTCTATGGACTGAAGCACTGTCATGTAGGCCCGGACGCTGGTCAGCAGCTCGCTGGGCTTGGCTATCTCCTGAGTAGCCTGGTTGTACATGGTCATCCCCACAATGGACCTAGAGACAGAGAGAGTTAGACAGTCAAGACATTTATATAAATAAAAAAATAAATTAAAAAAAACATACTTTTGTAAGAGCACTTTTAAAACCTCACAAACCCATAAAAATGTAAGTACCAACAACCCCCAGAGGAAAGATTTGATACAAATGCACACAGTCAGACACTGAATCACCATGGACAACCCACTTCTCTGCACTCATTTGGCATTAACAAAAAAAACTAAACAGTCTCCCCTCTTTGTTAGTGTTGCAAATCTCTTGTAGATGCCCTCTTTTAAGCTCTTATTTCCTTTCCAATCACTTATACAACATGCACAATCAATCTGCTTTTAAAAAGATGTTTAAAAGCACTGACTGTGACCTTTGCACTACTTACTGTACTGTAATGATGAGGATCTAGAAAATGACACTTTCTTTTTATTGAGAGCTGTCTAGCAGTTAATCAGCTTGAAATAAAAAAGATTTTTCTAAAAAAAAAAAAGTGTTTTATGCGCGCGTGCTTATGTTTACTTGGTAAATCGGATCTCCAGGTGCGAGGTGAGGTACTCCCTCGGTGTGAATGTGTGCTCCCAGACCGCCAGGTTGGGAACGTAGTTGATGGAGAAGCAGAGTTCAGATAATGCTGTGTGGAGCTTATCCAGGCTAGGGGGAAAAAGAAAACAAGGTCAAAATGGACTGATGAAAAAATTATGAAATTTTTAATAATCTGTGTGGGCAAGCTGGGTCTTTACAGCAACACAATACGGTCACGAGAAAAAACAGTAGAACCTAATGAAAATACTAAAAATGGAGGAGGAATAGATATATGTAGTGACAATGTTAGAACCTCCACTACTTAAAAAGAAACCACTGACACATAGGGGGAATAGCAACAACACTGTGTGCAAAATAACAACAGCATGATTCAATACGCACAAAATGATAATACACTAATTTGTTGAGCTGTTTGTTAGAGTAATCATTACTACTGCATGAAAAATGATAGATGCTTAATGGTGTTGGTGGGATCTCAGTCAAACAAATAATAAAAACTATTTATTACTAATAATTCTGACAGAATTTATAGTAATTACTTATTAACAGAAGCATGAAGAGACACAACAAACAGAAAGAGGAGACAGGAGAGTGAGTGGCTTGCTTTCTTCTACCAAAGTCATGGAAAGAATTAAGAAAAGTTTATTCAACTAACTTGGTGACCAGTAGTCTGTTCTTCCTCATGCTCTCCACTCCTGGTTTCTCTCTCTCCGGCTCTCCCTTCTTCCCCGTCGCCTTCTTGCTCTTCTTGTTCACGGCCTGGCTGATGGTTTTCGCACAGTGCTTAGGAAGCAGCTAGGAGACAGGAACGTGGAAGAACAGAGACAGACGGCGCAGAGGCAAAGAAAGAGAAAGGCGGGGATAAAGAAGAGATTGAGAGAAGGAAAGACAGATGGGAAGAGACTGATTATCCATGGCCTGGCTGATGTTCTTAAAAGTAAGACGTGATATAGAAGAATTTAAGAAGCTTTTAACGACATGCATCAACAAAGGACTCACAACATTAATGTGACAGCATTTAATATTATGCAATGGGTATAAGTGGCCATGTGTTTCTGACTTGCTGTTCTGTCAAACCTTGTGATATTAAAAAGTTTCTTAGAGTAAGAAAACTTTTAGGACTTTCACTGTGCACCTGCACAAGCTTTAAGTTTGCTCTTCTTTGTGACAACTGCTACATTGTTTGAAATACTCTTTCGACGTTTATATACCAGCTGCTTCCAATTATGACTTATTATCCAAACAAGCATTATTTTGGATGAATTTAACCCCCAGAACATCAGGGCATCTAATACCTGATGTCACTCAACTTCAAGTTATCACAGACTTGTAACATTAAAATTCAGAGCAAGTGTTCATTCTTATAGGAACATATTGAACTTTTGGGAAATTCACTTCGCTTTCTGGTGGAGACTTGCATAAGAAGATCAATGCCACTCTCAGATCTGATCAATAGCTCTAGCTGAATATTTCTAGGTTGGGACCAGTAACTTAATGGAGTGTCCACTGGTTGCCTGGCAACTGCTCAGAGCCAGGAAATAGTCCATCACATAAAACGGCGAACTCTCGTTTTTACGCTTTCGGTTTTTGTACGGGATATAACGTGTTAATTTAGGAACTTTACAAGTGTTGGTAGGTTTAATGCTTGGACAGAGCCAGGCTAGCGGTTTCTTCCTGTTGGCTGTAGCCCTATACCCACCATACAGATACGAGAGAGGTTTCCTTAAATGGCTGTGTTCCTACCTGGTCGCTGAGTGTACATTGTTCAGTGCAGATGTCAGTGATCAGGTTTCTGGCCTGCTTGGCCATCTCATCCAGAAACATGTTACACAATGACAGGCTTCGATCCCCTATGTGGTGACGCTGTGGAGGATGATGAGTAAAAACACACAAGGCCGACTAAGCAATTATGTTTCTCATTAGGTATGAACGTGGACTCTTAATTTATGAACTGCAAATCTGTATGTGTGTATTTACCTCCTCAGGACAGAGCTCGTGTGTACAGGACATGAAGTGTGTGCAGAGCAGAGGGAAGCAGATGGAGTGTCGGCTCTGGGAGGGAAGCTCCAAACACTGCTGGAACATCTTTTCAAACGCACGGCTGTAGAAGCTACACACACACACACACACACACACACACACACACACACACACACACACACTTTACTTCATGTCAAATATATTAAAGTAAAAGGCCAGTTTAATTGTCTCAGTTGTTTCTTCATATGAGCCTCGTTTGCATTTGAATGCAAGGGTTACTCTGTATGTTAATATGTGTGTGTGTGTGTGTGTGTGTGTGTGTGTGTCTCACCAGAAAATAGACAGGTCTGATGTCTCCACCAGCATCTCCACTAGAGAGTCCACCATCTTTGTGTGGAAGATGATGGTGTTCATCATTTTACCGAGCTCCTTGTGATCAGCTATACCAAGACTGGCTTTAGAGACACTGGTGTAGGCCTACAGAAAGGAGAACAGTCAGAAACAGTATGAGGAAGAGATCGTTCTAATCCAGATTCAAATTTTAAAATTTACACTCCATTCCACAAAGATGGAATATGAAAGTATTTAGTGGAGAAGTGTTTGTGCACACCTGCAGTCTGAACCAATCCAGTCTCATTCCTCTAAAGTCAAACACCTCTCCATCCTCCACTGGAAGACAAAAGCACAACAATTCACTCAAAACCTCACATTATCACTAAAACTTTGGTTCCTGATTTAAGACTAAACAAGCTTCTGGCAACAAATACAAGGCCAGTTACTGCATCTGTTTTATTAGTATTGTTAAATTACTGCAGCTGTCACTATAGTACTACTGTAATATTGCTACTGCTCCTGATATCACTCATACTCTTCCCTTTTGAAAGTACAAGAGGTAATGGTTTACCTTGTTTGACACTGAGAGAGGTCATAGTGTTGACAAATGAAGACATGATTATAGACTCGTCCTCTGGACACACAGAGAGGTTCTATCAGATAAAGACAAGATAGAAAACTGGTTAAAAAGACATGTGTAGGGTGGAAAAATGTACATTCTAAAAGCCATCTTTCAATCAAGGCCCAAAATGTAATCTATGTTTATTTCAATCTTTAATCAGAAATGTTACCCAAGATGAATGTCCTTGAATTAGAGAGTTTTCCACTGCCAATTTTCAGTCTCAATATGTCATATAGGTTGTCAAAATTGTAGAACCCTGCTTCCTGTTTACACTTTGCGTAGGAGTGTGTGTATGTTAGCTGTGTACACTGTAGGAGGTCTGTGTGTGTTCATACCTGCACCAGTTCATTCAGCACCACAGCATCAAAACCAGACAGGTACTGGACATAGTATCGCTGCATCACAGGACCGTACTTCCTGACGTGAGCTCGGAGCTCCTCCATGTAGAAGATCAGCTCTGCTATATGTCTGCAAAACACACACAGACACACAAATACGTCAATAAACCTTTAACTAAAGCAACACAAGCAGCCACATAGACAATAAACAAAAGGGGGTAATAATTATGTTACTGTGTGTATAAAGGTGTATGTTGGTGCAGGTGTGTATGTTTGCGTACTTGTCTATGAAGTCATCTGTGCTTTTCTTCTGGATGTTGTCTGCGTGTCGAAGCAGCCAGATAATCTCATCACGGGCAAATGACAACGCCATGAACACAAATAACGCCTGGCAGGACAGAAAGCGCAAGGAATAGAGAAATACAGAGGGAAGCAGTGAGAGACACAGTTTTAAAGTAGGGAAACAAATGTATAAATTAGCTAAATAGATAAATCACCAAGAGCAGCTGGAGCAACCACATTCTCAGCCTCTGAACCAAATGTGTTTACAGAGTCATTCAGGCTTAGCAAATATATTCTGTTATACATTTATGAGGGTCTCCGTCTGGCCAGAGGAACTTGCAGGGCTTTTTTAAAAGGTGGTAAAACTGTCCGTTCCAATAAGTTGAGAGTGTTGTGTACCATTATTTAAAGGTGGTATTTTAGTGTTTTAAGGTGGAACTGTACATTGCATTTGGTTCCAATAGTCCACACAGGCTCTCACTCCCACAGAAGAGTCATAATCTAAGGGACAGTTAGGTTCAAATTTGTTATGTTTTAAGGTGGCATTTAAATTTCAACAAGACTTGACTTCATTAATTGAAGGAAAATGGATGAAATGAAACTAGTACATATTATTTTAGGTCTCAGTGATTACTGTTAAAACGTTACCAAACGCCTGAGGAGCTAAACTGGTGAACTAAAGGCTACTTAAGGTAGCATTTTAGTGTTTCAAGGCAGTTTGGTATTATACATAGGTGACTATAATCTAAGCTTTTCAGCCATGTGTGTGTGTACTGGATATTTAAATCAATAAACTAAATAAAACTAATGAAGGTGATCTTACCTTGAGCAAATAAGTAATACGTACTTTTGAAGGTTGGTTATTTAGCACTGCTCATCTAACTCTTCTAAAACTGAATGTAGTTGTTAATGAATCTAGGAGTGTTCACTGATTAATGGTAATTAGTATTACCTTAGGGCCTAGTAGTCCAGGCTGATCAGCTAAGACAGTAGCCAACTCCTTCAGAGCTGATCGGAGAAACTTGCGTCTCTCTCTGTGCATTGAGCCTCTGCAGAGAGACAGGCGGGCAGGAAGTCAGGGCAGAGCATCAAAACATACAAGCATCATGATTAAATAGTATTTTGACACTTTCAGGACAATCCTGCAAGAGGACAAAGGTAACTGGAAGACAGTGATGGCAGAAGAATGAAGATGAAAGGAGAAGATGGAATAAGTAATGAGGATAAAAGCAGAGATGAGACAGCGGGGGAGACAAAGAGGGGAGGACACAACAGGAACAACAGAGGATAAAGATAAGATGAAGGTGAAGTTTCTGTGTGAGACTCCCTGAGAGAGAGAGGGAGAGCTAAACTGATGGAGGAGCAGGGAAAAGAACAGAACACCAAAATGTGGGCAGTGAAATAAACCATAAAATTTGAAATATTTGAGTGTGGGGAACAAAAAGAATACGATGAATGGATTAGTAAAAGGATTATGTACATACGCATGAGACAGGGCTTGTTCCTTGCACTCTCTGATGTCATTAATGCGTTTGTTGTACCTGCAAAACACAAAGGCAGAAAGGACGCAAAAACATTAGTGAGGCACTGTATCTTATAAAGTATGCATGTCTGTGATGTTTGTCTGCTATAGAATATGGTTCAATGACAAGTTACGTCTTGTCGTGTCCAGCCAACAGTCCAAAACCCAAAAAATATTCAAATGACAAAGACATGAAACTGAGAAAATCAACAAAACGTCACACTTCAGAAGCTATAACCGAGAGATTTGGGCATTTTTGTGTAAAACAAACGATTAAAAAGTTTGTCTGCACATTTGCATCCTCACATATAGATGCTCTTACCCTCTGATGTTCACAAACAGATCCTCTGCAGCCTTGTGAATGTGGAAGACTTCGTCCCTGAACAGACAGAGGCAGGTGGAGCTCTGCAGAGCCAGCTTCCACAAAGTTAACGCTGCTGCGTCGCTGTTCAGCACCGCATGACACAGGATGAAACCAACTGGAGAGAGAACAAAGAGGAATATATGACTAAATAAACAGGCCCTGACATGAACCTAGACGGTCTGAATCCCTGTGTCTACAGTACTTACAAACAATCCACTTCTCCATTGTATCCAGTGACAGGTATTCACAGGGCATCTAAAGACAGAGACAAGCAAAAGTAATTCCGTTTTACACCTTAGATCAGTCACTATGATTAGAAATCAAGATCACAGATTTAGTTCTAACTGTTTCATGCGCAGTCGTGTTCATACTAACAGTGTCTGACTGTGCAGGGTTGAGCATGGTGGAGGGAGCAGAGATGAGAGAGAGCAGCTGGGCGTTCCTCCACTGGTCAGCGGACAGATTCCTCCTGGGATAGACCATGTGAAGACTGATCAAAGCATCTGACAGGGACTGGAGGAGAGGAGAAAGGCAGGAAGAGAAAGGGAAGAAAGACGAGATGAAGAGAGAAACGGGGAGAGACAGGAGGGGAAGAAGAAAAAGAAGGGAGAGCCGAGGAGAGGAATAAACTGAATATTAGTTGGTTTTTTTTCATAGTCTTAAAGATACACAAGATTGTGAGAATGACCTGTAAGACAAATTATTGTAAACACCAGTGTACATTGAGCTTTCTGGCACTCTTGTTGATAACCATGTATCACTGTATTGCATCAGTCTGTGCATAAAGAACTGTGGCGGAGGTGTGGAGATGTTCTGTTGACGTTTCCACCACTTTATTCTCCCTTCGAGTCGATATTTCAGCTCCCGGTTGCAGAGCAGAGCTGCCACTCTGACTGATCTAAAAGTGGCACTGAAGACACTATGGTAACTGTGCCTTTGTAGAGACAAGATCAAATATATTGAACACATTGACAATCATACTATAAACCCTTTGAAGTTTACATGCCGCCATTTAAATGAGAGCCAGTGTTTACAGAAGAAAATGCATTTGAAAAAGTTGGCACACTACTGAATATTAACATCTCACCTTTCCGTGTGGAACAAACTCCTCCATCATCTTCTTCAAAGGGTTCTCGTAATCCACGATCATCTGGCCCAACCTGGGGTACTCCCGGTCACTACGAGACACACACACACACACACACACACACACACACACACACACACACACACACACACAGTACAACCGTTATTACAGAGACTGTTGACACATGGATGGTTCAGACAATGTCTTGGTTGTGTCTGTCTGTTTGTAGTTTTTAACAGAGAATACTTTGAGAGTGTGTTTGTGTGTGTACGTTCCAGTCACCTGGCTCCATGCGTCATCTCATGGGCGTAGTTGTACAGTCCTATGATGGCTTTCCTCTCCTCTATGCGAGACAGTATTGTCATCAGAGTAGTGTAAGTCACCACCAGGTCCAGGTAGTTCTTGGTCAGGTCAAAGTTCACCGTCTGACAGAAAACAACAAGAAAAAAGGGGCATTTTTCTTAATGCTAAAATTATATTCACCTGAACTATATTTCTTCAGCAGAGAAATCACAATGAGAGCAACAGTTTAATAAGCACTGCAAACATGACAACATATGTAAATACTGCTTTTGCTCTATAAGGATCAAGTCTGAGAGGATGTTCTGGGTAAAGAAGAGATGAGCGCTGAAAAGAAAAGGTCAGCAGGATTCTTCAAGACAGCAGCATGTTGGGCAAGAAGAGGAGAAGAATATGCAAGAAGGGAATATGAAGTATTTCTCTAAGACCTTTATGGTAACAACAACAAAAATAGATATTTTTTAACTTTATTTCCATTCTGTACTGTATATTACATTTTTGTTGTTTTGTTCTGTGAAGTCTTTGTTTCACTCTTGAACGGCAACAAAAAAAAGTCTATGAACAGATATACTGGTGTTTAATCATGTATAATGTCAATGCTTGTATTTAATTGCACTTACAATATCAAAGAAGACCTGGCATGCATCGATGGTGTTCAGCAGCTCGCACACATGGTCCTGTCGATATAAATACCCTCATTAGAGTCACAAACATAAAATCTTTCACATTATATTATATATTATGATGTGTGTGTGTGTGTGTATTTCCCTACCTTGAATTCCATGACATCTACGAAGGTAAAATAGTAGAGAGCCAGGTTCTTCAGAATCTCTGACTTTTCCTTCTGCAGCTGAGCTAGCTGTTGCTGTAAACACGGCACACAGTGCACACAGTTACAAAAACGTTGTGAAGTAATCTGCAATTTACTGCATATAGGACATATATCAGTAAAGCCTGTTTACTCTGACTGTTGTAATAAAGTCAATGTATTATCACTTACTGTATCTCTCCTTTGGGTATACTTTATGTACCTTAAAATGTGTTTCTCTGTGAGCTCCACCACTTTAAGGCTGAGCGCACATATCACTCTTAATTACAAGCATACTGACTGTGGTTTAAATCTGTGCAGCAGAAATACTTTATGCAGATGTTATATTACTATGAACTAAATATTCAACTATCGAGCTGCTGCTACAACAGATGATGGGGCTTGTGTCAAACTCAAACTGTGACAGGGTTTAATCCAATTCTGGAAATAATTGTTTTCCTTTTTTTTTAAACCAGAGTGAGAAATATCTGCATCTGTTGTTCTAACCCATCCAACTAAAAAAATCCAATTACTAAGTTTATCTTCAGGGATCAATAGTTTATTGTATCTTGTTCAAATGAATTACAGTTTCTCTTCATTTTGACTCAATTATCAGCAAACTGATATAAATGAGATACTACTGCTCAATAATTCAGTGATATTGAAAAACTCTAGCTTTTCTTTCAGTTAATACAAAGAGAGAGAAATACTAATAACTAGATACAAGCATACATTAAAAAAGACTCTGCTAAGTTATTTTACTTTGGTAGAACATTTTATCCATATATATACGAGTATTTGTTGGGACAGTTGACATACCTCCTGTATGCTCACTTATAAATATTGACTGTGTGGGACAATGTATTGTTAATTAAGATTCATTCATTTTATACTTGCTTAATTTGAAAGTAATTTTAACTAGTGAGACGGAAATTCAACAAGTGAAGCATCAAAGGACAAAACCCTTTTGTGTACCTGTTGATGCCAGGAAAGGTTAAGCTGTGGATGCAATGTGTTTTCAAACCCAAATTTAAAATTAAGCTCAGGTTGAAAAGATTGTCACATCAATCTTTTAACAAACTGAAATATGTGAAAGCTCTATATTTATCTACTAAGAAGCAGCTTCCATTTACATGTCAGAAATGACAGATGTAAATTTAACCCAGCCCCAAAGCTGTGTGTTTCAGGTCAGAACTGTAACCGGTGCAACTGTACGAGATAAAGAGGAAAAAAGTGTAAGAAATGATGTGAAGAGTGTCTGACACTGCTGCTGCACCAAGGAGTTTAAACCTCTGTTACTCAACCCAAAGTCAAGCGATAAGAGAATTTGGAACGATTTTCTTCTTTTAATCTTTTTTTTTTTTTTTTAAGCTGCCCTTTCTCCAAAATTTTGAATGACCAATTAACCTACATTGAAAGAGGAAGACATAAGGACCTCAGACCGGTTAAGACACTGGCTGACTAACAAAAAACTGCGAAACATACAGTCAAATCAGAATATGTGCTCCATAACACTCCGTAGTGCAGACAGTCAGCCTGTCGCTCATACAGCCGGCCAGTCAACCATCAAGCCATCTAACCAACTAGCAGTCAAACAGCCGGCAAACCAGGTAGTTAGACCAGCCACACAGTCACTCGGTGGATGAAGGATAGAAAGTAAAAATGTTGCCAGCAGAGAGGAGAGAGGAGAGAAAGCAGAGCAAAGCAAAACACACTCCAAAAACAGCTTTAAAAACAGGTACAAAAAAATTACATTATTACAAAACTTAGGTACGTGAACTAAAATACAAAAGTTACAGAAACTTAGATACAAAAACTTACCAAAAAGCACAAGTCCGGAATAAGCCAAGTTTAGCATGCAAAACACAAACAAACACAGAAACAAAGCAGAAAACAACGTAAGAGACAATTTTTGCACAGTTATACTGAATAAAGCAGTTAGCTAGACACACAAACACACACACGCACGCACGCACACATACACACACTGCTGTTTCCTCAGCTTCACAGTTTCACATAAACACATAGGCCAGAAGCTAAAAGCTAAGCTAACATGTAAAGCTGAAAGACACATTTGATGAGCAATGACTCAGTTTAGTTCACTCAACACACACACACACACACACACACACACACACACACACACACACACACACACACACACTTTTTTGCTTGCTATGTAAAGCACTTTCAAAGTTTTGTTGTAATTGCATGGCGAACTACCCAGGGATATCAAACAGTGGTGTATATATGGCCAAACACTGTAAACTGCAAATGAAAATAAAAAAGTGAATTGGCAAAACAAACGGTAATCTGAAAACAGAATCTGCCAGTAGTGTTATGCTGTTGTGTCACTTCAGAGGTCTACTACTGCTGCTTTTTTCATACATTCTGAATCCTTTATATACTGTACAATACACCACCTATCTGAAAATAAGTTTGTGGTGCAACAGGTTTTTCTATACAGTTTACAGATCTGCTCAGCTACACCTACATATTTCAGTGCAGCTGAAGAACCCCCGTTCAAATGCGACAATCTTTTTGTGCTGTGTGCAGAAAAAAATGTGATCACTGTGCAAGAATGTGCAGCTCCACACCTGTAGCTAAAGCAACCGTACCGACAAACGGACACTCTTTCATTCTCTTCCTCTCTATACGACACAAACACATCACAGACATACATGCATGCAGGCGGACTTACGTTATTATTCCGCGTCTCCACAGCGGGGAACTTCCTGACAATAAATTTAACCGCAGACTCCAAGTTCTTATCAACAAGGTAGGAGGGCTTAGCCTTGGGATCGCCACATGCCTGGAAAGGAGAGAAGACGACGAGGTGAGGAAAAACAAAGCGAAAAATATGGTTTAATATACTGCTGCTGCTACTGAAATACTTAGGCTCTTTAATCTTTATTTCAGCATATCAGACAGATTTTATTTCTATTAATATCACATTTTATTTCCTCATGGTCAGGCATGTTAGATGTGTGGTCATCACCAGGGGAAACATTTAGTGCGAACAGTGAAAACTGGTTTATCCCGGCCCAGAATATGAGAAGGTGGGTTCAGGTGAGTTAAATACTGACACCACTGACATTTAGTGAAGTTTCCAGACCAGAGGCATATTCAAGACATGAAAACGAACACACACAAACTTGATGCAAGTGAGCGGTGCAGTCTAATTTGCCATTAAGATGCACGTGTCAACAAGGAGATTCCAAAATGTTTTACAATCAGCAGGGTAGATATCCACTTTGCTGAATTAAGTTTGGAAGTCTGTGGTTTTCATGTATGGATAAACCAGGTTTAACTGTTGTAAATAAAGACTGAGCCTGAATTGATCAGTGGTTCTCAACTGCTGAGTTGTGGAGAGCTGAGCCTCGATACTGAAATGTTCATTTCAAATAAAAATAATACTTGTGATTACACTTTTTTTTACAGATCGGACAACATAATGTATTTGCTGGCCCTCTTTACGATCTCGATTGGCATCTAATAATTTAGTGTGCCTCATTTTGATCAAACAGAAGAAAAAAATGGTATCCACAACACAGAAAGGATGAGAACCACTGAGATAGTCCCAGGTAATGAGATGGTTTCAGTTTCAAACTGTCTCTCTGAGCCATCACCGGTTAGTACCACTGCATGACAGGCAGAGTGATGGATGGGGAGAATGAAGGAGGGACTGAATGAAAGAGAGGAGAGAAACACACAGAGGAAGGAAAAAAAGGGGGGAGAAAGAGGGGTAGAAAAAGTAAAGAGGGCACATAGATAGGTCAACTGAGAAATGACTCAAGAGAAATGGCAGAGTGAGGAAAGAGAGAGATAAGTGGAGAGAAAGCCCTGTCTGAGCTGAATCTTCAGCAATGTTTTAATTATTTCTCTACACTCGCAGAGCTGCCATCAATTATTCTCATCTAATCCACTGTAGGCGTTGCTTTATCTGCCTGACTGCCCTGAATCCAGCAGGAAGCAACAGCGCTCATGCATTATGGGTAGTGTCGTCGTGAATGGTGAGGAAGATGTGTTTCATGCATGTGCCATAAACAGAGTGAATGTATAAAGTTTGTTGGCTGCCAACACAGAGGAGCAATCCTAGAAGAGATCAGTGCCTTTGACCGTTCTGAGGATTCAGTTCCTCGTGGTTAAAGTTTAAGTTTAAGAAGTGGAAGCACACATTTAGAAAAGCCATAAAAAGTAACATGAATTTACCAAAATGAAATCTACACAACACAAAGCTATGCTATAGATGTAATGTTTCTACCCGCAATAACACATCACAGCTAATGAACCTACAGGTTCAGTTTGCATGGCGCTGAAACATTTCCAGCATCAACCAGTACAAAATGAAACCACAAAGCAGCAACGCATGCTCGTTCACACACAGGAGGTAACTGACAACCCCGGGGATTCAAATGTGATGAAACATAAGCTGAAAATTTGGCTTTTGTTGACATGTAGCAGTGGAGAGTTACACTCGCAAAAACTGACAAAGCATTGCACAGTAGTTACGTCTTGCGTTGCGGTCCCAAGTGCAATACATCCCACTGCTGACAATGGGTGTGGTCAGTGCAACAGGCATCCCACAGAGATCAGGGGTTTTCTGCCATTGAGGATTTAAAGTTTCATCACCATTTACATTTACAGATTAGCTACAGAATTACATCAGAGCAACTACTGTAGATGCTGCTGGCCTAACTGCAAGTTCAAAAGGAATCACTGATCTGCTGCCACTTTGCATCTGATATAATTCAACATGGGATGCAAAATGGTGTTAAAGAGGTTTAATTCACTGTTAGCCCACAAGCAAAATCAACCGAACAATATTTATCGTGCTAGCTACCTAGCCAAAACCCAGTTCAGTGTGTCTGTTAGCTGAAACTAGTTTGCTCACTAAAAGCACCAGAAACCGGCATGCTGAGCTCTGGGAGAGCTCGGTCTGAATCACAACTACTACTGCAGGGTCTCGCACACAAAACACTGGGGGGGGATCTGACACAGAACAAAAACACACAACACCAACATGACTTCAATACCCATCAATGACACAGATTGGACCTTGAGTCTCAGCTTGTTTCCTTGCGTCCACTTCTCTCACACCTGACCAGATTTCCAACTTCAACAGACATCAGTGCTCTTTGTCAATGTCACTGTGCGTTTACTCAACAGCTACAGGCCAAAGAAAATCTGTTAAGGTGTGTGAGAGACGGACTGAATTTTAACTATGTTAAATGAGAAACAAGGAATCAAGATGTGACTGGGAAATCCATGCAGTTGCAAAAGCACAAGCCTTGTTGTTTTTGCTAATACAGTGCTCTTCTGATGACAACACACCACTAGCCTCACCCTACACAGCAGACTAGTCTCTACATTGGCCACTAAAATGTAGTTACCCTTTGACTCACACCGGGGAACTGTAGAGTGAAAAAACACTGTCCGGTTACTACATGACATTGGTATGCTGACTAAAGAGGCGGTACAAGTGTTTTCCATGTTTTAGCCCAAACTCAAAGATAAAGTTGGAAGTTTTTTGCTGTCGTGGTGCACAGGCTCTACAACAGCTTACACATTAAGGTTGGTCAAGAATGTTAACTTGTTAAACTAAAATGTTCCTGTACATCACTTTGCGATGCTTGCTCAAGATAGGTACTATAAATAAACTTTACTGATTTATTTACTTACTTGTTGGTGCATTCAAATGATTGTAGGAAGCTCCAACATCCAAGACTTGTGGGTAACCTACCAACAGCGACCTTTTATGATGCAAGAAACTGCCAAAATCACATTTTTCTAAACATCTGTGGTTCTGGTTTGATTTTCTGACTATATAGTTTGTGGGTGTAGTGCTGTACAGCAGCTGACTCTAACATGTTAGATATTAGAAATTCCCACAAGCACTTGAAAGCAACAAAAAGGAATAGCTTTAATCTGTCTGTTCTCAGAACTGCGTTACAGGTGACAGTGACAAGACTCTGACTAAGATAAAGGCACTTAACAAAACATTTGGATAATGGTTGGCACTGGTTATAAATTAGTTGTAATAAATGGGCTAAAACATGCAAAACCTGTTAAACGGTCCTTCAAATTAATTTCTATTACACTCGAATATACTAGAGATTATTTCTTTCTAGATATGGCCACACTATTAGTGTCTCATCAGCTGATTTAGCTTCAACTAGATTACTTACTCAGCTATAATTCATCATTTTACTATCAGAAGTGCAGAACAGAATTGGCTTCCTAGTTGCTTAGCATCACAGAACAAAATCATAAAGATGTATTAATCATTTTCTGTCATTTACATGGCGTGGCATTGTCCATTAGTGCTGGTGGTGGCTAGTGCAGTAAGCTGGCTGGCTGGGTTTGGGTGGGGTGGGGGCTGATGGAAGGATGGATGAAAGGAAGGACGCAGTGAATGAAGGGACAGGGCATGGGAATAAGCTGAGAATCATTGGGAGGAGTAAGGGAGCTGTTGCCTGGATACCAGAACAGACCTTAGGCTCGCCTCCACCATCGTTTCTCCACTCCGGGTAGCAATTAACAGCTGAGCTTCTCAAAAGGGTCCCCGCATTGACTGACATATGGCAGGGGACCCCGTAATAGCTAGCACTGGGCCAGGGTAACCTACATCTGAGCGCTAATTACGGATGAAATATTAAAACACTCCATCTCAGTGATCCTTCAGAGTCCCTGTAAACCACGCAGAACATACTTCACTGAGATGAATTCCTTTTTGTCATTCCTTACAGTGTGAGCTCTCTCTTTTTCATGAGTGGGGGGATTAACTTCTGTAAAAAGAAAAAAAAAAAGCTCCAAAGAATGGACGGTTCCATGTGATTAGGAACAGAACCACTAGAGAACCACTACAACCTGGTAAGAGCTGGCTGACTGCCTGGACTGCCTGTTGGCAATCATCAGTTTGCATTTGTCAGCAAAGCTGTACTTGTTCACTACCAGAATACCTGGAAACTAATTCACAAAAAATGTAAGAGCGGTCATCTACAAAAGTGCTTGTTGGGATGTTTCAACTGTAATACGTGATATATTGTCTGCCAAAGAAGTCACTTTATGGAGGAGAATTTCTAGACATGCAGAGTGGTTAAGTAGTGATTAGTTGGTGGCTACTGATAAACAGTAGGACATATTGTGCAGATATTTCACTTTTCTATGGTTCATTAAAATAGATACAATAACGTTTTTTTCATATTTGTGATCATCAAATTGACTATTAGCCATTTTCCATATACACATGCTGGCTTGGCTTTACTCGGTTTGACTCGCCGCATTGGCCAAGCGTGGCAGGGATTTGCATCTCCATTATAACAGGGCTACCAGCATGAAGGTGTGTCTTTAAAGGCAGAGAGTGCATCAATAGTTGAGAGAGCTCCAGATTGAAGCAGTGAATCAAATAAATAAAACATTATTTTCTGATTGTTTCACAGCAGTTAGAGTCTAAAGCACAAATAACCAGTATGCAGACATGTTTTTAGTGAAGAATATCCACTAACAGCAGATATCTGAAAGTAAAAACAAGGACTCGGTAGAGAAACTAAACTTCAAACCACAGTGATTCAGGTAGAAGCTACAAAAGCACAGAGAGCGGACCAATCAAACTTTGTCCTGGAAATCTGTGTTTTTTGGCTTTGGGTATTCAACATTAAGACTTTTAAAAATGTCTGTCTGCTGTACAGACATGAGTTAAGTTTAAGAACACACTGTGGGCCGATTCCGGAGACGGTCCATCTCAGGCGCGGCTCTACGTTAAACTGGTAATGGAAAAGCAAATCAGTGCAGAATGGTTTGACTTGGCGCGGCCAAATGTAAAAGCCCAATATCACTATGGTGTCTGGGGGCTATGATTCATGCAGCAACCACTCTTTCTCACTCATTTTGTCAGGTGCTGTGGCAAAGTTTATTGCCATATTCATAAGTGAAGACTTAACCACCTGTTAATTTTTTCTCATATTCATATTTAAATCTAGTTTTGGCTTCTGCTTTGCAAACTAGTAAAATAAAAAAAGTATCTTTATTTTCCCAAACAAAGCACAGAAAAACAATCTGTTTGAATGCCGTATCCTAAGCAAATGAACACACTGAATTTCCATTTTAAGGGTCGGTAAATCTGACAGTGGATGGAGCCCAGCCTTACTCTCAGCATTAGAGATTCAAACATGAAGAGGAGTGAGGCACAAAGGAGAGGACCAACAGATCAGTACAGGTAGCCAGGAGGAGGGGGAGGGAAGGAGGGAGAGGAGGGAGTTGAGGAAGGGTGAAAGGGGTGGGGTTTCATAAGTGGAAGGTGATAAACTTTGCAAACCTTCCAAACTTGTCCTTGCTGCATAGGAGAGGGGGGAAGCATTGGAACGGAGAGAAGAAGAGAAGAAATCAAAACAAAGAGCCCACCCAGACAAAATGCTGGATCACTGGTCTACACACTTGCTCACAAACACAAACACACACACACACACACACACACACACACACACACACACACACACACACACACACACACACACACACGCACCCACATGTCTTAAAACAACTGCTCTGAGAGTTTAGTTAGGGGAAGCCGTTCAGGCATTTCTTTTCAATACAACACATAAAAACAGCGCAGGCTGCACCAACATGTGATCATATTAACACTTGTTTGAACGCACGCTGTCTTCAAAGTAACACAAAGTGTAGTATCCCTACCTACCCACTCAGACACATTAAAAATTACACATCCATTTTAGTGTGGTAGGGCTGAAATAATATGGCTGACACTCTGTCTTATAAAGAACAGTGTGAAGACAAAGTTTGGCCCCTGCTGTTTTCGCAGGCTGCAATGTTTGCTCCACATTTCTGCTCCATGGCTGTTGCTTAGTAACTGTCAATGCACTGTTCCCTGATGGCTGAAGCATTGGGTGCTTATTTTAATATCTGGTTATCTACCTATTTCTGGCAGTTTTGGTTGAAACTGGGTTTATCCTGGCTGTGAAGTGGTACGAATATGTGGCTCAGCATTGGTTCAAAATAGTGGGTCAAGAAAAAAGCCTCTGTGTTGTGGGAAACTGTACTAATTCTACTGCTTGAGAGATATACCAATATATATTAAATTAAATTTAAAAATGGTACGTTCGATAAGTAACAATTAAGTGCTTTAACAAAAAGCTCAACTAGAAATGAGGTCATTTAGAAACAGTGTCTCATTTGTGTACCAAAGAAAAAACAAATCTAAGGATTGCAAGATTGTTTGTTTATGTTTAATAAGAGATGACTATCAGTAGAGAAAAAGTTGAATTGGTGGTCTTCTACTCTCATCATGTCATCTTCACATTGTTTACAGTTAGGCAGTAATCTGCAGGAATGATACAAATTCTAATGCTTTGTACAATCTTGACTTCAGAGGTTTGCCCCCTACAGGAATCATGGGTGATTACAGCCCATAATGAGGCAGTTACAGCAATCAATCTAACTGGTTTCTAGCTCACATATAGGTATGCAAGTAAAATAATATTGGCTATAGTGCTTAAAAATAAACTTTGGTTTTTGCTTTGAAGTGACCTGAACCAAAGTTGCACCAGCCAACTTTCAGTATGTTAGAAAGTCCTGACGGTGTGAGCAGATCATGACCTGGTTGTTAACAGTATAAATGAGTGCTTCAGTGACTCAATGACCTAATGAAGTGTTAACTAAACATGCATGATTAACTACACACTGTTGATTGGTCGGTTTTCTTATCTGTTGACTTTCTTCTTGGGAAGTAGAAGAAAAAGAGGAACAAGAACAGTTAAGGAAAGCAGACAGCGAGAGAAAAGGTGAATTATTAACACTCCAGTCATTATAATTTACCCACTTAATTTCTTATGAATTCATTTAGAGGCTTGGCAGATTTGGAATAAAAATTACTTTCATGTATTCCCTTTCTTGGTTTTCCAGTGAATAACTGGCTCTGCTTTAAACGAATGATGAAAAACTGACTTCATTCAGAGTGTATTTCCAACAGCATGTATTGAGCACTGATGATCCCTCAGCAAACATGCTGACCACAGCACACATTCAGAAGTCTGCAGGTTTTCATCCAAACCAAACACTACAACAGGTGATTTCACAAAATTCCACCAAAAAGGAGGGACGAAGCACCTGGTGAAGTCTTCACTTTCAAAGAAAACCTGCATACTCTCAGCCCTCAATAGCCTGACTGCCCATTTGTTACCAAACTCACCCCAAAAACAAGTTTTTAAATAGAATAAATAAAAATGTATAGTACTATATATAAATTTATAGACTATATATTATAGTCTGAAGGAATTCAGTTTGTGCTGCTTTTTTCCAAGGGGAACATGCTATCCAGACCATGAGAAATTTATTGAGGCCTTGGGCAATTTGTCCCTAACTGCTCATAAAATGCCCTTGAAATTAAAAACGAGGGGTAAAGTTGCCCCCGGTAACTACCCTGGGTGTCCTTCATTAAATGTCAACCTGTAATTTTTTTCCCCCAGTACGTAATTATTCATGTGTGACTGCAGCTACTGTCCCCTCTGAGCCACCATAGGTAAGCCTATTACAAGGCTACACCTTCCAGTGCATTCTGGGCAACAAAAAAAGAGCAGATTTTGTTGATCAGAAAACAGCGACAGTAAGTATGCAGTATGAAGCAGTAGAAAAGGTTGGCACCACACAGCCAGCAGAAGAAGAAAATCCTAATCTCACACAAACCACTGCATCATCAAAAAACAAAACAATCAGTGTTGTAAAAAAAAACAGGCGAATAGTGGAGACTGAACTGGTTGGAAACAGAGAAGGTCATTTCCTCTTCAATAACACCAGCTGAGTGTCCAGTAAAAGGAAGGTGGTAAACTGCATTATGCTTTAAAATAAACCTCTGTCATATAAACTGACTGCTAATTTCCCAATATCCAATGCAGTTGTTGTAGCAGAGATAAAACTTCCCCTAAAAACTGTGTCAGAGAGGTGTTTATTTCACTTAACGGTACTTTTGATCTGACATTATAAAGCAGAAGAAGCTACAGATCCAATATCGACAGTGAGTTTAATCAACATCTCTCTCACACGGTTTTAATGAAACCATTTTTTACAGCCTTACAAGGGGGCTTCTGCTGCAGGGCTGTTACACCAAGCTGCATCATAATTTACAGGTGTTCATGTTGTTACGTCCATCCTGTGGATACAGCCAATGCATTGTAGTGCTGGTGTTAGAGAACATCCATTCAAGTTGCTAAAAACATTGAGACCATGACGGTTTTTGACTGTAGTCATGATACATTTGAAAACGTGTATTTTTAACTAACTGCACATTTGCTCAGCAGACTATGGGGGTTACCTGAGTGTAAGCAGGGTTAAGGAAAATAAATACCCTGTAAGCGCTGTGTGCAAGACAAAATATGATGTTAGAAGGTCCACTGGCTGAAAGATAAGCAAACAAAAACTTTAATGCCACTCAGCCAAGATTAATTAAGGTGACTGTTACGGAAAATATAAGGAACAGATTTTAAGGTTTTCTGCAGATAGTCGATGATGTGTAATGAGTGAATATGCTTAAAATGGAAAAGAACATTACTGTGATCTTAGATGATAACTGTTAGTGAGCATGACTTACTCTCTCCCAAAGGTAGAAACAAGACAACCAAATCTGTCACCTTTGTTTTCATTAAGAAACATAATAATGCTACTCCACTGATGATACATTAGAGACATCTTTGTGAGCGCTTCAGCAGGGAATTTACATGGGAAATTTCAGGAGCTAAAGAGATTAAACTGGTCTCCAAATTGCTATCGAGGGTACCAGAATCCGTCCAGAATGAGCCCACTGATTGTATCAAAGATTACTGTCCCAGTTCTTTCGTTTCTAGCTTTGGGATGTAGTTGTTACTGGATGCTGGAAAGTTTTCTAATATTACAAGGTAAAAGGAAGACATTAAAAAAAAAAAAAAAAAAAACATTAGAGCAGAATTTCAGGGTGGATATGTTCAGAAGCCTTATGGTGAGGCAGATCAGGATAGATATGAAGATGATGGGACAGACAGAAAGAAAAAAGGAAGGAAGGAGGGAGGAAAGGAAGGGCGTACTAAGAAGAGTAATCAGCAGCAAAATCTCAGTGATTGTGTCTGACTGCTCATACTGTCTGAGAACTTCCAGTGAATAAAAGAAATACACGTTTGTTTCTGATTAGTAATTATCTGAAATGTTTAGTTGGGAATCCAATTATCTGATGATAGAGTAGACTCAAGGTGCCTTCAGACCACCGACTAAATTCCTTTATTTTGGAAATGACGGCCTAGGAGAACTGACATGTCAATCAACAGGAAACAGTATGGGCATTCAGACAGTTTAACTTCTACTCTGTTCTCTCTAAAACTTTTGTAGGATATGACTGACCTCTTTCTCTCGCTTTTTATACATCATACATACCCAGGCACAAAGGCTTGTCCCACACAAACAGACCCACTACTCTTCTCCTCCCACACACAAACCATTGGTTTAATACTTGAGCAACACAGTTAAGAGTCAGTTACATTAATAAATGTGTTACATTTATATTCCTGCATCCATCGCGCTGTAATAATGTACACAGAAAATTAAGCAGCATATGTCATGTCAGTGTTACTGAGATAGGGTTACATATCAAATGCTATACACTTGTGTTAAAAACAATTAGTTAAGTTAATGTACTAATGAACTGACAAGCACATTACAGGTTCAACATAAAGTGAGCAACACTAGATAAAGCTAGGGCACACACATTAGGAGACATTTGCTCTTATCCGTTTTCATTTTATATTTGATAATGCATTCATTATTCTGTATTATTTATTTTTTTGACTGTCAGATAAACGGGGCTGCTTTTGTCATCGTATATAATTATGATGCTATGATGAGTATTGGTAGATTTATTTTGGACCAGTTGCTAACGTTGGTCGTGACTTTAATGATTAATCGGATAAACGAAGCGAAAAAATAAACGACAATAATATAAGCAGCCTTTACTTGTTACTTTCGCTTCATTTTCTCATATTTTTATAGCTGCCAGCTTGGGTTAAAAAACAACAACGAGAGAACAGGCTGATTCAACCGAATATCCTTTAGCATCAGACTGCAGCTGTATGTGTGGTTTGGTGTTTTGGTGTTTTGGTGGAGAGCAGAGACGACGCCCGACCGCTAGCTTAGTATCGCTTGGTTAGCTTATCCAGCCGCCGCCATTACCAGGCGACGTTAGCTAGCTCTTGACGCTGCTGCAGGCCCGAGGGTTGCCGATATCTTATCACAGCCTTCATTTGCTCAGGTTTCACTTGTTGTTGCAGTTTCTGGTTGATATACGGTTACAATACTGCTTACAACAGCGGTCTATATTAGTCTTTAATGCAACCGAAAATCGGTTTACACGATAAAACCGACGGGCAGCTTTACCGCAAGCTAACGCGACAGCTTGTGGCTAGCAGTGCCCACAGCATTGGCTGTATATCCAGGGACGCTAGGGGGTTATATTCAGGGAAATGTAAGTGTCTATCGACGCATATTTACCTGTTAAAAGAACATTAACACTGGCTAATATACAGAATACCCGGGGTAAATTAATCTAGCTAGCGTTGGCATACAGTGCTAGTGTGTGTGGCGCTCATATTGACAGTCGTTTGGGGTGCAGGTGCAGATAATGTCCATATAATCGATCTGTGAACGGTCCTATCTGGTTACTGCTGAGGATATAACTGCGTGTGTGTGCGAACCTTTTTGATATTGTAAACACGGGTCAACATCCCGATGCCTCTGTCGTTGAGGATGGTGAGTTTTTCTGCCAGTTTCTGCTGGCTGGGCTGGATCACACCCCGAGACATCTTCTCGCTGTTCGGTTAAATCTCCAATTCAATCCCGAAAAATATCACAAATCTCCGCAACCTCTCGCCCGTAAAAGAAGAAAAAAAAGAAGCTGTTTGTGTTTGGCGTTATTTAGATTTCGCCCATGTTCAGATATTCGGGGACAGCAGCTTCCTGTACTCCACCCCACCGTCTCCCTGCCTGGGTTTTTTTTTTTTTTTTTTTTTTTTTGGTCACAGGGATGAGGAGTTGTCCTGGTTTTCACAACGAGGCTGGCTGCTGATGCGTTCACGGACCCTCGTTAATAATCCTACTGTATCCCAGTTAATCACTATTCGATGTTATAATGTTAAAAATCGAATATGGGCAGTGTTGGGCTGGTTACTCTTAAAAAGTAATTTGTTACTCATTAGTCATTATGCCTTTTAAATGCAATATTAGTATTGCTTGATTTTTTACTCCATGTCAACAAGTAATTAGTTACCCACAAAATTGGTTATTGTGGTCCTTCTCCCCAATGTTCAGACTCAAGGCGATTAAAATACAGTTTTGTTTGTTAAAATAAAGGTAATGGGAATATTTCTAGCCGGTAAATGTAAGCAGTTCAATCTTGGATTGTTGGATTTCAAATCAGTAGGAGGTGATAACAAAAAGAAGGTTGTAACTAGAAATTTATTTTGGGTGGGGTAACTGATATAATTATGGAGATTTATTAGTAATTAGTTACACTTCTAGTTACTGGGGAAAGTAATATTATTGCTAGTTAGTCCTTACTGGCCAACATTGATCCTTAACTGATGCAAACTACCTCAAAGTGTATTTTCAAGATGGATACTAAAATATTTAAGGTATAATAGACTAAAATAAATCTCAGAAGCTTATTCTAAGGCCTCGAGGGAGTAGATGTATATAAACACATACACAATACTGCTTCATAGTGCTTCATCAGGACATGCTTTGACTAATCAGTGCATCTTATGTTTTTGTGGTAAAATTACAAGTAAACCTTTTTGATGTTTTTGTCAAAATGCAAATTTTGCCCCAGTCTGTTTTCATACTTTGTTGCACTATTATATTTTCTGCACACACAGCTTGGCATTTAGTTAGTGTGGAGAGATATTTAAAAATACAGTTTAACTGTATCAAAATATATTTTTCTAAATTATAATGGATAAACTATCATTTTGACATTAAAAATTATATTCCTTCTACGTAATTAAACTTCCAGAATCTGAATATGCATAATATCTTAATTTCTGAAGTTTTCTGCTTTGAGTTAAAAATTGGACCAGGGTTGACTTCCAAACTATTTTTGAGTTCATGTCCATGCTCGTAGTCCCTTAATTCGGTATCCTCAGTGGGCACCGAGAAACTTTCCACTATCAGCAGATAAATGTAAAAACCACCTTCTAGTGTCAGACTCTGCACATACATCAATCTGCACAGTGAAGATCAAACGTCCCACTGTAGGCTCAAGAAGAACAACATTTTTGAGTGGAGGGGAACTTTAACTATTTTGATTCTGATTCTGATTCGTCCGATTTTACTGTGAATCCTGAACGCACCACATTGTTGACGCAGCTTCCGACTCCGCTGTCAGTGCTGAAGCTCTTACTGCTGCTACAGTAGCTGTTTCTCACACAGTTACCCTCTGTTAAATACTCTAGCCGTAATATAATGTTATATTCAGGCTTAAAGCAGCGATGATCTTGTCTTTGCGGGAGTTTGGATAGATTCAGTAAATTTAGAGCATGTGGGTGCCCGAAGCAGGAACACTAAAATGAAAAAAGCTCCGTGTTTTTGTTCACAATCAACCATTATTTCTAGGTGTTATGTACCTCAGTGCCCACTTTTCCATTCAAAACTTCTCACATTTTGTACATAGGTTAGCTGTTGTGAGTAAATGCACCAAAAGGTTAAGTTCATCCTGTGTAACATCCTGTAAATCCACTGACAATGTAAGTTAAAGAGCAACCGGTGTGGGGAAAGGATAACATTCTTAGAAATAATGACTGAATCCAAACTGTGTTTGTAATTGTATTGTACAGCATAGTTTATTTAACCTTTAGCTCACAGGATATAAATGGTCATATTGGGCTGTTTAACCTAATGCCTCCCCTAACAGTGTTTGGTTTGTTTCAGCTGACTCCTGTTAACCCTGGTGTGATGCATTCGCTGGCTCAGGAGATCCAGGGCTTCTCCAAAAACCGTCTGAAGAAACAGTGCACACATGTTACCACGGTGACAGGCAGGAAGCTGCTGGAGAGGAGGGCTGATGGAGAGGAGGGAGAGGAGCAGGTTGAAGAGCTGGAGGAGGGAAGCGGATGTGGATTTGTGGAAGATAAAAGTCTGGACCTTCAAGTCGGTGTCGTTCGACCCTTCCTACTGCTGGGTAACATAAACAGTTACTACTTCTACTACTACTACTAATAGTACTGTTGTTTTCTAGACTTTATTGATTTTTTTTACTACTACCAGGCGGTAGAAACTACTTAAATAATGTATGGTACTCATGACTTAAATATTATTTAAGAGGAAATACAAAGTACAAAAGTACCTTTTTGAAGACTTTCTGAGGTCCCAACAGGTCCCATATCTAAACCATTTCAGTAAAACACTCTCTCCAAAAGAATCCCTCTGCTGTTCTCTATTCACTTTTCCAAGAATAGTTGAGAGCAGTTACACCACCCAAACATATTGAAGTAAAAGTAGGACAAAGGACGTGTTTTAGAATATAAATATATAAATAAAAAATTACAAGTACAGAAAAAATACAGCAGTAGTAAAGTTAACAGAACGGTCTGACTGTAGAATGTCAATTAAAGAAACTGCAAATATATAAAAAGCCTCACCTGCAGTAATTAAAGTGCTAATAAGTACCTGTGATCAAATATTCTAAACTCTTTGGCTTTTTTTTTCACACCCTTTTCAGCAAATGGAACTTGCTCAGGTGTCACCACATAATACCTGTACATAACGTTGATATGGTGATAATATACAGTTATATACTTAGTAGTAATTAGTTGCTTTCTACCCCTGGCTTCTACACAAATACGGCTATTAATAAATAAAACACCCAGCACTGCTGCTGCCACTATTACTACTACTCCTGCTGCTACTCCAACCACTACAGCTGCTACTAGTACTGCCACTACTACCAGCTCTGTAATAATAATAATAATACTTTTCTGTTGACCCTTTCCATTTTACATAGACAGATGTTAATTCATTACATGTTAATAGTAGCACAGTGGAAAGACTGTGCTGGAGCCTGTGAGGTTTTAACTATCCAGCAGCATTAGATTCATAGTGTATCAGGTCACTTCAGTATTCCAGATCACAAAGGCACTAGGTCATGGTTTGTTACTAATAATGAATAAATCAATTCCTAATAACAAATAAATCAATGTCATTCATTTTGAATTTGTCTCCAGAAGCATGTAACCTTCAGCTGTAGAACGCAGGTTGACACCCTCACATGTCAGCATGTATCCGATGCTGCTCAAGTGTTCTTGAGCTTGACATTGAATCCCCTCACAGCTCTGGGGTGCTGTTCACTTCTGTAGCTTATGCTGTGCTTTGACCTCACTGCAGGACAGAATCAATCAGAGAGAATTTCTCAGCAGGGATCAATAAAATATTACATCTGTTGGGCTCAATAGAGGTGACTCTTTCTCATACAGCGGTTCACTGTTAATATAAACTGTTATTACAGCTTACAGGATCACTTCTTAAGTAAACCACCTTGTTAAACTTTTGACAGATTTTCTCCAATACTGAAATGGCTCTTTGCCGTTGTGATTCTCTGACAGTGTCCCCCTGGACAATAGAGACACTTTTTGATTTGCTTGGTTTTTTTTTTTTTCTTTTCTTCATTTCAGGCTATCATTCAGCTTGACAAGAGGCCTCTTGTATGTGATGCTCTTGTCACAGTTGTCATATTATGTGTATATGCCCAGTGAGACTGGAGATGATTTCCGCTCTGCGTACTTTGTACACCCTCAGCTCTTTTTAGCACTATGCTGTGATTTCAGTATCTAATATTTATAATAAACTGCCATCCTTTTCTAAATATCAGTGACGATTATTATTTTGCCATGCATATAACTATAACCCGCCTGGATGGCTATACAGACAGACCTTAATGTTTACAGTAAAATGAATACATTACTGATAAGGCTTTTATAGCTTGTGTATTTCCAAAATGTTGTCTTTTTATGAAATATGAAAAAACTGCTTGGTTTAAAGGAACACCTCAACATTTTATGAAATACACTTATTTGCTTTCTAGTATTTCTGTTCTATAGATGGCAATCAAAGAGGATAGCAAATAAGAATTTCATTATACAGAGGAACCTGTTCTCTGGGCACATGACAAGAAAGCTCTTTAATGTTAAAACACTACATTTGTAAAGATATTTCAAGAGTTATTAGAGTTATTTTTCTTAAGATAGTGGATAATTTTCTGAACCAACAAAAGAACATTTAATCCTTCATCTGAAAACCTAAAAATCATCAAATATTGAGATCATTGTTTTACATACATTTTTTTGGCAATATGTACTTGTAATGCACAGGAGAAATCAATGGAGAGGCAGAAGGCGGTTTTCAGGGTTTTTGCTGAGCAAACATACTGTAAAGTATAATTTAATTTCTAAATATAGAATTTAAAGCCATTTTTAATACCATTTGCTACTCAGCAGAATAAAGATGACTGAGAGCTGTCGTCTGTTGTGTAGCAGATTGAATTTGGTCCTGTGTCGCACTAAAAATGCTCTAAAAATCCTGGCATTCCTGCATTTTTCCACAGATGTGTCAGTTTAAATCTTTTCCTTCTGCACTGATGAGGCATATGGGCTGGAGCTGGCTTATTTCCAAACACACTCTGTCCTTTGGATTTAGATTTTCTTCTCAACACCATGAATTTGGCATTATGTGAAAGTGGCTTTGGCTACTGCTAAGAGTGCAAATATTGCTACTTTGAAGGCAGTGAGCTGCTGCAGAGTACCCACTCTGGAAATCTGGAGGAAGTCCTGCCTTCATATTCTCTTTCCTGCCCATATGTCTCTTTCACATAATTATCCAGCTCCTGCTATTTTAGACTATGACCGCTGTCTCCATGAAGAGTTATTTGACAAATTGAAAGATACTGTTGCTCATTCTGTTTTAAACTGTCTCCTTCAATGGTTATCTGCCTTTGTCAACTTAAATAGTCATTCAGGTTGGCTTGCTGCATGGTCTTTTTCATTGTATTTCTTCCATTAGTGACCTGCTTCCTCTGCTGCATTAGTCATTCAAACTCTTGAAGGCTGTTGTCATGAAAACGCATTTGCTCCCTCTTTTCATTTAAATCATAAACTTCCTTCTCTGCAGCTGTAGATAATATTGAATGTTTATTTCAGCAGTTTTTAAGCCTACCCTAGAGCTGCCATACAAATGATCTGATTCTGGGTTTTTTCTGTAGCTTTAAGGCATTTTACTGTTGGTTTCCGCTGACTGATATCTTCCCTCCTTGGTGCTGCAGCTGTTCAGAAAGGAATTTCTGTCTGAATGTTTTCCTACTAAGTGATATAGGTGCTGATATCCAGCAGCATTTGCCTTCTGCTGCTGATGTTTTACAGCACTGGTTTGATTTTACCACTCTGTATTTCTGTGGGGTCTCTCTTTATAAGACACTGTTCCCTGCTTTATTTTATCAGGAATAAAGCTGCAGGGATAAGCTTTTCACATTTTCCCCAGAGCCCTGGGTGACATCTGACGTCTAAAACCCAAAGATATTTAACTTAAAATGATACAAAAAAATAAATATTGCTCACATTTTAAAGGCTGGAACCAGCAAATGTTAGGCATTTTAGTTTCAGAAGAATAATGGATTATCGAAGTTGTTATCTTCCGATTGACTATTGGCTTTTGTTCTAATTAGGAATAAAAATGTGCAGTACAGTTTAACAAAACCAGCAGTATCACCACTGTAACACATACAATACAACTAAATTATTGTAAGTGGTACATTTTCTCTCATGTAAAAATAATAAGGCAGATGCCAATTAATATTCATGTAAAGAAAGAAGGAAAAGCATCATTTTTTTAAATCATTTTATCTCTGAGCAATTATTATCAGCCCGCAGGAAGCGGATACGTTTTAGTAAGCAGGAGGAGCCATGCCCTCTTGTCTGTCTTCTCATCAAGTTTTCTGCCTTTTCAGCCTCTCAGGATGCAGCCCACGACATTGACACCCTGCAGAGATATAAGGTCAGTACAGAGGGATCAATAGAGCGAGCATGCCCTTGCCTTGTTGTGATCGCATGTGCAGTGACATGAGATTAGAGGCAACCCGTAGGTGTGCCTTCCTGCGGCTCGGCAACGACCGGCCAATAGCCAGAGGAGCTTCATGACTCATGCAGTGACAATTTAGCTCAGTAGAGGGAGTAAATGATTATATCAGAGAAATGTGACTACTCCTCTCTGCAGTGGCTGCGCCCAGGCATGAGCATATTGCTGCCTGTGCAGTCTCAGGATGATGAATTGGAGAGATTACAAATACCTTCACTTCCTGTTTCTGGGATGAAACCTTTGACTGCCTAATAAGCAAACCAGCCAAAGTTCCCCAGATAGCTATTACAGGTCCAGAGACTTGACTGTGGGCTTGAATCACAGTTTATAAATGGATCTGTTCTTACACCACCAACTTGTGTTTCAGTAAAAAGACCAAAACACTGTATCAGGTGGTGTTGTAGTCTGTGGGGAAAGCAAATCTCTGTTCAATACAGGTATGATTCTGTTTACAATATGTTCACTGTAGAATCACATTTTTAAGGCTTATACTGGTTTCCATTGTATTCAGGTTATAATACAATATGGGTCAAAGCAACTTCTTATTTATCTCCCTGTTTCAGTGATTCTAATAATGTCAGGGTTAACAGTTGAGAATGATGCCAGTTTTGTTTCTGGCTGCTTAAACTTTGCTGCATTTCCCACTCTGCTGTATTTAGCTTCTCTATCAAATCTTTAGTAATGAATGAAAAGAGCAAACAAAGGGATGGTATCATGTGTGTTACCAAAGTCAGACATTCACTTTTATTTCAGCAGGTGGACCCAAATTACATCATCAATCATGATATTTTTTGTTTCGCTGGCTAATTACTACATAACTTGATTTGAGAACGCACCTGCGCAAAATTCTATATTTAGGTTGTAGTTTTAACATCGGGCAGGGACAAAAAATGAAGATGCAGTTCTTTTTTTTCAGTTGATCAAAGAGCATTTTCATTGTCAAACTACTTTAATAACATATGACTGAATAAATAAACATATAAGCAGGATTTTCCAAAAATCTGATTATAACCAGGATATCACTGTGCATGTAAACACACTTAATTAGTGATGAAATATGCTCTGTATCATCCTGTATTCTTATTAAAGAGAAAGGCTGCTATTATTGTAGATTTTTATTTTCAACAAATCCTGTGAAGGATGGAGAATGGACATCAGATACCTGCCCGGAGGTCAGCCTCAACATGGCGTCTGGTAGCTGCTCTCCACAGGTAAGTAATTCTGTTGTGCGCATAATTAAATCTTTTTGAGGGATGAATGTTTTCTAGCTGTCTATCAGCATTATATAGCTGTATGCACTAGTGTTAAATGGCACATCATGAAGTTAGCCAGCATTCATAACTCAAACATTTTAATCATGCACACAAGAGAGTTATAACATACCTGTGGAGAGCAGCTGCCAGACGCCATGTTGAGGTTGCGATCACATTAAATCATACCCTCGAATCTATGCCTGTGTGAGTGAGATATTTCCCTATTTGAAGACAATGCATTTGCGATTTGAGCCATGGAAAAAAAAAAAACACACACAAATGCAGTGAAGTTCACATCCAGAGATGTTTTAGATCAAAATTGCAAATACTTTTAAATACATATATTTGTGAATTTATATTACATTTACTTAAAAACAAGAAGTATTTGAGTGTGCATCAGAAATACATGTATGAACCTTTTATATGTAGATTTTATTACATTCATGTACGGACATACATATGTTTGTGTGAATTAAAAAAAATGTTTTTGTTGAGAAAGTTATTTATAGATATAACTCACAAAATAGCCTGCACTTGTGAACCATCTGTGCGCATTCAATACTATGAAGACTCATCTGATTCTATAGGACACACCGGTACGTTGCTTAGATGTAGAGCTGGAGAGAATTTAGCCCTCAGAGAAAAGCCAAATTTAAGTGAGAGTAGACTAACACTGTAAAATGAATTGGAGCCATCTGTCTTCTTTCCCGTATCCCCCCCCTCTATTTTCTCCCTCTCTCACTTTCTCTTCATCTTTTTTCAGTCCTCTTCCTCACTCTCTCCTCTCACTCAGTCACATTCAGGTGGTGTCATGTCATCAATATGGCTGACAGAATATCGTTCTTGCCAAAGCGAAAAGTAACAGACAAGTCAATGCTCAGGGAATTTCATGTCTCTTTCTCCCTGTCAGGTCTCTCATGTGCTTAATGTTGCCTATGGAGTCACTAACCTGTTTCCAGATCAGTTGGTTTATAAGACACTTCAGATCCTGGACCTCCCAGACACTGACATCACTTCATATCTTGGGGAGTGCAGCTCCTTCATAGATCAGGCACGAAAACAGGTATACACACACACACACACACACACACACACACACACACACACACACACAGAAACAATTAGCATGTAATGATCCACTTTTACATAGTTGACAGTGAAATATTTTGGCACATAACCAAAACTATGAATTGTCGTTTTTACACATTAAATGAATGAGATAAAACAGTGAGCTTTAGAAGTCCTGGTAGATACCGTAAGCTTAAAGCTGAGCCAGGCTAGCTGTTTCCTCCTGTTTCCAATCTTTGTGCTAAGCTAAGTTAGCCACCTGCTAGTGGTAGAGTGGTATCAATCGTCTCTTCTAACTTTAAGCCATAACTGAATCAGCATATGTCCTAAAACTATTTCTTTAAGTCAAAGTACAGAAATATATATATATATATATATATATATATATATATATATATATATATATATATATTCTTTTAAAAGCAGCATTTTAATGAACAAATTTTATTTAGTTAGTTTAGTTATACGTTATATGTCCATTATAGGTTTAACTTCTAGTAAATACAGCAATATATAATATTGTAAAAGTAAAGAAATTCAATATCTCCTGCTGAAACTTATATAAATAAATAAATAAATAAATACTAAATATCAAGTAACATGAAATTTAAATTATTTGAGTAAAGTGCAAGTACCTTAAAATTTTGCTTTAGAAAATGTACTTATCTTTAACCTTCAGATGCAGACATACACACGCACATCATATTTTTTAAGATACAAAATGCATCAAATGTATTAAAATATTTCTCATCCACTTTTTCTCAGGAGGCTCATGTAGCCTAAAAATGCTGTTTTTATATCTGCCAGCTAATTTACCATGCCAGTATGTGCACACAGCTATTCTGCTACCTCACTGTGATGCATTTTTAGACATCTACAGCAGTCGGTTATCTGTAACTCAGCACAAAGGCGAGGTAGGTGGAGGGTGGTTACCTATTAGAAGACCTTGATGGGGTCATTTCATTTAGGAGAAAGTCAGAATATTCTCTGCTTACAATTAGTTTTCTCTCAGTCTTTTCACATCCTGTATAAAGTCCTTTTTAAGGGACTATTTCCTGGCAGAGACTTGCATTTCTTCCAGTGTGTGTGTGTGTCTGTGTGCCAGGAGATTGACCGTAAGCAGAACATAATGTGATGTGAGCACTGATATGAAAACGCTCAACTCGAGCGCAATGAAATAACAGCAAAACAAGAAACTCTGACAAAACCAAATTAAGTCTCCGTGTTCACTGTGATGGATTATCTTGCTCAGGCAATTTTCAGTCTGCAGAAGTTTTTTGTTGCTGTTTTTTTTCAAACAGAAAGAAAACAAGACCCAATGTAACTATAGTGACTGCAGACACCAGCACAAATAATATAAAGCAGCAGAGAAACCTCTTTGATTTATAGAAACATATAAAAGACTGATATCATTGGTATAGCCATTCGATATGTGCTTCATTTGATTGTATTTTCCCCAGAGGACCACCTTGATTGGGTTATATTTTGAAATGAAAGCACAGATAATACTGATAACATGTCAATTACAGAAACCAAGGCTCTGCACATTTGTGTAGCCAAAGCTAATTTAAATCTCCTGTCCCTCAATGGGTATTGATTGACATGTAAAATAAAAAATGTGCCTACGGTTTCTGTTCTGCTCCATCTCAGCCACAAAAGAGACTTTATTCTGTGATGGGAGGCTCCATGTTGAATAAAAGAGACAAATGTGTCAATATGCTGAGCTTCAGAACAGAGCCATGGGCACGCATTGTCTAAAGATGTGGCTGGAATTTAAAAAATTCATTTCCAGCCAGGCACTCTAGGCAGTAAAATAATTACATCAACATTAATATTAATCATATCGCAAATTTGGACACACACACAAACCACAGTCACATATTTATTCCGTCTCAACTTGCCCTACATGCTCTGTCTAATGCTGCTTTCACAGAGTCGGGAATTACAGATTTTCTCAGGGAAAAATGCCGTGAAATGACTCTTCAACTTGTAATTTTTCTGATCTATCCGATGTGGTTTATAATTTTTAAATGACAAAAAATAACATATTTACTCACTAGCTGTATCTGGCCTCATAGATTATTTTTTGATGTTTTCAGACATCAGCCTCTGAGACTTCTGACACAACCTCAGTACAATGAAATTCCATTTACCTGCATTGTATTGGCGTGGCAGCAGGAATCATATTATATTGCATATCAGATAGCAATAAGTAGAAAAATGTTTCTAACCCTATACATTTGCTGGTAAGCTTATAGTTGCATTTGTTGCTACATCCATTGCTAACTGGTTAACAGAGCTTACCATATCATTACAGTGCAACATTTTATGGGGAATATAATTTCATCTAGGTCAGACAATCCATGTTTATTCAGTTTCTTTCCGAACTTGAACATGTGCTCTCTATTATGTTTACCCTCATAACCTTTCCTTTTCTATTCACTGTCTCTTCCCTCAGGGCGGTGTGGTGCTGGTCCACTGTAACGCAGGCGTATCACGCTCTTCCTCTATCGCGATTGGCTACCTGATGTTGACGGAGGGGCTGTCTTTTGATGATGCATACAGTCAGGTGAAGCTGGCAAGGCCCTCAATTCACCCCAACCCCGGCTTCTACCAACAACTACAGAGCTACAAACCTTAAAGCTGTGTGTGATTTTTTTTTTGTCCATTTGGGAGCAGCATAAACGAGTTGTGAACACAACACTGACATATCAACACCTTTGAAGTGAATATGATGAACTTGTCAGCAAACAGTTGCCTCTTTACCCATCCAATACAGAGTGAGTTCAATATTCATTCTGCTTCTAGCTCTGCTTTGGTCTCCACCAACTCCTGAGGACAATATCTGTCTGTTTAGCAGCTAAATGCTCCACTGTGTTCACCAGCTTGTCGCTAACAATGTCTGCCTGCTATTTGGTGCTGTGCAGGCAGTGTATAGTTAGTTTTTATTATAATATATATATAATAGTATTCACTGAATCCAGCCGCCTGCTGCTGGAAATGATGTTGATGAGAGCTGTCAGAATGAACCAAAAAGCAATTTATTGAAAGATGTTTAAATGTTCTGAGAACTACAGATTTGGTGATAATTCAGTGTGTTTGTCACAGCGACTCTTCTCACATTACACATTGTGACTTCATCCATTGTTAATATAAAGAACATTGCTTTAAGGAACTACAACTATCTTCTTCATCTTAAAAGAATACAACACTCAAGGGCTTTAGGTTGGCTTTTCTTTTACCTGTGATAAACATTTTATTTTGAAAATTGTTGTTGTTCTCCTTATCAAAGATAATGAAAATGTGCCATATGTTTGTTCATACACGTGCCCAGTATGTATGCATGTGTTGAGTGTGACAATTGTATAAAAACACAGTTAGTGAAAACCTGTCAGCCTTTAATTCCACAGTAGTAAAATCTTTGTTAAGAAACTGATTTCCTGTTAGAGCCGTTCATTTTGGAGGCACCTTTCTCTTAGTTTTCTTTGCAGTATGGATTGCTTTCTAATTAAAGACATACCAGTTTTTCATGAGGTACAACTTGATTTCTTTCTTCTTTCACTACACAAACACATACACCATCAATTATAATGATTACCCTCACTGCTGCATTGTCTCTATCAATTTAACAACTTTGCAAAGTTGATGCGCTAACCTCGCTCCCTTGAAATAATTAACTTGTAATTAGCTTGATAGATAATGAGGGAGAATCCAGTTGGCTCACACGCTAATCAACAAACACCGCTGGGACGAGCTCCTGATTCTGCAAACTCACTCGACACAAATCTATATCATATTCTAATCTTCTCTGTTTAAATGGAAATACAGTCTATAGATGTGTGTTTGTTGTTCCCCCAGCTAAGCACATTTACTGATAGTTATTGTTATTGATTAATGTCCACAGTGTTGGAGTTAACTGTCCAATCTGTGGAGGAGGAGATGTTCTGCACACTTAATTATATGCAATTTAAATACATTAGTCCAATTGTAAGACAGAAAATCAGAAACTACATGCTGAGTTACATAATCTGCAAAGTTACAGTGACATAAAAGAAGCCTGACTTTACTGCCACAAAGCGCACAATGACCATAACTTAACTGCAGTTATGAATAATAATAGTGACTGTGTGATTACTTCACCAGCTGCTTAGATTTATCTGGTTTTAAATATTCTGTTTTCAGGCTGAACTTTTGATTTAAATGTCCAGTGTGTAAGATTTAGGGGGATTTATTAATTATTTATTATTTATTAATATGCAGGTACAATTGTGGATTAGGTGGACTAAAGGTTGGAGAAGTGAGCTTGAGACAGAAAGTTTGTTGGTTCAATCAACCCGACTGCCTGGAAAATCTGCATGGGCAAAGGAAAAAGCAGCACTTGCCCCTCCCGCATTACCAGCACTAAAGTGACCTTCTGCGCCGACTCCACCATGTTGCTCCCATGGATGTATGAAGAGAATCACGTGCAGCATGGGAGGCGACGCTCCATTCATTCCAATGAAAGCCATTCAGTGGCAGATGATGCCAAAAAAGTCACTTCCTGCTGTAAAGAAATTACTTGGGTGAATGCATACTGTGCATGCTCTATAATGGCAGAGGCACAGTTCCTCCTACATGCTTGGAACAGGAAGGTGAGGTGAGCGGTATGCAATCTGCAAGTCCACCACTACATCCGACAAAGTCCCATAGTCCCTCTCAGGATGAATTTGAACTTTGGCGATCCTCAGCTTTTCATCTAGTGCCATCATCGGGTCAAATTTGAGCAAAAAGCTGCAAAACCGACAACATTCCCATCAGCCTCAGCTGTACATTGTGTTGAATGATAAACACTAGCATGCTAACATGTTAAACTAAGATGGTGAAAACACCAGCATGCTCTCATGATTTGTGCTCACTCACTGTGCAGTTAGTTTTTTCCATGCTAAGTATTCTGTTCAAATGCACTTCAACAGTAAGCGAGCCCATCAATGTTTGTACGCCACGACACTGAGCACTGATTCTGTCTTCAGTCTGTTGCTAGTTCCAGCTGTTACGTTCAGTTCTGTAGCCCCTCTATACAAGCACTGCATATGAAGTTAAAGCTCAGCAGCCTATTATTTATGATAGTTATCACATTATGATATTATGATTCCGTAGCGTTCGCTGTCTTTTTATTAAGCTTTTTAAAGAGGAACTAATGTACCGACTGGTCTGACAATGGCACTCTCAGTCACTGCTTAAAACTACTCACTACTTCTTTCAGTGACAATGATGATTCTGTATCCATTCACTGAAAATGTGGTGTTAAAGGTCCAGTGTGTAACATTTAGATCTATTAGCAGAAATAGAACATAATATCCATAGGTATCTTTCCATTAGTGTATAATGACCTGAATAGAGTAATCGTTGTAATCTACAGACAATGCAGGTCACCTTGGCGATGGAGTCAGCCATGTTGAACCGACGGACATTTCTACAGTAGCCCAGAAGGGACAAATTAAACACTGGCGTTCACCTTTTTCACATATTTTGTGGCCAACGTAGTTTCTCCTTCGTGTTCACAATCTGCAACTACACCACGAGATGTCACTAAATCCTTCACACTGATCTTTTATAGATTTGTCTGGACATGTACAGCACACCTTTAGCTCACAGCTGGATTTTTTAAAAATGAAATGAGTGGTGGTGAAAAACATTTTGCTATGTCTGTTTATTTTATTGGCTGTCATTGCAAAGTTCCAGTTTGATCAACAGATAAAGTTGCATGTATTGTACCCTTTCCTGTTAGCATAAAATGTTTTTTTTTTTATGATTATTTTTACACTAACAGCTAAAACAGAAAGCCATACTATGGCAATTAGTAGCCAATGTAGTATTCAGTATACTGATTAGAATGGCTATGTAGTATGGATTTAGGACACAGCTAAAGTCTAGTCCAACTAACTAGGATTATTATTATCATACCAGTATTTTGCATCTTGATCTAATACCTCTACAAAGGAGACATTTCAGCTGCATATTTGCTGTTAAAGACCTTATTGGTCCCCTTTTTGAAAATGCAGCTTTGTAGTCTGTGTCAGTTGCAGGCTGCTGTCGCTCAGGGGAAGCGCAGGGGTGGAGGTTGGTCCTGTGCCAGAGACTTGGAGGAGGAGGTAAGTTCTGCCAAATTGGTTGCAATTCCTAGTAGTCCTATAAAGGTCATAGATTATTTAACACGTCTTAAAAGCCACACACTGACTGCAATTCTGTCACTGTTAATAACTAAATATTTGGGGCAGACAGCTTCGTTTTTCCCAATATGTGTACACTACTGTCCAATAAATACACACGTCTGCTTGTTATAGTCTTAAGTTGAAAAAGGGGCAAATAAAATATTGAACCAGTGTGTAACTAATGGCAACAGTGCCAATATGCAGTCTGTGGCAGCACTTGAGTATAGGGGGGTTTGGCCTTTTCTTTGGTGTTGTTCAATGGTGTATCACTGACGAGTATCTGCTATGAAGCCAACTGGGTTTCCCCTGACATTTTTGTGACATTTTACCGTCTGGATGTGAAGGCCCACAGTATGGCACAAGCTGTCCCATCTGCAGGGTCTCGTGGGGTCCAACCACCATCTCAGTCTGTGCAGGCCTCGCTATGAGAATATTAACAGACAGAGAGATGTAGGTTACATACCGGATGTTGAATAATTTCTCCTTAAGGGATATAATGTTATCTGGCCTGTTAGCTTTCATTAGATTTGATGAACTGCAGAAGTACAAAATGCAGAATCCAGAATGGCCATTTTTCTTTGTTCTTTTCAAAAAAAAAAAAAAAAAAAAACCCAGTCGCAAACTGGACAGAATAAACGGTGCAGGAAATTTCAAATGCCAAAAGTGCTTTTGCGCTATTGTCTGGTTGCACAGTTTCTTATGTGCATTTATTTACATTATGGGCACGTATGCATATTAGCTGCATGTATGCCATCTGCATTCAGAAAAGTGCACATTACCACGTGTAAATGTTAACGTGTTAGTCATTGAATTAGGTGTTTATTTTACAGTGTATGTTTCTGTACATGTCAGCTTCCTGGTAATGGGAATACATATCTATCTATCCATCCATCCATCCATGCATCCAGTGTAAAATTACTCCATATTTATATATACAATTAAATAATGTTTTTGTTGTATTTGTAAAAACATTACAGATTACAGATGGGTGACAAATTTAAGTAAAAATGAATAAATGAGTTGAGAAACATAACAAATACAGATGCTTAAATTCAGGGCACGAAGACTCGCTCAATGCTTTAATGAGTATGAAAATTGTGTTAAGTATGCAATGGCCTTCACAGTCCCTAGATCTTAACCCAGCTGAACGCCTATGGGAGACTCTGAATCTGCAGATGACTCTCTCCATCGGCATCATCAAAACACCAAATTAGGGAATGTATTTTGGAAGAATGGTGTTCCTCCATCCAGTAGAGCTTCACCGACTTCTACTTCAAGGAGCACTGAAGCTGCTCTGGAGGCGTGTGATGGACCAACACCTTACTAAGACACTTTATATTGTTTTTTTTCTTTAATTTGTCACCCATGTGCACGTACGTCCTAAAACACGACTAAAAATACTTCCAAAAGCATCCACTCACCAAGAAACAAAGAACTACAATACAACATTACACACACATTAACATTATTTCTGTTTTCTTCTGTTCTGTTTCTTTTTTCCCATGGGTGTGTGTATGTGTGTGTGTGTGTGTGTGTGTGTGTGTGTGTGTGTGTGTGTGTGTGTGTGTGTGTGTGTGTGTGATATATTATTAAATAAACCAGGCATTAATTTAACACAAAATATTATTATATATTTTCATGAATTCCTTCTTATTTCTCCAACCCCCAAATAGGACTTATACTCCACCAGCAACCCCCATTATCTCGCCATTGCATTAACAAAACAAACAAAAGTATATAATAATGGGATACAAGGGGAACATTTAAATGTGCACATTTGTGCAAATAAAAACAAACTGATACATATATACAGTATAAACCAATGCATGAACCACAAGAAGACTTGAACAGGGAGTAAAAAGTTAGATTTGTATTTGTGTAAAATTAATCTACTGGAGCCGATGGGAGGTTTAAGCTTATTGCAGTATTGGATCATGGGACCAAAAGTAGAAGGAAATTTATCAGATAAGCCTCTTACTCTGTGCTTTATTTTCTCAACAATATTCGGTCACTAAACCAGAGAGAGACTCTGGAGGGTCTCCACAATTTCCTGTTGAGGAAAATCCTTCTACAAGCCAACACCGATGCAAATGTAGTAATTCAGAGTCATTCAGTGAGAAACACAAGAAAGGATTTGTGTTGCTTCTTACGGAATGAAAACTAAGTGGAACACCAGAAAATAAGCAATCTCAGCAATGGGCTTCAGTACTACATGAAGTTAAGTGTTTCAGATTTAAAAATGGTGGACTGCTATTCTGTTAACTTGGACAGAATCAAAATAATGTGTGTTTCTGCGGGGACACAAACACCTGCTCTAATTCCCATCAGTGCTGGATAGTGTAGTAATAGTAAAGAAAGGTGATGTTTGAGCATTTAACAAAGTTGTAGGTTTGTTTTGAGCTGCAGTAGAGTTTGTAAAGCGTTGCAGGTTCTTGCCAAAGGTCATTAGGTGCACTTTGCCTTAACAAGGTCCAGCTGGGGTGTGCAATCATCAGGAGGCACATGCACATTAAAATCTTTTTTCTAAACAGGTGGCTCGGTAACAATATGCAGAAAAAGACTACAAAAATACACTGGTTTCAACCACAAGTGGTGTTCTTCAGGTAAAAGTAAATGTGAGAACACATAACGTGCAGCAGATGAGCTGTTTTGGCACTTTATGTGTGAATTGAGCAATTGATACTATGACTACAATATGCCCAATCATTCAATTAGCAGGTGTGATCACACCATATCCATGAGAATATCACATCAACGTTTAATTAAAACAGCTTTAAACACATGCATACACAAGAATAAGCAACAACTCTGAAATATGGTGCTGTACAGATGATGCAAAACTGGAAAGGTTGTTCTATTTACATATGTTTGGTTTTGCAATCTCTCAAAAGCCTAAAAAAAAAGGCAAAGTTTGATATTTATAATGAGTATGATCTAGATCTATATGCAAAGTGTCCTGAGATAACTTCCTTTTGGTGCTGTACTAATAAAATGTATTTAATTTAATATTTTTCATTCAGTATTTGAAATTTGTTGTAGGCATTAAGGTCAGGAAATCTGATATCTGTTATGTGTTTTTTACTCTTTCTACTATTTGTGGATCCGGCTAATGTGAACTTGTGCTGACGAAAGCCTTTGTGGGCTGGGCATAGCTGTATGCATGTCAACTAATAAATCAGTGCAGAGATGCAAATACTCATCACAAAACAACAAATCCTCCAAAATAAATAAGTAAACAGTTTGTAACTGTCACCCGACTTCCTCGTTTGCAAGAAGTTGCTTAAACCTTACCGACTTAGGTGGTAGATCACAGAATGCTTAAATCATTCTGGAAGGCAATGACATTATTTGCCGTTGCAGTGTGAGGACTAACCCTAACCACCATTTATATTGTGGATTTATACTGTGTCTTTCCCTCCCTATAAAGGACAAAAAACCTAGGTTTACCTACAAATTGAAAGAAATTAACTAGAGGGCAGTGAAATAAATATATAACCCAAGGTAGGTCATAGACACGTGGATTGTGCTCCATCTGAAAGGCTTTGTGGATCAGAGATTACTGTAGATTCTCTCAACTGAACCGTAATTTGGTATGGATTAAAAGAGTGATCTCATTTAGCTTTTGAGCCGAAAAGTAGACTTACCTAAAATGCCTTCTTTCGTTTGGGAGATCTGGAGGCTGTTTTAAATGCTTTCATTTCTTACAATCTTGATCTTTGTGATTCTCTGCGTGAGACAGCTTTGTGTCGCCTGCCCAGCTTCTTAGTGACACCAAGCAGAGACGCAGTATCTCCCCTCCACTGGCCTCCCGTAGAGCGCTGATTGTAAAGTTCTGATACTTGTTTTTAAAGCGCTACATTGCTTTATAATCTCTGACCTCCACTGCCTCAATTTAGGCCCCTTAGATCTTCTGCTAAATTACTCTTTATTTGTTCCCAGACCAAAACTACCAGCAGCTCGGCAGTCTCGGCTCGAAGATTTACCCACAAATCTCATCAGTTATGACGACATACTAACATGACTAATGCCACTAGAACAATGTCCATTTATAAAAGACATCAGACAGGTTGTAAACATCAACTCCTCAATTTTACCACATTAGTCAAACATCTTAGTTTAAAATAAAACATTATTGCAAAATGATCATCCAACCTGTCAGCTGTGAATGTGCATTACCTTCTGCATTGAGTTACTTCCAGGTTAATCTTTGACCTACTTACTTAAAAACTCACAAAAATACAGTCCTCTAATGCTGTGCATGATTTTAATGGATATTTAATTTTTTACCTTTCACGCACACTTCAAATAATTCAGCTATTTGGGTTACTGGGTATTTGTTTGTCTGGCAACTTGTGCTGCTTGCAGAGGTGGCAGTTAGAAATCCCTTTGCTGATTTGAAACATTTTGTTCAGTTGAGTTTAGTTCAGTTAAAGATTAATAGTCACTGACTGGGGACAAATTAAAGGAAAAACCTGAATGAATGAGTGGAGAAACATGAAAAATGCAGATGCTTTCATAAAGGACACAAGGGGTCACTGAATGGTTTGATGAGAATAATAAATGATGTGAATCAGTTGAGCACCTGTGGGAGAATGGAGAGGGGTCCAGAGACTAAGATTGTGTTGGTTTTTCCTTTAAATTGTCTGTATGCTTGTTCACTCTTCACGACCGCATGAGCTCATGAATCTGACTGTCTTGTTCAAGCTGTTACATTCAATTACACAGTACAAGTTAATAGCCTTGCAGCCAGATATTTAACCATCCTATCAAATGTAAACCATCCTCTCTTTAAGGAATTTGTGTCCTAACCTCAGGTCAAAAATACATGTTTCCAAAAACAGGTGCAAAAGGTTCAAGTTTTCATTCATCCCATGTGCAATAAGTGCTCTTAAACTGTCTCTCGGTTCCTCACGCAGCTTAGCAATAATTTCTTTCTTATCTCTGTTCTTCATGTTGCAGCTTTTGTTGCTTTTATCATACACCATGTGTCTTGTGGACTGAGTACAAAGTACAGCACGTTTAATGTCTTCAATCGTCTTCGTGTTTATGTTCTTTGCTTTTATGTTGCCTTTCTGCAGAAAGAAATTTCCTCTTATGGGAGCATAAAGATCTGAATTTACCTATTTGCAACAGAGTACTCACATCAAGGTTTAGTGCATATGGATCAGGTTTATTCAGTGAGCTTTTAACTATAGCTGTAATGAATTGTAGCTCGCCTGACAACAGTGCTTTCAGTCACCAGTGAGAGTAGCTCCTCTGCTAGGAGCCACTGATTTGGTCAGTGACAATGTTGATTAAGTGTGTGTTAAGTGTCAGTTCACTGAGAAGATTCATTTGTACCCATACTGAACACCTCTAGTCCTGGTGGTTGTAAATGTGTGTGCAGTGATGTCGCAGTGTAGAGTAGCGTAGAATATCTTTATATGTATTTGGTTGTTTACATTACTTATTTATTCAGGTATTTCTAATGTTTTTGAACGATGACATTTACAACAACAAGCCCGGACAAAGTTAGTCAGTTCTTTCCTGAACAACCCATATGAATGTTGTCTGATTTGACTACCGACTATATTAGCAGGCCAACATACATGGTCACATTTAGGAAAAGATTATATTTATGGTTAAAAGAAACCAATGTTGACTATTGTTGGGAGACAGGAAACTAAAAGTCACACACTTTGCTGTGACGCTGATCAGATTATTTGGTTGTTTTGGGCTCTTGTTTTTCCAGTGAGGACTGTCTTGCATTAATTTGGATTTTATTTGGAAGGCTACGTTGAAAACCTATATGGCTGGACCATATGTAGTCACTGTGCTAAACTGTGGCCAAGTAATTACAGATAGTCAGAGTTAGTATGTATAATGCGAATTCCGGGATATTAAATGTGAATCTGCAATTTTCTGTAGTGGTCCCAGTAATATTTGCTCTTAAAGTGTATTGGAGTAGCATATAACATTACATGGTTTGACTCTGAAAATGTTATAAATGCAGTTGCAAGAAAAAAACTTTCCACTTATATCTTATAGGTCCAGTGTGTAACATTTAGGAGGCTCTATTGGCAGAAATTAACTAAAACTATATTTTAATTAGTGTATAATTGCCTGAAAATAGCAGTCGTTGTTACCATAGAATTAACTGTTTTTATCTTCAAATGCTTGGAAGGGGAGGGTGAGGCGAGGGAATTGCAATCTGCAACTGCACCATTAGATGAAAAAAAAATCCTACGCACTGGACCTCAAAGATGTTTGTGAAATGTATAATGAAGCAGAAATCTTTAGTCTTCAGATAGTACTATCCAAAACCAGCAGAATATTTTGTCTTAGTGTGCAATAGATTTGGAGTGAGCGACAATCAATGAGAACATAATTGACGACTGTCAAATCCTAATGCTGTAACTTCATTACTCAGTAAATCAGTGACAGACTTTCATGTTTTTTACTACGGTGGAGCCACAAACTAACAAATATATATGGCAGGCCTACATTTTGACATACTAAGTAATACTATGAGTATATATATTTTCATCATGCTTAGCTTTTCATGCATTTTAGCGTCCGCTTTTCAAGAAATCTTCAAATACTCCACAACTTTCACACAATTTCAAAGCCAGCAATTCAGTTTAGTGTCAGCTTTCCAACAGCCAGCATTTACACCTGCAATTTCTTCAGATATTGCCTTCTCTAGTTGCTTTAAGTGTTTTTTTTTTGTTTGTTTGTGTTGTAAAGACCTTGAACCAGAACCAGGATTTAAACTGACACATTTGAGCTCCATAGCTTAAGCGCCCTTGAACAAGACAATAAATCACCAGCAAATAGGTTGAAAAAAACCCAAACTGTTTTTTACAAACAACATAGGTTGAATTAAAGAATCCCTCCTGCTGTTTCTCTCTCTTTCCTCTCTGTATGTTTTCTGCTTACCAGTAGGTGGAGCTTGTCTCCTTTGGCTTGAGAGAATAAGAGAAGGAGGGAGAGAAGGAGATGATTAAAGCGAGAAGAAAGACAGCAAGAGGAGAGGCAGAGAGAGAGAGAGAGAGAGAGAGAGAGAGAGAGAGAGAGAGAGAGATGGAGGAAGGGAGGGATGGAGAGGGAGAGGGAGGAGAGAGCAAGCGTCAGCACTCCATGCGTTAAAAGGGCAGATGGTAACCGCGGGTAACTGAGGAGCAAACCACTCTGCTGGCCACAGAGCAAGAGATCAGCAGAGAGAGGGAGGTAGAGGGAGGGAGGAGAGCCAACACATGCAGCGCAGCAGAGGAGAGGAGAGGAGAGGAGCATCTGAGAGGAAGCTGCACGCCGGCTCTGACAGAGAGAAAGACAGAGGGAGGAGAAGACTGAGTACTTCTTCTCCACACTAACAAGGAGGCAGAGAGCAAAAAGAGACAAAGAGAGAAACAAAGACAGTCACAGGAGATGGGGAGATAGTGAGAGGAGGGGAAAAAGTATCCCTCCTCTCCACTTAGAGAGATACAGAGAGGGAAAACAAAAGGAGGTTGGAGAGATTGTGAAGTAAAGAAAGGGAGGTAGCGGACAGGAGATAGTTGGAGGAACTGCAAGGCTGATCAATGAGAGGCTGAGAATTCGGGAAGAAATTTCAACTCAGCAAGAAAGAGAGAGAGAGAAAGGGAGTCAATGACAAGGAAAGATTGATGAATGAAAGATGGGAGCAAAGCATCTGGGAAGAAAAAGACTATTTAAAGGTAGACAGAGGAATCTAGAGGGAGTTTAGAAAAAAAAAACCCAGAAGAATTTTAAAAAAGCATTTAGAGGAAGACAAGAGCGGAAAGAAAGGAGGAGCAGAGGGTGAAATATTTAAAAAGAGACAAAAGCTGAAGGGAAGATGAGCAGAGAGGAGGCAGAGTCAAAGAGTCACCGGCAGAAACTTAGAGAAGAGAGAGAATAAATCAGAGCAGTGGGGGGGGACCGCGCTCCTCCTTTTCTCTTTTTTGTCCCTCCTCTACTTTATTATATATAACAGAGGAGGAGAGAAGAAATGAGGAGAGCGGGAGAGAGTTGAAGAGGCAGAAGAAGAAGGAGCAGACTTTTTGTTGAGATAGATATATAGGTAGATATTTAAATATATGAAACCCAATCAAATCCAATGGCGTGCTACTACATTGTGATCAGTTCCACCCACCTGCGTGACGGACAACTGAGGAGCATCAAAGGGGTGTTCAGGGGACCAATAGGAACCAATGGCCAAAGAAACACGGTAAGGCCTCGTGTCCGGTGGTTGCTTTGTTTTAGCTCCTAGGTTTGCTGTGAGACGGCACAAAAAAAGTCAAATTGAAGTGCTTTTATTTTTGAAAAGTTAAGCGTGTCCACACTGTGGGACTCATGTCTGACTGCTTTTGGTGTTTAAAGGCTTTTTATTTTGGATTCATTTCAGTTTTGAATCAACCAATGTTTAATTGACATTAATCCAGTCTAATCCAGAGTGCATGTGCGTCTTTTATTTTTTATTTTCTGCATCAAAGAAAAACCAGAAAGTCATTATACCTCTAAATCAGCATCGCTTAAACCACTCCCACTCCCTTGATTGTCAGGTCCTTAATCATTGTGTTTGCTGAGTTAATTAATTGCCACTTCCATTAGGTTAATTGACTTGGTTTTGGAGGCAGAAAGATGCCGATGGGGGTGGGGAAGCTGGAGAGGGTCTCCCTCTTACTCTAAGAGCTCCTCTGGCTCGGTGTCTGCACTTAAACACGTTCTGCATCTTGTTTTCTACCTTTTAAGTGTTCAGTGTTTGAGGTCAAGTAGGGTTTTTTTTCTCTTTACGTATCCATTAATCCTTAATTGACTCCGCTCTTATGCACCTTTACAACAGGACTCCCTCAGACGCATGCAGATGGCACATGTTCAAACAGATTCATGCACATTCTCGGTGGCAGATTTTAACCTAATCTGTTCATAATCCCCATATTTTAATCATCTTGAAAAACAGCTTATTGGCACTTCCTGTAGTCAAAATACTAATCCTATAGTATAGTTGGAATACATTTTGATGTGTTAAAAATACAACTTGGTGACAAACCATAGACCTGAGTGCATTTTGTTAAAATCTGAATGTAAACGAGTTTAGAGAACCAGCTTGTCATCCTCAGTCCTGGCGGTATGTGGGAAGATTCTAGCTGACCAGATGAGTCAGAAGCTTCTTTATTTTTTTTCTCCTAATCTAAACTCCAACTAAACCTTGTACCCATTCTCCTTCACTCTTACTGAAAGTTACAGGCAAACATAATTCCATGTAGGGATGCACCGAAAATTCCTACAGACTTCAAAGAGAGACATCGGATGAGACGCCAAGAGGTTGTGTGAGGGCAGTGCTACACTAGGCTCATTACGCATAAAGCACTAGCTACTCCTTTTTCACAAAATTTTAATTACATTTACTCATTTTCGTTTAATCTGTCATTTCAAATTAACCAAAAAATACAAATTTGAACCTCTTTAAAACAAGGTTGTTTTAATGTTTTAGCAAAAACATGATTAGAGTCATGTATTGATCATTAGAAATAAATTAAAAGTGTTGGGTAACATAGCGCTCATTTTGACACAGGTTGCACAGTACAATGTCTTTGTTCTGCCTCATGTGATTTCACTGTCAGATCATATTTCACTTTTAGTTATGTCAATACTTTTAATAACCGTCATAAATCATAAATTATGATGACATGTCATGGTGGGATGATAGGGCTATAAGTCTGTGCGAGTGACTGGCCTGCAGTAAATCAACAATGCATCTGACTTAGCCTGCAATTAACTAGAAGGAACATAATAGAGCCGGCAGCAGCACTGAAGTGTTCTGCAGCTGTAACGGTTTGTGTTGTTTTATTAAAATAGCAACAAAAAGCAAAAACTCAACATCCAGACGTTGGACCTTTTCATTTTCACATGAATACGTAATATAATACTGGCATAATACTGGTATTCATGACTGCAAATGAAAACTTATAGGGCAAATCCCAAATCTGGATTACCACAGATCTGAGAAAAGGTTAACAAATGTCCTGCTGTAGGCCTAATCTTGTAGCGTGCAGAGCCAGAGGTGCTGACAGCTGCAAGATGAACATGTAGTCAAAAAAAATAAAGTGTTTTAAGCCTTTGGCACTTTGCAGCTTTTCATGAGCTTGATGAAACGCTGAGCAAAACACGTGGCTCTTATGAGTGTTTATAAAAAATCCTGAGTGTGAATTTACTTCCACAAACACTTGGAGTTTATTTTCCCCCCATTTAAACTTTCAAATTACACTCCACTAGAATGACGCACAGGAGCATTGTCTGCTCTGACGTCCCTATCTGCACCATAACGTGATCAGTTTTTCCCCAAAAAACTAAGGCGGCACTCCGCAGAAGGGAACAACAGCAGAAAGAAATAACCTTGCTTTTTACTTTTTGGTGAATTTGTTTCCTCATCTGACACTGCTGTGACTGAGGTTTGGTTATGTTTAGGCACAAAAAAGACAGTGTTCGGCAGGTTGGTAGGTTGGGTTAAAATGAGTACTTCTTTAAAGTTAGGCAACCTTTGTTGACATGGTTACAACACTAACCATCTGGTTAATGTAAGGGAACGATCGTGGTCAGAAGGAGCCAACGGGGACTGTAGGTCAGTTTTGGGCAGTAAAGTAAGGCTTAGTAACAGTGATGTGATTATGATACATTTTTCAGTATTGAGTAATTTTGGTAATTACATCACAGTTATTAATCCTAGAGACGTGTGGCTAATGTTAAGTTAGCTGTTGATGGTCAGTTAACAAACTCAAAACGTATAGGCCGGCAATCCTAATGTCGTTTTCTGTTTCTGAACAATGAAAATGTGACGTGTGGGTATGGAGTTGTTTTAAAAGCTATTGTGACGTAGGTGGGCTGAAAAATGAAAGAAATGTAACTGATTACTTTTGCTTTGAGAAAGTAAATTTTCTTTATTACTTTTTAAAAGAGTAACTGATTAGATTTTTCAAAAAGTCTTTACGTCACTTGAACGTCAACAAATGTTTTTGGGGATTTGCTGAAACAACTGACTGTTTTTCTCGGTCTTAAATCTTCTCCTTCCTTGCGATATCTTCCACAGACGGCATCTTTCCAACTTTGTTCCAACATACTTCGTGGTTGGAATTTCTCATTAAAGCCTGTCAAAAATAGACGTTCACTTACTCCTCTTCTAACACATTAATTATTGTGCTTCACTAAATAGATGACAAACTAATGAAGCCGTTATATCACCTTTAATAAGTTAGAGCTTTCAGACGTGTTCAAATGATATCAAACCCAGAAAACATAAGGTAAAGTTTCCTCTGCTAACACAATACCATAAATAAATGTTCTTTAATTACCCACACAAGAAAACGGAGGCATTTCAAAGGCACGTATTCAACTGTGTTCGTCACCTAATCCAGGAATAGAAAGCTATATCAAGAGATTTAATTGGCGAACAACCACACATGACTATCACCAGTCACCTTGGATCCTCATATTCCCGAGCTAATTTTATCTCTAAGTTCTTTAGCACAGGCAGGTCTGATGAAATTGCATGAAACGATCAAGTCTTAAAAATTCAAATAACATGCTCTGTGCATGGGAAATCAGAGTTATGTTTGCGCCAGCACAAAAGGATTGCATGAGAAAGACATGAGCAGAAATAGGTGGCAGAGTTTGAAGCCAAAATAGTGTAAAGTGAGTGTGTGGAGATCAGTGGGATGGATGAGTGTCTACAGTTTCCTTTCAACTCCAATGACTCAAGTTCAGTCCCATGTTTATGCGAAGATGTTTTCATTTTTTATCAATCATGAAAAAAAAATTCTTACTGCAAATAAACTTTACGAGCTTTTATTATTATTTTATTAGTTTTAGCTCCTTAACTTCACATAATATAAATGGCCTAACCCTAATCATTTCTGTATTATGTTAAAATAAAGGATTCTTGAATTTTCCTAAATCACAGTCAGTCAAGTCTGTATACATTTTATTTTTATTCTTTTATTTATTTTTTTCACCCTTAAATTATTGTTACATGGTAATATGTAAATCAAAAAAAAAAAATGTACCAAACCTTAACTGTAAACTCATCCAAATTAGACATACTGTAAATACACAGCTGAGGGACAAATTAAAGGGAAGACCTGAATAAATCAGTAGAGAAACGCATCAAAAACAGCTGCTTATACACAGGTGTACTACAGTATGGTAACATAAAGCAATTAACTATGATGCTCTCTGACATGTTCAATAATGCCCTGCAGGCACATTTGACAATGCCCTCATCCACAGGGCAGCAGGGCTCACTGAATAGTTGGATGAGTGTGTAAATGATCGTGTGATGGCCCAACACCTTACTGAGACACTTTTGAAGTGATCAGTCCCCCAGGATTTCTCAGGCTTTTTTTTTTTTTAGATTGTTGGTGCCTAAAATGTGAAATTTCATGGCACCTTCTCTAAAGAATTGCAGCACATGGAGCAATGTTTTTAGGCAAGACAACTTGTTCCAGTGAGAATAAGATCACACTGTTTGGACAGGATAAAAGTGAGAAGTTGGCATGGTCATGCATGGCCTGCATCTTCACAAGAGAAAACGAGGAAGTGAGTTTGGTGACGTATGACTCGATGTTTTGTGCAGGAAACAATGACTGGTCAAATTCTAATTGAAAAGTTGCAGTGATTAGACAAAGTTACAAGGTCGCACAGAGTTCACAGAGATTGGTTGAATTTCCTGGATTGACTGAGACATGATTTGTGAAATTTTAGGGGCTCTCTTAAATACTGACAATATGCTATTTTTGTATTGAGTAAAATTAGGCTTTTATTGATCTATGATTCATGAGGGTTTCATTCACTTTAATAAAGACTTTGACTCAGAGTAACAACCCCCAATCTCTCATCTTTATATTTCAAAATATTCCTATAATTGCAGAAAATAATCTCACCTCTGGGTCCTTTTAGTATCTGTTCTGGGGCTTTCAATCACACGTGACCTTGTGGTGGGATTATTTTCTGCAATTATAGGAATATTTTGGAATATAAAAATGAGGTTAGAAATCATATCAGATATATTTTAAGTGCATTCACCAATATTACAGAAATTATATAATAGGTAAACTATATTCATCATTTTTGTCAGTAGCAATACAGTTTCTTTCCTAATAATGTTTCCTTGCTATTTTGTGGAGATTTGAGTATACTGACCCTTTAAGAAAAAACTACTTACATCATTTATGT